CAAGCAAGCCCCCGGGAAGCTCGAATTTGGTAACGAGCGTGTCGGCCAATCAAACAACATCCCCACTGTCGAGTACCGATGCATCCAAGATCCTGCAGCTCATGAAAACAACTTGTGGAAGGATGCACGGCATTCTTTCGTTTCGGACTGCATCTACAACCGCTTGGTCGTCGGGCTATTGCGCCATTAATGTTGCCACGGGAAGCTTGATATACCAAGCTAAAGGAGAGCCCGCATTGGCCAAAACACTGATTCCTGATCTTCGTGGCTGTCAGGTTCGCACCTTGGTCGATCCCGAGACCCGAACCAACTATCTCAGTGTATCAACCTTTACTTCTGGTCTGGGGGTGGAGCTGAAACCTCACGTCAGCGAAACATTTGATTCCTGGTTGGCTGCGCTGTTATGCTGGCAGCCGATCCGACCCAAAGGTGTTCAGAATAAGATGACGAAACCACAATCGGTGGTCATCGGTGACCGCCGCTTGGTTGAACGTAGGAGAAACTCGGAGAGCACTGTTCAGAAGGAGGCAGCAATTATCAAGGTGGGTAAGATGCTCCTCTGGGATAGGCCGAGTGCCTCTGGCGTTCGACCATCGTCAGGGCGTCGGGTTTCTACATACAGACAGCAAAGGGCACTTTCTGCGTCTTGGCTGCGCGTAAGCTGCACGCTGCAGGAAAATGGCGCTTTCAAGCTATATACGGAGTCAGACATCACCCTGGTCACTTGCATTCAACTGTCGCAACTCTCCCGCTGTGCAGTACAACAACTGCACTCTTCCGTCTTGGAAGATGAATTCTGCATTGCAATATACCCGCGGTATGCAGTACATTCTGCTTCGGGCCTAACGCGCCCAGTATATTTAGCTCTTGAAAGCCGCGTTCTGTTCGAGGTGTGGTTCGTCCTTTTGCGCGCGTTCACGATCCCAGAGCTTTATGGCCCTGAAACGCCAGTAGAGGAAGAGTCTCCGAAGACTCCAGGAACAAGCGAGACAAATGTCGCTTATACCGCGGACATGTTCCGAATCGAGAGAGTACTTGATGTAAGAGTAACGGAAGCCAAGCTATATCGCTGCAGAACCGCGGAAAAGACCCCCCGCAGTCGAAAGCAGTCCCGATCTCATAGCAACTCGGCCCCGGCCTCTGCAGTGAGTGATTACTACACCGAAGTTCTCCTGGACGGCGAGATTCGGGCGAAATCCGCCGTCAAATACCGCACAGCAAACCCTTTCTGGCGAGAAGACTTCACTTTTAGCGACCTCTCGCCCGTTCTGTCACAAGTCTCCATTCTTGTCAAGACGATCAACTCGACCCAGAAGGATTGGTCACTGATCTCGCATGGCTCTTATGCACTCGGCCATGACTCGAGCCCTCTGCGCGCGTTGGATGACGTAGAACTCGCTTCTCATGATGCTACCTTTGGCAGGGTTGACTTGAAACTAGATGATCTGCAGCCAGGGGTGGAAACCGAAAAATGGTGGCCAATCCTGGACGACAAAGATCAGCCTGTGGGTGAAATGCTCATGAGGGCTCGGATGGAAGAGACTGTTGTGCTCATGTCTCAAGAATACACCCCGATGTCTGAAATTCTTCATTCCTTCACCAACGGCCTCACGATAAACATGGCTCAAGTCATGTCATCTGAACTCAATCAGCTTTCGGAAGCGCTTTTGAACATTTACCAGGTTTCAGGGACGACCGTCGAATGGATATCCGCCCTAGTAGAGGACGAGATCGACGGGGTGCATAAAGAGTCGACAGTAAGTCGACTACGATACACGTCGAGAATCCATTCCAACGACGCACGGGAATCAGCCCAGGATCGGGAAGTCCTCGTCAGAGACCTAGGCCGAACTGCTACTGTGGAGGCAAACCTTCTCTTCCGCGGCAACTCACTTCTGACTAAGGCGCTCGATTATCATATGCGTCGACTCGGGAAGGAGTATCTAGAGGAGACGATTGGCGAGCGACTTCGTGAGATTGATGAGACTGATCCAGACTGCGAGGTCGATCCGTCTCGTGTACATCGTTCTGATGACCTCGACCGTAACTGGAGGAACTTAATTGCTCTAAGCAACGGGGTCTGGAAGTCGATTGCGGCCTCGCCCTCCAGATGTCCGGCCGAATTGAGACTCATTTTCCGCCATATTCGGGCGTGCGCGGAGGACAGATACGGTGACTTCCTTCGAACTGTCACGTACAGCAGTGTTTCCGGGTTCCTATTCTTGCGATTCTTCTGCCCGGCAATCCTTAATCCGAAGCTCTTCGGATTACTAAAAGGTATGTGTCCAACTTTTATTCATGACTGTTTTCACCGGTACTAATGGCAATCAGATCACCCGCGCCCTCGTGCTCAACGTACTTTGACCCTGATCGCGAAGGCCCTGCAAGGCTTAGCCAACATGACTACTTTTGGCAGTAAAGAACCTTGGATGGAGCCCATGAATAAGTTCCTGAACACGAACCGGTCCGATTTCAAACAATTCGTGGATTCGATTTGCGCGATTCCCGCTGACCGTCCGGCGCCGATCGTGACTCCCTCTTACGCCACGCCCATTCAGATTCTGGGCCGTTTGCCCCCAACCTCACGCGAAGGGTTCCCCAGTCTCCCTTTTCTGATTGATCATGCGCGAAGCTTTGCCAATTTGATCAGCATCTGGCTGGAATCGGCACCTGAGAGGCTAAACGAATTGGAGGAGGTCGACTCTGCTATCAGCAAATTCCATGAGCTAGCCCTCCGGCTTCATCAGCGGACAAAGGATTGCATGAGCCGAGCCGAGCAGGCTGAGCGTCCAAGCGGAAACCTAGAAGTCAAATGGGAAGAATTGATTGACTCAATGGAGCGGTCCGCGACCTTCTACGACGATAATTCTAAGCCCACCAGCCCGACGACGGAGGCGGCCGTAGCGGGATCTACCTCGGTGACGGGTAGTCATCGCAATTCAATCGGCTATTTCACTTCACGGCCGTCCCTCCCGCGTCGCTCAACTGATCACCCCCCTGAGGGTGATGAAGATACGCCACCCAGTTCTTCATCTGCGACATGGGACCAGAGTCGAGTGCCTTTCACAATCCCTCGGTGGGCTGATCCGCGGGATAGTACCGGCAGCTCAAAAAACTCCTCGACATATTCCCTCGACCAGGAGCCCTCCAGATCTAGACGCTCCAGCATCACAAGGGAGACTACAAGCAAATATCGTTTCTTTGACTTTGTCCCCGCCACCTCTCGACGCAAAGCCAAAGATCGAGATCAAGCCCAACAGCAGTCCCGTGAAGAACAAAGGAGTGAGACATGAGTATAAAAGCGGTTTTGATAGGCCCGAACCTCTACGCTTCGACGTTCATGACATACATGGTGACCAGGAGCGGTCTGATTAATATGTGAGCTTCGCAACAATAGCCTAGCGACGCATTTATCCTTACATAGGAGCTGAACCCCTGCCATGTGGAGAAATCGACTTTCCAGTTCTCGAGGACAAGCCGACAGTGGGACGTGCGAATCTCGACTGAAATGCGAACCATATGGCAGGTGTCAGAATTATTGTTTGTTGTTCATCTTCTCCTTTTCTGTATAACACAAGAGATCGATTCCATTATCGAAAGACCTGCGTCTTCTGGTGTAAATTCTTCTCCTTCTTCTTCTCCTCCCCCCGCCGTTCTCTTCCCTCCATTGGTTTCCCTCTTTTAAGCAGCATGTGCCCATGATCTAACGTACTTTCTTCTGTGTGGTTGTTTCTTTGTATTTTCTTGGAAAGCATTTTGTCATGGTGTTGATACCCTGCTCAAGTTGGGGTTGTTTTTGCGTCATTTGGTCCCTGGACGTGTGGACAGCCCACTGGATGGATATATCGAATCTCTGGAGGAATTGGTATGCCTCGAACGAGAGAGATGACTGACCCCACCCTTTTGTTCTTCTCTTTTCTTTGATCCCCTCTGCATCTTCTCCTCGTGTAAATAGCGTCTTTTCTTTTCACCAGGTTGGTCTGGGTATAGATGACACGACTACTCCATTGACTTGTTCGATATCGACTATTATTATTCTCTGGAGTATGCGTAATCTGGAGAATTACTCCTCTGGAAACCTACTCCACTGTGTCGATGTACTCGAGATGCCGATCTTGCCTGTAAGCCCGGATGGAGCGCGGAAGGTCCTCCGACAGTCCTCATCAGTGAGATTAAAGCCAGGGAGAGTCAGGGCCGCCGTCTCTGATTGCTTATTAGTGTAACTGAAAATCCGGGCCCAACGTTGGCGTGACATACCCTTTCAATGTCGCCTGAATCTTGTCTTCATGATCATCTGACCACGAGGGTGGAGCATCAGGGTAGGCACCGTCTGGAACAAGACCAACGACCCTTGAGGAAGTACTGTTAAGAAGGGACGGGCGGTACCAAGGCGATAACCAGGCGCAGGTCCAGGTCGACAGCCTCAGATAGAAGAACGGTACGCGTTCAGCACCCAACGCCTTCCATCGCTCCGCGGCGCTTTACCTATCTACTTCCCAAAACCAACCCGCCTGTCGGGTTGGTCAACGTGACTGACGCATTGTGGGAAAAGGAAAGGACCGCGATGGGAAGTGAAATCGGGACAGGAAAGGTCCTCATGCCGCCGACGCAGTGGTAGATCGCGAACCGAGTCTGTAGACCATAGCCCAATAAATTCCAATTGAACGTAACTTCAGCCTGCGTGACCCGACGGACGGTGCGCATGAAAGTTGTATTGCGTTCCAGGCAAGCAGGCTAGATCTACGGCGCAACGGCTGCTCCACCGGCCGCCCTATCCAGGTCAAATCGTGCAACATCTGCTGCGCCGCACGGCCGCATCCCAATCTTCGGCCACCGTCGCGGCGGAGTCAGGGGCTTCGAGGGGGATCGTCGGGTACTAGTTGCGGTGATGTATGAGCGTTCTCAGCGTTGCTGAATAGATGCAGGTGATGTGTCTTCTCGATCGAGTGTGGATTGGGGCTGTGTCCGACTGCTCTCCAACCATGAGAGCATGGATCCGATCACTGCGCGGCAATGATCCCAGACGTCATCTTCCCCCGGGACGTCGCCTCCATCCTCTGCATAGCAGCCAGGCCGAGGTTGTGGATATCTTTGGGGTGGACGTCGACTGCCTGGCCCTTCGTCGCGGTGTCCGAGAGTAAGCTCAGCTTCGATAGCACCAGCAGGCCGTACCCGACGGATGTGTAGCTGAACATGGGAAGGTTGGGGGTCACTGAAGCCGGCGAGGCGAGGAATCCCGTCACAATGTTGAAACGCGGAGCGCGCGATGGCTGTCCTTTTGCTGCCGCAGAGTGTGTTTGAGAACGATGGCAGGCATTGAGGTGTGCGTGCGCCACGCTGACGGTGCTTGTTCTCCTAGTATCTTCCCATGGACTAACACTGGAAATTCTGGCAGAGTAAGTGGCAACAATAATGCACAACATGGCCGACGACAGGACGAATATTCTTTCAAGAGAGCTTCATGTATTAACCCAGATAGATTATATAACTAATAGAGCTAAGGCCAATCAAAGCCAAAACAAGCCCAGATCATCTGATCCAAGTCTATAATGCGTAGCGGAATTCCTTGTCCTGCTTGTCAGTCAGGTCATTGCTGGGTAACCCATTCTCATCGAGTTCGATTTGCCAATCAGTCCCCGGCAGCTCCGAAGACCTCATCTGCGAGTCACGCTTGCGGTTGTCGGCCGCACATAGGAAGCGGTAGATGATGACGGCTACGAAGAGGAGACACCATGTCACAATCGAGGTGATGACGCCCTCGGTATACCGTGGCTTGTGCGTCCACAGCTGCGGTGAACCGATGCAGCCCGCCGAGTATCCTATGAAGAACATGGTGTTCACGATCGCCCGTTTCGTGTTGCCCTTCACATTCGAGGCTGAGAGGGAGAGAAGTATAGACATCGATGCTGTGATGCAAGAGGACTAGGCAGGGTCAGCATTAGGTCTAGTTTGCAGAGCAATCAATATGATCGCAATGTATTGTTCATGGAAACTCACCACCCACGCAGCAACGATGAGCCCCCACTCCGCCGCGACATCAAGCTTCATCAAGAACACAGTCCCCACCAAGGGCGGGACGATCAGCAGCAGAACGACCAGGGTCCGCTGCCGCGGGAACCAATACACCAGGGCCGTTCCAACCCAGAGCAAAGCGACCTGCACGGCTCCGGAGGGCGCCGTGTAGAGCATTGTCTCCAGCTTGCTATAGCCGATGGACTCGATGACCAGCGACGCGAAGGTCAACACGGGGGACTGCATGGTGACCAGCACCCCGAACCAGAACACCGCCCAGGCCTTGGGGTCCAGCAGGGCCTCTCGCAGCTGCGGCCGGGAGAAGGACGTCTTGTCCCCGCCCTCGCGGTCCGCGGCCATGCGCAGCGACAAGACGGTCTTCTCGCGTGCGGTCAGAAACCAGGCGTCCTTGGGCCCGCTGGGCATCAGCACGAAGAACCCGATCCCCGCCGCCACGGTGAGCGCGCCGCAGAGCAGGAACAGCACCCGCCAGGGGGCCAGGGCCAGCGAGGCACTGTTCTTTCCGATGCCGTACATCAGCAGGCAGCCGATGACCTGGGCCACGCCGTTCATGGTGATCCAGAGCGCCGTGCGCACGGTGTGCTCCTTCTTGCGGTACCAGGTTCCCGTGATGGTCACGAACGCCGGGGAGACGGCGCCCTCGCTGAAGCCCAGGAGGAATCGGACTGTCGCGAAGCCGGCGAAGTTTCTCGGTGCGGCGAGGCACATGCAGATAATTCCCCATATGATGCTGTCATGAAGATGGGTATGCATCAGCTCGATTTGTTTGTGATCACTAAGGGGCAAGGGGGAAACGTACACGGTTGCACCAACAAACTTGGTCAGTGGAAGCCGACTCATCAGATACATGAAGGGATATTCCGCGACAAGCTGGCCCACATAGAATATCGAGCTGGACCATGAGTATTGTGAGTTCGTTAGATTAAGGTCTTCGATCAGACCGAACACGGCTGCGTAGCTCAGACTCTGCTTGTCGAGGTATTGCAGGAAGAATACGAAGCACATCTGCGACGATGAGCATCATCATCAGCGTCGTGCATCTATCGCACCACAGATGGGAAGCTCACAAATGGCAGAATGACCATGTCAATCTTGCGTAGCACTGCCTTTTCTTCTTCCGCGGTATACGCATCGGAACCCACCGCGACCACCTCGCTGCTCCTGCGAGTGCCATGGTCCTTTTTCTCGGGATCGTTCATTGTTGAAGGAACTTAAAAGTGAGTTGAAGGGTCTTGTGCAAAGGGAGGGAAGCAGCAAGAAGGCATCTGGCTTGACTGAGAATGTGACTGGTGCTGAGTATGCAGCCTGTTTTGCCGGTCGACTCGGATCCCCAAAATATATGACCGGCATCACACCCCAGGTTTCGCCATTGATCAATCAGGAATGCTTATCTTTCCAAGTGCCAGTAGAGCAGTTGGTCAATTAGCGATGGCGATGGGGATAAGCATGACCAGCGATACGAACGAATGGAGGGATGAGGGTCGTCGATCCGATGCCAGCTCGGCAATCTGCACGGCCACGGCGCGGCCAACTTCCCGACAAGGTCAAGGTAAGGTCAAGGTCATCTGCATCTGTAATGCGACCCTCACCATCCGCATTTCAGCCATCTCTGCTATTTCTACGCCTGAACTTGAGCTTTTCAACGCACCACAAATACTCATCATGCCTTATCACCCACCAGTTCCAGGCTCCGACATCAAGCCCTGGGCCCGCGCAGCCCCGCGGGGGTATCTCTTCACCAACGCCAACATCGTGGATGTACAAGAGGGCCGTATCCTGGAGAATGCCAGCCTCATCACCCGCCACGGGAAGATCGAATCCGTCTCTACAGCTTCTTCTTCGTCGTCGCCAGAACCTCCTTTCCCTTCTGACGTGAAAGTCATCGACTGCCAAGGCCACTATCTATGCCCGGGCCTCTTCGACGCCCACGTCCACCTGTGCGCCGTCCCCGGTTATAAAGACCTCTCCAAAGCATTCGGCAACTCAGACCACGCATCCCTACTGCGACAGCCCTTCGTCGCGGCCCAGATGCTGCACCGCGGCTTCACGAGCGTCCGCGACTGCGGCGGCGCCCAGCTAGCACTGAAGGAAGCCATCGACGACGGGGTCTTCCCGGGGCCCCGACTCTTTATCTCGGGCCACGCGCTCTCCCAGTTCGGCGGCCACGGCGACCTGCGGGGCCCGCACGACCAGACCGAATGCTGCGGCGGGCTGCACAGCAACAACCACCTGGGCCGGCTCTGCAACGGCGTGCCCGAATGCATGGCCGCCGTGCGCGAGGAGATCCGGTGCGGCGCCGACTTCATCAAGATCATGGGCTCCGGGGGCGTCGCCTCGCCCACGGACAAGCTCGAGCATCTGCAGTTTACCACCGCCGAGCTGGAGGCCATGGTGGAGTGCGCGGACAACGCGGGCACGTTCGTCACCGCGCACGCCTACACCGTCCAGGCCATCCGGCACTGCATCGACCACGGCGTCCGGGGCATTGAGCACGGGAACTTCGTCGACCCGCCCACGGCCCGGCTGATGGCCGAGCGCGGCGTCTACCTCACCCCGACCCTGATCGCGTACGCGCAGATGGCCTCCGAGCAGTGGCAGGGCTACCTGCCGCCCGAGTCACAGGCGAAGAACGCCCAGGTGCTGCAGTCCGGGCTACACGCCCTGAAGATCGCGGCGGAGGCCGGGGTCAAGATGTGCTATGGGTCCGATCTGCTGGGGCCGTTGGGGTCGGCCCAGACGCAGGAGTTCGCCCTGCGCGCGCAGGTGCTCTCCCCGCTGGAGATCCTGCGCAGTGCGACGGTCCATCCGGCCCAGATGATGGGCTGGGGGGAGGCGATTGGGCAGATTAAGGAGGGCTTTCGCGCGGATGTGGTCTTCCTCAACCAAAATCCGCTCGAGGATGTCACGGTGTTTGATCGGCCCGAGGAGCATGTGCTTGGGGTCATGAAGGATGGTCGCGTGTGTAAGAGTCGCTGGAGCGCGCTGGCGGAGGATGCCGAGATACCGGTTCGTGTCAAATATAACTGAGTGACTTCTGGTATTCTGGTAGGGGATGCATGGAATTGATTTCTGATCCTCCAGTGAATGAGCCTTCTGGGGGCCTGGCTTTTCTTCTTCTTCATAATGCTGGTCTTGTAGATGCAGCACAAGAAGGTCTTTATGTGCTGAGCGAGTAGCTCAAACCCCTGCGGAAGTTTTGATAAGGAAAGCGCGAGACGGCTCAGTCAGGGCTGTGAATGCTTCAAGTGGGCATCTACAAAGAGCGGGATATGAGTAGGCGTGGCTATGATCTCTCCGACTTATTGCCATAGATGTAGTATGCAGATGGCTTCTACAATTCTTGGTTCGATAACGATAAGTAGATCATTCTATTTGGTCCATGAGACCCGAGAAATCCAAAGCATCGCCCAGAGCATCTAGTCCAGTCAGTCCCATCAAGAACGACTGCTCATCATTGTGTAGGCCGGAGAAAAAGTCGTTTGGTAAAAGCGGATTAGACCCTGAAGACAGATTCGAAGAACCCCGAGGGATGGACAACGCCTCTGGGGTGTGCAGCTCCATCTGAGTTTGCCAGGTGGCCGGCGCTGCCAACCATGACTGTGCATGCCGGTCTCTACTCTCCTCCCTCGAAGGGGCTTCGTCTCGTGGATGAACCACACAGCATTCGCGACTTTTGGGGTCCTCTTGTACCGCGAACCACTCCAGCCACTGATTGTAGCCCAGATGCGTATTCGAGTGAGAAGTCTCGCGAGACATGACAGGATTGTCAAGCTGTTGCGGCTTATCTGCTGCTTCGTTTGTGATCGATTGCACCGCTTCGACAAAACTCACGCCTAATTTGGCAGTCATATTCCCCGTGGCCATCTTCCGCAGACACATGAATCCCAGCTCCACCCGACTGTCGTACCCGGAATCGCGTTCCAAGATTCCTGAGACCAAGGTAACGATAGTTGCGATGCTGCAGCCCTGGAAATCGGTGAACGAAAACCTGGTGATGACTCGATGTCGCGTCAAGTTCTCGAAAAGCCGCAGGATCTTCCTCGCAGCTTTCGTGCAATCATTGGCCAGGTTCTTGACCTTGTCGCTGATATCCGGTGCGTCACGATCGGCGGGCGGTTTCAACTTGGTCCTAGCCACAGTTACCAAGGCGACTTTGCCCATCGTGATCATCGCATAATAGTAATTCAGGTACAGATGGGCTATGGCTCGATATTTCCAGCTGTTTGGCGGGATCTGGTCGAGCTTCAGATTAGGGGGAAGTGATCGCTTCCATGCCTTGAGATCATCTTTCCATGCTGATTGGGTTGGGTCCGCTGAGCTGGGTAATCCATCACTAAGATATGTCAGTATATTTGTCGTCCTCAGGGGAGGGAACGTAGCATACGCAGGACCGGCGATTTCGTCAAGTATTCTGACCAAGCGAACGTAAGCCAGCTGGCAATCGAGGTTCTCGAACGATTGAGCTCGATCAATGGCGGCGCTCTGAGACGGGCATGGCGCAGTAATTATCTGGGTATCAATCGAGCGAGGTCGGTTCAACTTCACAGTGGTACAACTTTGATCGACTTAAGCAGAGATTCCAGTAGGGCGAGGGAGAGCCCTGGAGCACGAGCCACGCACCGTTCCAGCGAATAGATAGACCACCAGAGACGATATCTCACTTCTCGATCTCGCTCAGTCATGGACAGATCTTCTGAGTTGAGATGAAGGTCGCATGCTAGAGCTTTTCGTAATGCTAGTCCCAGGTAAACGTAGGATGTCCCAATCGCACTTGCAGGCATGAAATACACTCCCAGGACAAATGGGGCTTGAACTGATCTCAAGCATGAGCGCTCAATGATATCTGGTATGAGGGTCTTAGCATGAACGGCGAATCCACGCCCGAGATCTACGTTCTCCTTAGGTTGGCTAGGCTCGAATCCTGCGGGCTTCTCCAGCGGTGTCCACTGACTTCCCAGAGCGAAGGTGGCCATGGCAAGACAGACAAAGGCGGAATCCAGTCTCAAAGGCGAGCTGGAATTTGTGTAGAACTCATCAACGTCGGCGAGCATCTGAGCTTGATCGAAGTAGAAGAAAACATCGGTGGCGTGCTTCATGAAGACGTGTAGCAGGAAGTCGGCCACTGGACGGGGAGGAAACGCATCGATGGCTGCTTGTAATCTTGCTAGTTCGAAGGGGTGTAGCCCTTTTGGTTGAATCATTCTCTTGGGAGCATCAGTTACATAATGAGTCGCTGCATCGAAGCATGGAAGCATACCGCCTGCATCGCAACCATCTCCCGTTCTTCCGGAGCATGGTGGGGGTCAAGCGAGAATGCTTCTCGAAGCCGAGATAGGAAATTGGGCCATAGAACTCGTTTCGACTGATCTGAAATGACATGTGTCGATAGTCCCTGCGACAGAACAGAGGCTGGGGACAAGAGTTCGGAATTATCAACAGCTGCATGGTCTGGGAACCGTCTTGTAGAATCGATGGTTGCGCTTGGGGATCGCGCTGGGATTTGAGGGGGCACTCGAATCGATGGTTCAGTCCCTGGCGAGTCTCCTCTAGCAGTCAACAGTCAGTTGCTTGGCTCAAAGTCGATTGGGGGGGGGGAAGGCATGTTGAGTTTCATACTTCTCGAATTTGCAATCTAGATTTTTGAGTGTACATCGCTGACATCTGTGGTGTGCATCCATCCGAGGGTTGCCCCTTGCTGGGATACATTTGCTTTTCCTTCTCTTGCATAGAGTGCACCTGTCAGCTTGTCAGTATGCACTCAATTAGCAAAGTGTGTTCAATGGCCATTGGCTCTGACGCTTGTGGTGCTCTCTTTCGATCCACATCTGCAACGCGCCGCCGTCGTCTCCGCCTCTCTGCAGTACTAGGCGAATCCATTGTCGACGCGGCAGCCTGGCACTTCATGTGACGTCTTCGATCGTCTCATCAAAAGGTCTGGATTCCGAGGTACCTGCGGATGTGTACAGGAATGAGTGAGTCGGCAATCTGTCCCGGACCAAGTACAGACATCCGACCCTCGGAAACGCGCCCTCGCTTATCTTCTCCGCAACCTCGGTGCGGGGGAGGTTTGCCGACGCGATTGATAACCTTACAAGTCAGCATTTGATTGGCCGAAATATTGACTTTGTTACTTGTGGAAAGTATTGGAAAGTGCAGTTGAGAATGCTCTTCATGAGCCTATCTACCGAAGCCACAGACTGCCATGCCAAAGCTCAACCCCGCTTACAAAATCCGAATATGCTAACACGATTATTTACAGATCTACAGTACATCCAACAAGAGCCGCCGCCAACGTGAAAACCAGAATCACCTCAAACCGAGACACGCGGCCAATCGTCCAAGGCTCGACTACATCCACAAGCAGATCTTCCCGCTTGCCGTACCGCCCGCCACCCAGTTCTTACTCCGATGGAAGACCGCCACCGCGGGGACGGCCGTGATGCCCTCGCCGCCGAGCTGGGCCAGTTGATCCCCGGAGGCGCTGTAGACGTCGACGAAGCGGTTCATGTTGCCAATGCAGAAGCGCTGGATGGGGGATTGGGGGTTTTGTTGCCATTGCGGGCGAAGGCTTGGGATATTGTTAGTAAATTGGTCGTCCGACAATAGTGAGAGAATTGTTTGTTTGAGGTGAACATACATAGTCACCCATCGTCCTGTCTGGCAATTATGCCTGACGACTGTTTGGGGCTTCAACTCCTCTTCGGAGAGTGTATGGCCTTGCTTCCACGTGTTGATTCCCTTGGGGCCGCCAAGATCGTAAATCTTGATGGTATCGTCGTACGAGGAGGTGGCAATCTGGCCGGCACTGTTAAAGGCAGCGTGTGACACGGAGAGTCGACTGTAGTGCTCGCCGACGGGAACCCAGGACGACTGCTCGTCGTCTTCCTCTTGTACCTGGCGTCGGGTGGACCGTCCAGCGGCTTTTGTGGGGGCTTGCAGCATGCGGAGATCCCAGAGGCGCATGGACCGATCGAGCGAGGCAGTTGCGAAGTAATGGGGTCGCGCGGGGTAGAGAGAGAATCCTCCGATCTTCTTTTCGGCGAGACGCCAGGTGGTCACGGATTGCGATTTCGAGCGATCGAGACGTGTGTCGTAGCGCCCGAATTCACCGTCTAGGGTCGTCCAATAGAGGACGTGCGGGTCGTCGGCAGCCATGTCGAGGCCCGAGATGGGGACGTCGTCGGACGTGGATTCGGGGGCGTATTGCTCGACGCTGGTGGACTTCTCGAGGTCGGTCGCGCGGATGCTGCTGTCGTAGCTGGCGGTGTAAATGCGGGTTGGGGTGGAAGGATGGATGTAGATGGAGCTGATGGTGCGAGTGTGCGGTTTGAGGGTGGTGAAGCTGGGGTCGAGGTCATCATCGTCCTCGTCCTCGTCGCCGGATTCCTCGGCCTTGATCGCGTTGGTCCGTTCTTGCGATGCATCGAGAATGCCAATGTGGCCCAATTTGTCGCCAGCAAAGAGAAGGGGCTTTGTCTCAGTCGGGTGAAAGGCCATAGTGTAAACTCTCTCCGGGGTGAGCTTGATGCCTGTTGTTGGCGTTATGATGAGTATAGAAGTTTCAAAGTCTGGGCGCTGAGGGCAAACAAACGGTTAGGCTCCCACGCCTCCCACAGCTTCAATCCGCTCATCTCCTCCCTCAATGCTTTGAGATCTTTATCCGTCGTCTGCTCGATATCATCCTCGTCAAACGTGCGCTGGTACGGCATCGCTACGCCCTTGGTGACCACATCCACCCCGATCAGACTATCCCCGGAGAGCTTCTGCCCATACACCACCATCTCGTTGAACGAGAAGGCGTCCGACTTGCGCACGCGCTTCGCCCGCTCCGCCGCCTGCAGCGCCGCATCCTGCTCCTCCGCTTTCCGCTTGGCAACCTCGCTCTCCGCCGCGATGCCCCTCAGCCGCGACGACATCCGACGCGGCACCGGCGACGCCTCCTCCTGTTTGACGCGCTTCACGGGCGTTTTCTTCTTCGCGCGAGCGGACTGATCCCGCGATGAAGGCGTCCTGGAAGGCTGCATCTTGGGTGGGAAGAGCCCCGAGGACTGCGCCTCCAGGGAGAGCTTCTTGAGGAGCGCATCGCGTTCGGCGATGTTGGCCAGACGCTGCTTTTCGAAGTCGGAGATCTCCTCACCCATTGTTTCTTTAAGAATGTGACTATCGGCTATCGACGATTGAGTAAGGACAGATCAAAGTCTAGAAATTCAGAGAACGGAGACAAGACGAGGTGAGTGGCGCACGCAAGAAAGCTTTGAGGACGGAAAAGAGTGGGCGGGACTGCGATGCATTTGCTGGAGACGGCAAGGCGCGTCTGGGCCCGCCGCGTGGTCACGTGACCTTAATTGGCCGGGCGGCGGCAAACGGCAAAAGTGAAATAATTTCATTTCCTCCGCGGAAGTTTATTCCCTCGAGTTTTTGGTCCGCAAGCCTGGGGTTTTTTAAATTTCGCCTTCCGATTCTCTTCGGCCATCACATTCTGCATTGGTGTTTCATAAAGTACAGAAAGAGCATGATGAGTGCTCGCAATGCTCGCGCCTGGCTGGCCCTGGCCTGGGCGACTCGCAACTCCTCTGTTCCATTCCTCTATCAGACTCGCACGCTCGCCGCGGTGCCCAAATTGCGATATCAGCACCGACAGCTCCAGCGTCAACAGACTCAGTCACGGTTAATGTCAACCGAGGCGCAACAACAACAACAGTCACAGGAACAACCACAAGAACAAATAGACAGTACAGAATACTCCAAACCTGACCCCTCAGCACAAGAAAGCACAGCACCAGCACCCCGGCCCGGACGTCGCAGCTTCCTCAAACGCAAAGCCGCCTCCGTGTCCTCCTTCGCCACCCTCCCATCGCAGTCTTCCCCAAACCCGCTTAAACCCCCTCCCCGTGCCTTGACGATGATGACGAATAGCGAGAAACAAGCCTTCGGCGAGATGCTCGAGGCCCTTGGCGCCGGAGCCAATACCAAACCCAATGGCGCGCTACCCACATTGTCAGCATGGCCGCCGCCGGCGCCCCAACCCTCAGCGCCCGGCGTCGCTTTCTCAGATTCATCCTCTTCCTACGAAGCCGAACAACACACCGAATCTGAATCCCAACATCCCGTCAACGAACCCACCGAAGATGAACTCCACGAAATGTCGCAGATCTCCGCCATCTTCGAGTCCGTCCTCCAGGATCTGAAGGAGCGCAAGATCCGGCAGCAGCGGCAACAACAGCAGAAATTAGAGAAACGGGGCCAATCATCCCTGGTGACCCCGTACTCGACCTCGTACCATGCCGGGGGTGACGACCCGGCGGCGTTGCCGGCGAGTTCTTCGCTGACGGAGTTCATCGAGCTGCGGTTAAAAAGAGGCGATTTCATCAACGCGCAGTTGACAGACTGGCTCACGCGGAACCTCGTCTCGACGGAGCGGGCGGTGGAGGCGGTGGTGCTGCGCGAGAGCCATGTGGTCGAGACGGCGCTGCTGAGGGCGGTCAAGAGGAAGCATGGGGACAGGAGGCTCTGGGATGCTTGTCGCGAGATGGTCTTTCCGCTCGTTCACACCTTGGAGGAGGACGTGGGGATGCGGCATTCCGAGGCGAAGGTGGACGAGACGGAGGTGCTCAAGGATGGATCTAACGATATGTTCATCGCGCCTGAGGAACCAGCGGAGGCGGAAGATGATCCTTGGGACGTTGAGGTGGAGGTGGAGTATGAGGAGGCCAGTGAATCGCAGGAGATTGAGAGCTCGACGGCCGAGACTGGGGAAGTACAGCAGGAGGGAGAGGCGGAGAATAACAACAAGGACATCGAGCTGGAAGGGGAGAATTCCTACAAATTGGTTGTCCCCGAGGGCGTGCCCATCTCCTCGGTCGTCGCCGAACTATACCCCAAGATGCTCCTGGCCGCCTTCCGCCTGCTGAACCTACACTCCCCGGCGTCGACGCTGATCGGCCAGTTCCGGTCCACGATCCGCCTGATGGGCCCCACGTCCGCCGTGCTGGGCGGTTCCACCGGGCTCTACAACGAGCTGATCTACTTCTACTGGCGGGGGTGCCAGGACCTGCCGGCCGTGGTCGCCCTCATGCAGGAGATGGACGTCACCGGCGTGGAGCCCGATGCCCGCACGGTGCGGATCCTGGGCTCGATCGCCACCCAGCGCACGCGCGACCTCAAGGCGCATTGGCAGCGGAATATCGGCTCGCTCCCTCGGCCACGGAACCCATCAGAGAAAGTGCGCGTCGGCCGCGAGACGTGGTGGGATCTGGCGCCGAACCGCAAGGCCTTCCGGGCCCTGTACGATGACGATGGGTGGGTCGCCAAGGTGAAAGCGCGGGTGGAAGAGCTGAGGCGCCGCGAGCAGATGAACAAGCCCCAACGAAGAACCTAGCAGCGTCGGGGTTGATTGTATGGAAACATTTCGGAAATATCCCCCCATCGTGTATATTATCTTGTAAAGTACATGTACAAACCCTAGAACAGTATACAAGCGGCGAACTCTCTCGATGAAACAACAAGATAGAAAAGAAAGAAGGGACAATTAAATATGATAAAACAAGGTCCCGATTTCCCCTGTTCCTTCTTAGATTTTCAACCCCCAACTCCGTCCCAACCCCACCGCCGTCGACCCCATGAATCCCAAGCACTCCCTCACCCCCGTGAGCTTATCCCCGACGGCGCGGGCGCCCGCCCACCGGCGCGCCACGAACTCCTCCGTATCGCGCAGTCCGGCACTCGTGTCGCGGGTCATCACGAAGTCCGAGGCCGCGTACACCGCCGCCACGGCCATACGCTTCGAGTACCACGAGGCATCGACGGATTTGTCGCCGGCCAGGTTCAGAATATCGTCCGCCAGGGCGTGAAGTTCCGAGAGGGAGAGGGGGATGTTTTCCCCGAGGGACATGACCGCCAATGCCTAGGTTCGCAGAGAGAATGATTATGTTAGTTATCGTTGTTTATCTCTGGGGGGTGTCTGCATGCTCTCTAGCTGGGAGTTGATAGTCCGATGGGGGAATGACTCACATCCTGCCATTGATCCTTGACCTCGGCGTTCATGCGCAAGCGTTCCATCAACAGGATCTGAATTTTGTCGTCGACGGAGCGGACGGCGCCGGATGAGGCGGCCGAAAACAGGCCGTCGGATTCGACCTTGGAGCGCAGGAGGCCGCGGCGGCTGGCGAGCCAGAAGAGGATCAGGTCGAATTCGCCGCGGGGGAGGAGCTGCACGGAGACATCCAGAAAGCCGGCGTCGCGGGCTCCGAGCGTGAGGGCGTTGCGGGAGAAGCCGTGCGTGGGGACGTGGTGCAGGGCGGCGGAGAGGATGGTCGTTTGCGAGTTGGTGTAGTCGTGGGGTTGGGTGGGGTGGTGGTCGGAGTGGTAGGTGCGCGTGGAGTGAGATAGACGGAGGGGGGTGGGTGAGGTTGTTTGAGGGGCCCGGGGGGTGATTGTTCGGTTGTTTTGTTGGGTGGTGGTGTGGATTTGCGATTGGGGTTGGCGGAGATGGGTACGGGGAGCGAGGGGGAGGGCGGCGCGCGGGGAGGAGGTGTGGGAGAGGCCTCGCCGGGTGAGGGTGAGGAGGGAGGTTGGTCGGGTCATGCTTTTGTGGGGAGGGGCTGTGTAGTCGTAGAGGAGAGGGGTTGAGGGAGGTGGACGAGAAGGTAGAGCAGGAGCGAGAGATTTGCGGTGGTGATGGCGGTTGGAAGAAAGTCGGGATGTCGGCGGGAGGAATTTGTTAAGCGGTGGCCTGAGCGGAGCCAAGATTGCCCTGCCATACTCTCTGGTGCCGGGGAGAACCACTGAATGATTTAACTGCAGTGGGATTGGTCTGTGATGGATGTTTACCATGTGGCTGCATTTTGTAATACTAGGATGAAATCATGTGCTTTATTGTGAATATGTGTATCTTTGTACTAGAGCTGGATTGTGCTACTATAAAATAGTTAGAATACCTCCTGCCCAGATAGTACAGTACAGTACAGTACTCCGCAAGTACAGAACTCCTACTAGAGGAAAGTCAGGGAATTATGTACTCAGTAAATAAAGTCCAGAATCCATGCCAGAATCTTATGAATATTGGTGGAGTGAATTGTTGGTCCAGGTATCTAGCTTTGTGGTACCTGAAGATCTTCCCCATCATTGACCATTGGTAGTGGGAATATTGTTGTACTGAAGCTAACAGTCTATCAATAACAACTATTGTTGTTGATAGATCCGAATGATCTGACTGGTCTCTTCTACCGATCCTGTTTATGTGCTGGTAGTAAGAGAAATCCTCCAGTCCACTCCGGACTACCTAGTTTATAGATCATTCTCGCAATTATTACCGTCGAGACTAACGGGCTAATTCAGACTACTTCCGACTAGCGATGTCCCTTTCATCTTATCTTTTCCATCCCTTCCTTCGACCCCCGCCCACTCATCCTGTCATCATCCGCATCTGCATTCCACGTCCTCTTCTCCCATCCACTCATCCGCCTCTCCTTCCACTTACACACCTTTTATCATCTGCCTTTTTCTCCTCCCCCCCCCTACTCTGACCGTTTGTTTGCTGCCGACTTCCTCAATCTATCACTGTCCAGAAACCATCATGGGTGGGTTTGTCTCTCAATTGTCTCTCGTCCCGTCCTACTTGCATTGCTTTTCGTTTACTGCTTCATTGAATCTGCCTCGCCCCCCCTCCCTCCGTGGATAATACTTGGTCATCCTCCCCTCCAGACGAGCCAGTCCGGTGACTGCACGTTTATGTCTGGTGCATCCTCAACCCCTTTTCCCCCTTGTAGACACCGTCCAGTCGAGCCCTTGCCCGAGTAAGAGACACCAGAAGCCCACGATACACAATTGGGGAGGAGGACAAAGATTGTGGCGTCTATGCTACCCTCAACCATGTCTCTTGACAGTTCACTTCTATTGCTGGCTGGCATGGAGACGGTGTCAGGTTGTCTCTGAAGCTGTCAGTCAGGGTGACAAGAGGACGCGGGCAGCGGGACGACGAAGGGGAACCAATGAGGCCAATCACATACTGTGAACCTGCAGGTTGAGGAGAGACAGACACGGGCTGGAACCATGAGTGATCGAGCGGAGGGAGAGAGAGAGAGAGTGAGTGATTGTTGACTGCTTGCTGGCTTGCTGCTGCTGCTGCTGCTGCTGCTGCTGTTGCTGGTGGTAGCTGGTAGTTGCTGGCTGATGGTTGTTATTGTGCTCCTACTGCTCTTGCTCTCACTGTTCCTGCTCTTCCATTCTACTGCTACCACCTTATGATTACTACTACCACCACCACCATCGTTTCCGTCTGCCAACCAACGAGTGTTCGTTCCCTTTTCCCCCCACCCCCCCCCCCGCCGTCACCCTCCTTTATCTCTCTCGCGCTCTCTCGCTCTCTTCCTCTACCTTAGTTTAACTGTTGGTCTCGCCTTTCTTCGGTTGATTACTGATTCTTCCCTCTCCTCCCCTCCCCTCCCTCTTCCTCTTCACATTCCCATCTCCATCTTTCCCTTCCCCCATCTTTCCCCTCTCCTAACCCTCCAATTCTTACCTCACTTGCTTCCCATTTCAGTCAGTCCTCACTTCCCTTTCCTCGTCTTCAATCTTCCTAGCTTGGTAAATTCCTGGGTGGTTTCTTTGTCTCCTTAAACCCCGACCATTGGCTTGGTGGCTTACCATCTAGATCCGGTGCTCAGCCGACGTGTATCGACCTCACCAAGTAAGTGTGGGATTTTCTTCGATTGCCTTTTCTTATTACTGCTTTGTGTTGTGTAGCGAAATGACTACTTTGTCGCCTACGATCCTTCTTTCCTTCAGGCTGGACAGAAATGGAGGCCAAGGGCAGACACTAGAGAAGAGGGAGGCAGACACTGCGAATGAGAGAGTATGGGAGAGGAGGAGGAGCAGGAGGAGATGAACCAACAAGTCTCCACTCGGGCGGTTGTAGCCTTCCTCATTTTGCTGCTGCTGCTCTGGTGGTGGCCGTGGCTGCTGCTGGCTCCTCCTCCTCCTCTTCTCCGCCTGGGGCAAGAAGCACCGACCACCGATCACCGATCACTTCATCGTCTGCTTCTCTCATGCTTCAGTCTCGCGACCAAGGCTCTCTTCTATCACCCTGTTTCCCTAATCCGTTCCGTCGTTCTTTGCTCTCTCTTCGCTCCCAGCTGGGACCTGAAATCGTGTCTGGCCTTCTCTTTTCTTTCCATACTCGCACCCGGGGTCTCCTCCCCCACTATTCCGCAAGGTGCCTTGCCTTAGTCGTGGCTTGAGTCTGGCCCGCACCGGGTCCGAGAGTCACCTGACTACCTTGCCAGCCCGGCAACTCGGACCAATCCCTCCCTCCCTCCCCTCTGCTGCCCGCTGCCCGCTGCCGTTGCTGCTTTGCTGCTTTGCTGCTCCCCGACTCCTCTCTTCCCTTCCCAATTCATTTCCATCCTCTGTTACCCGTCCCATCTTTTATCCTTTCCATTCATCCACACTCAACTCACATCTCCTCCTTCATTCCTGTCCCAATCCTAGTCAGGGACCTTGCGCGCACATTCTCCACCTCCCTTCTCCTAATTTTCCCTTCCTTTCTGCACGTCTTTTCTCCCCTCCGTCCGTGCCCGGTCTTACCTGCGGCGCGCTCAATTCTCGCTCCTCGTCAATGTCTCCACCCGCCTTTGACGATACTGACCACGCCCAGCGCGAGAGGTCCCGTTCTCCCCGACGCCGTTCCCGTAGCCCCCGACGCAGCCGTCGTTCCTATTCTCCTCGCAGTCGCTCACGCAGTCGTGACGACTACCGCCGTCCCGATCGTCGTTCCCGCTCGCCTATGAGCACGGCCCAAGGCCCTTCTGGTGGTCATTCATCTTCGGGTTACGGTGGACGCAGCAGCTACCCGCCTCCGGCTCGGTCATACGAAGAACGCGCTGTTCACAAAGAGCAAATGATGCAAGCCGTGCGCGAGTCGTCCCAGCAAGACCGACGGGTCTATGTGGGCAACCTTTCCTACGATGTCAAGTGGCATCATCTCAAGGATTTTATGAGACAGGGTGAGCAGGGCCACATCGTCTCGAGCGTCTGGTTCGCTCGTGTCGTCGCTATCGAATTTGAGGGCTGACTTTGGAGGGGGATTTACCCGCGTTGCGTGTTTACAGCTGGAGAAGTTATCTTTGCCGATGTCTTGCTTCTTCCCAATGGAATGTCGAAGGTGGGCGCCAATGCGTAGTGTGGCTGGTTTTTTTTTTCCATTTCTGCCCTTGTTGTTATTCCTGGACTTTCCCCTTCCCCTTCCCCCTCTCGTTGGTTTGCTTGTTATGGACTGTTTGGGTTGACGGGCTGGGCCTGGCCGTCCGGGATACTGTAGGGATGCGGGTAAGGACCTCCTGCTGCTCAATGACCTTGTCGGAACGCATGCTGACTCTGCGGCCAGGATTGTGGAATACGCGACCAGGGATCAAGCGCAAAATGCGGTCAACACCCTTAGCAACCAGAACCTGATGGGTCGTCTTGTCTACGTTCGTGAGGTAGGTCATGGCTTGGCATCGGCTATCAATGCTTGCCGACTGACGGGATGGCTGCAGGATCGTGAACCCGAGCCGCGTTTCACCGGCGGACCTTCGCGTGGCGACTTTGGTGGTGCCGGCCGCGGCGGTTTTGGTGGTGGATTTGGCGGTGCTGCTGGTGGTGGTGGCGGTGCTGGAGGTCGTCAGCTCTTCGTGTCCAACGTAAGTGCGGTCACCCAAAGCATTAGATACGATGGAGAATTGATGGTGCGATGTCTAGCTTCCGTTCAACGTGGGTTGGCAAGATCTGAAGGATTTGTTCCGTCAAGCCGGTAAGTTGCTCTATACGAACGCACGCGGCGCCCTTTTAAGAGCCTCTTGCGTGATCTCCGCTCGGACAGCAGCTAATTCTGTAGCTCAACAAGGTGCGGTGATTCGTGCCGATGTTCACACTGACGCCACCGGTCGGCCTAAGGGCTCCGGTATTGTCGCGTTCGAGTCCCCTGAGGACGCTCGTAACGCCATCCAGCAATTCAACGGCTACGACTGGCAAGGTCGGCCCTTGGAGGTCCGTGAGGATCGCTTTGCTGGTGCTGGTCCCGGCTTTGGAGGCCGCGGTGGCTTCGGAGGTCGTGGTGGTTTCGGAGGCGGTTTCGGAGGTCGCGGTGGCTTCGGCGGTCGTGGTGGTTTCGGCGGCGGCTTCGGTGGTCGCGGCGGCTACGGCGGCGGCCCTGGCTTCGGCGGCCCTGGCGGTCCTCCCGGCGGCCCCGGCTTTGAGGGAGTCGCTTCGGTTCCTCCCAACCCCTTCACCGACTTTGCCACTTCCGGCGGCGAGAAGAGCCCCGTCATCTACGTGCGCAACGTAAGTTCAAACCTGGCTTGGTTCAGAAGACTGGTTACTCAACTGGATATAGCTGCCCTGGTCTACCTGCCACGAGGACCTCGTCGACTTGTTCTCCACCATCGGCAAGGTTGATCGCGCCGAAATCCAGTATGAACCTAATGGTCGCTCCCGTGGCACCGGTGTGGTTCAGTTCGACAGTGCGGACACTGCTGAAACTGCTATCGGTATGTGCAGGCCATGACGTTGATGGCTGATCCTTTTACTGACTCCTCGCGCAGCCAAGTTCACAGGCTATCAGTATGGTGGTCGTCCCCTGGGCATCACCTTTGTCAAGTACCTGAATGTGGGTGGCCCTCCCGCGGACGCGATGGAAGGCCAGGAGCCCACGGCTCCCATCACTCAGGATCAGATCATGTAATTATACCGGCTTGATGGAAATATCTCGGCTTTCGGAGGATTTGGTCGAAAAAGTTTGCGATGTATGACTCCGAGTGGTTCAAAGGATCACCTGTCGGCGCGGGCTCGCGTATGCTGATTACCTTGAAATATCGCCCATAACCTCATTCCCCATTTTCGATATTGTTTGTGTTCGATCTGTTCGATTCAAGTCACCTTTTATGACGTGTGTTTATCGCTGGTTAGCTTTCGTTATATGTTTTCTCATCTCCGGCGATCTGGTTCCGTGGGGATAAATCAGACCTGGTATGACAATATCCAAGAATGTGCGTGTGTACTCCGGGGTGTGTGGTGTGGGATGGGGTCTTGCGTCCGATGCAGTTGCGGTTTCTGTTGGCTGCTCCCGACAAATTGATGGTTCTGAACAGAGGATATGGTTTGGTGATTTGTTGGACCATCCCGTATTCGGTAGGTCTGGTAATGCGCATGCAGTGGTAATGTGGTAGGCTGTGGTAGGCTATGTACAGTAAGTTCTGCAACATATTTTCCGGTGGGAGACTGTGCTTGTTCCCTTGGTCTCATTGGAGACAACCACGGGATACACCCGAAGACAACATACATGTACAATATAGTTGGTCGTCGTCGTCATCATACTTGACTGTCTTATTCATGTACACTGGGAATCAAGATGAGAATTGCACAAACTCGTTTATACATGGAATGTCGTAGTACATAAACATGAACAAACCAGCAAAAATCTCGGGCAGGATTGCTACAACTCAAGGACAATACCTTGTCTTTCTTGGACCCAATATCGAAAATCTACAGGGAGGGGTGCAAGTGGTAGGTAAATCGGTTACTGTACTGATCCAAGAAAAACTAACGGTGGACCTCTCCCGTCACCTGATGGGTCAGATCCTTTTTCACTATGAGTAGATAGGGCGGAATGATACGGAGTAGATAACTACCACACGGACTGCAAATTGTTATCGCATTGTACTGTAGGGAGGTTTCCGAAGAAGTAAAGGGAATATGATAGATCCAGAACCATACGATCAGAAAAGCCAGCTTGGAGCCAAGCCTAGATTCAAACAGGAAGGGAATAGCAAGAAAGAAAAAATAAAGGCTCATCATCATCATCAACTCAATCTCGTACCACCAACACTCAAAACAGTAGTGATGGAGGGACACAGATGATGGTGATGATGATGAGGGATGGGTAAAATAGATACAAGGGAAGTGTAAGTAAAGAGGCAGCAAATAAGTGAGGCAAGCAAGAAAACAGGAAACACCGCAGTAAGTCACGACCCTTCAATGGAGCACCGCAGTAAAAAAAAAAACCCCCCCTCAACCGATGAACCTAACCGACCAACCGCCTTATCCGTTTCCGAACCGCCCGGCCATCCGTGAGCCTAACGCCGTTGTAAAGAGAAACAGAAAAGGAATAAATGACGAGATTTGAGATAAAAAAAAAAAAAAAAAGGTTCAGCCGTGGTCAAGTTCGGCCTTGACCTGTCGAGCTGTGAGGGATCCGATTGCCCCAATCCGGTTCGCGCTGGTCGAACCTGTCATATGTTGTGGCAGAGAGCGCCAAGAGCAATGGAGTGCACGGTTGTATGATGTGTGTGCAGTATATAAAAAGGGACTGGGGAGAATTTGGGGTAAAATGGGTCACAGTTAGGATATTTGATTTCGTATCTCTCCCTCCCACATATTGTTGTTGGAATTTGTTTGTTGGTATGTGTCATCCTTTATGGGTCTTCAAATATTGAAGGTAAAAGGCGCACACATATCGGATCACCACATCATTGTCGTCAAGTCCTGAAAATATACAAAGGGAAAGAAAACATAGGAAAGGGTGTGACAAAGGAAAATGCCTTCCTGGGGTTGCATGACTCATTTTCGTCTGTCGGAGTCCCTTCCCCAAGTCAGCAGCATTTCAGATGATGGTAATTCACCATTCGTCTGGATACCGGATCACTAGGACTCCTGCTTCTATGGCGACAGGTTATTTGCAGGAGGATAATGACCTGGGATTTGCAGTTCAAGAGTGGAGACACTGCCCTTGGTTCGTGCTGGAGGTCGTTTAGCACTGCCATTTTGTGTGACGGCCATGTCGGTGGCAACAGTGCCGACAGACGGGCCAGCATGTATAATTCCCTCATGGTCGGTGGTTGTCATGGGCTGCTTGGCTGCGCCGTCGAGCTCAACCCCAACAATATCAACGTTGGGTTCCTCATGCTCGTCGATGGAGCTGGGAAGGGTGTTGTGTGTATACTCTGTCCCGTTCGTGGCCGTGGGCGCGGTTGAGGCGCTTTCGCCGCGGTTGCGTTGGCGGGTCAAAGATGGATCTCGCGAGCTCGTGGAACCCATCCCAGTGACAAAGATGGCGTCGCCAGTCTCTCGGTTCTGGTAATCCCGGTCATAACCTTGCTGCGCTGCTTGATTATAACCTCCAGCTTCCATATATGTGCCATAGTGGCTGTCGTGCCTTTCGACTGGCTGGGGATACCCTTGGTTCTCCAAGTGACTATCATTTGCCTCACCGTCGGTCATGGCGCTGTTGAATGGCCGAGGATCGGAAAAGGAGCCGGCCGCCGCCAGCAGGTCTCTGTCACCGGAGCTCTCGCCGCTGGAAGGCGACAGAGGCGCCTCCAAGTGACGGTCTATCTGGACATCGCTGGGAAAGCGGCCTCCTGGTTGGCGGGGCTGGGAAGTGGGACGCTCTTGGTACAGGACGGCTGACTCCGCAGAGTAGGGAGTTCTATCCGCTTCATCCTCGTCCATTCCGTCGCTGCTATTGCGGAAACTGGAGCCGCTCACGGTGCGGACATGGCGTCTCACGTATGCGTTCCGAGCCTCACCCGTCTTGGACATCAGGCTCTCGATGTCTTCGTACCAGGCCATCATTGTCTCATGAGTTTCTGCGCGGAAGACCCACGAGTGACCCCGGTGCATGGTTCCGGTCTGTCTTCCCTTGAGCATGAACTTGTGCGAGGTCGAGTCGGGCTGCGAGTGCGACCCCAGTTTCTGATCCAAGAGGTTCAATGACATCACCGGTTGTTGCCATGCGACGCGGTCGGCAGATTTGAATTCATGGAGGTGAGTGGGCGACAGGACATACCAGCCGGGCGTGTAGCTCTTGAGATACTTGCTCTTACGCTCCAGCATACCCGACCGAACCTCTGCGGCGGCGGGGTGGTCCTTTCCTGGGTAGGTGATGTTCTCGATGTCACGGAGAGGCACCCCGGGATCAACCAGTTCGTCAGTGTCTGCAATAAATGCGTTCCACTCATGATCGTGTGGCATCGAGATGGGTCCAGCGCGGAGTTTCTCCACGGTATCGTAGGCTTCGTCAGCCTCCCGCTTGAGGATGCTGGCATAGGCGTTATAAGCCTTCTGAATCTCACTGACAACAATAGACTCTAGCTCCCGACCGGAATTTTCCAAGTTTAGGAATGCCTAGGCAATCGTCAGTGTCTATTGCGCGCGGAGCATCAATACGAGGAACAAGTACAACATACCCTATGCAAATAGTTCTCTTCTTCCATTTGCCTCTCAATTTGTTTGTCCACACTCAACCGAACAATGAAAGGATCGCCCTTTCCAGAAGTCGCAGATGGATCGGTGTCGACCAAACCCAGGGCCTCATGTAAGTGTCGAACGGCCTTGCGAGTAGCGTCAACTTCTTTGTCGACGGAGTTTCGGAAATCACCCGACAGGCTGCGGATCTCCTTAGTCTTCTTCTGCAGATCATTACGGAGACCCATAAGCTGATTGACAACCTCGCTCTCCACCTCGGCCGCCTTAGTCGCTTCCAGATAGCCCTGGCGGTGAAAGTCGCGCAAGATCCCGGTCGCATCTGCCAGACCTCCCGACTTGAGGAATGTCGGCGGCAGTGATGTGTTGTTCATGATGTTCGAGGAGGACATGAAGAGTTTCGAGCGTGTTTCGTACGACTTCTGCACTTCCTTGAAGAAGATGATAAGGTCTTTGAGGATTTTGCGCCACGCTGTCGCATGTTAGCATTTCGCCTCCTGGATCGGTCTAACTGGATATGAGGGGTTCTTACATTGGAAGCGGTTGGCCAATACCTCGGTCGGGCTTCCATCCGTCGGAACGGGAACATAGAATGCGCTGTTCGGATCTTCGCCATCGACGCCATATTTCTCTCTATCGCCCAGGACGAGGCTTCGTACGCTACCCGCCCGCAGACTTCTCTTGCTACCACTGCGACGCATGCTGCCTCTCTTACTGAGGGAGGCCTTCTTTCTCAAAGTGCTGGATCTGGTCGGAGTTGCGGATCGAGACTGGGACATCTGTGAAGCGGAGCGTTGCATACCAGCGCTCGACGGACCGTCTACAAGAACGGAGCCGCGCTGGCTGGCAGCGTCGAACTCCTCGTGGAAGCGACCGGTGTGAGGGTGAGAGGTGGGGTCGGCGGCGTGGGTGACGTTATTGTAGCCGGAGGTACTGGCGATGATGGAGTTGGGTCGGGAACTGGAGCGCGCGCCGTATGCTCCGCGGTTTATTAAAGAATCGGGATGCTGAGGGAGGGTGCCATAGGGGTCCTGCACCGGCGTTTGCGACCTAACGGCCATAGCCATGACTGGGCAGGAAAGGTAGGCGAAGAGAGGAGGAAAGAAGAGGGAGGGAGGAGGGCGGACGAGTGGCGGTAATCGTCGTGTCGCGAGTAAGAGTGCGGTAGTTTAGTGGTGGTGCCGGGCAATGCAAGTCAGCGCAATCGGGCGGTGCAAGGCAGTCCAGGCCCGTGTGTCGATATCAATTCGGTCCGTCGTTGGAAAAAAAGGTCCGTTGCCGGTTGCGGGCCGTGACCAGAGTTATAAGGGCGTCCAGAGTAACAATATATCATGAAACGCGAGGTGTTAAGGAAGAGATGAGAATAGGGAGGACAGGAGTCGTAGGAGAGAAGGATAAGAGGGAAAGAGAGAGAGAGAGAGAGAGAGAAAAAAGGAGAGTCAATCTAAAAAGAACCAGCCAAAATTGATCGGATTTAGTAGAGTCGTAGGAGTCGTAGTGGTAGTGGTAGTAGTGGTGGTAGTAGTGTAGTATGGCTGGTTAATCGGAGGTGGTATTGGCTGGTTACCGGGGCGAACGACCTAAAGGGTCTCTCATGCGACTAGCAGAATGACTTTCACAAATAGTACCTCTTCGGACAGAAAGAAGAGCGGCTAGAAGAATAGAAAATCATTCCACAGTCGATCAGGACGCGACGTTCGGGGGGAGATTGGGTCTCCACTGAGGGAGAAACTAGTTCGTATAGGATCGATGGGGGAGTGGAAATGGGAAGTGGAAAATTGGAAATTGGAAATTGGAAATTGGAAATGGGCTGGGCCCGGAGTAGGTCGTCGTACTAGGTAAAGTAGTAGAACAGAAATAAGGAGACTCTCCAATTCAAGGAGTGACAGGAGACAATCTCCCAATTTGTACGGTCCAGGTCGCCGTCAAAGTTTCAGGAACAGTAGAGAGCAGGAGGAAAGCGTAGAAGAGTGTAGAGTAAAGTGTAGTGGTCGAAGTGTAGAAATGTAGAAGTGTAGATAACTAGAAAGTTACACAGTTCCCTTTCTTAGCCTCTGAAGGTTTAAAGGGGGGAAGTGGTTATATCCAGTGCCGGTTCGGATGACGTCTACCCCAGCCAAATGAACCAGATCGTTACTGCGACGTTATGACGCTTGGGACGGAATCTCCGGTCCCGACCTCTGACTTTTTTTTTTCTTTACTTTTCTTCACTTGACTTTCTTTATCTCTTCTCTGACCATACACCTTGTTTTTTAAGGTTCTGTTTGCTGAGGAGGGGAGGGTGGCCAGAAAGTACGAGAACCATTCAATGCCACTCTATACTTACCGATGCAGCTACCGTATGTATACACATGTCTCCATGGGTCTGGGCAACATGTACTATGGTCCGTTCCCCTTTGCATTGGGGTTGTAAATTAAATATAGTCTCATAATCCAGACTTTCCAACGATAAATCAAATCTATAGACATTTCACCAATCTCAGACTGGAGTGCAGTAGAACATAGCCAGCCCGAAGGATGATCATCACCAGGTCAGATTCGGTCCAGTACATACAGTAGCAGTAGCACACTGCATGTAAGTAGGTACTAGGTACAATGAGTACTGTAATTGCATATACTCTCTCGAGCACATCGTCATTCTCATGACTATGGCGCCACCCAATGATCATGAAAAGAGCAAAAGGGCGCGCCCACAGTCCTTGCTGCTGATGCTATTTGTTGCTGCTACTCTGGTGGTTGTGGTTGCTGCCTGCCCGAAGCATGATCTAAGTCTTTTCCAGTACATGAATCTCATGCATGGAACGTGGCTGGTGCCATGCATAAGCATCACCCTTACCTTACGTAAGTCAGACTGTGGCTAGGGAGTAAGTCCCCACGGCTCTCGTTTTGCCTTTTCGGGCAGTGGCCGGGGCGGGGGGGTTTGTCCGTCCAGCCAATCTACGGATAGTTTGATACTGTGTCTGAGCAATACTTCCTCATGCCTCCGATGGGAACACCCCCCTTTTTCCATCCTTTCCCCCCTCCCCTCTCCACCCCTTCTCCCTCTCTTGTTGCCGAACCGGTGGCAATTCCAATCAAACTCAGATGCACCCATGAGAAAAGGAGACTCCCGGGCGGATCTTCGGGAATGGATCCCTCTACACTCTCAGCTCTTTTCTGGTCTTTCCCATTCGGGTATCGGCGAGGCAGCACTCCCAGAGTCCCAAGATTCCTATCGATCCTCGACGTCATGCACGGTTCATCCACTCCATGTCGATCCGGATGGGATGCACCCACTACGAGGTACCGGTACACAGATGTGGACGAACCACTGACACAGTTTGTGAGGTTGAACCACTGATCCTGAGGTCAATCTCTTGCTGCTCACTCTCATCGATCGCGAAGCACCCAGCCCGAGCCACACATACCAAAGGTCTGATGGCTCGCTTCTCGCTTCTGCAACAACACTCCACATGACACCTTTTTTCTCTCTGCAATGCACGCACCCTTGACGTAGCCCTGTCACCCACATACATCCCCTCCGGAATGGAAACCAGCTAGCGCATGAACATCAATTCCTCTTTCCCTGTAGTTTGAGACGATATCTACCACAGCAATGACTTCACATGCACATCTGAAGGCGAGTCGAGTCGCCGTTCTGGTTGATCTCAACAACCAGCAGTACTGTTGACGACTCAGGAGGGGAGGAGGAAGAGGGGGCCAGCTCCGGCGATGTGATATCATAAGTTCCCCTGCATAGATTATCATGCATCCCTTGACTCTGTGTCAATACGGAGTAGACAGCTGGGCGACCCATCAGCCTGGGTGAGAGTTTCATCCGGTGAACCTCGGAGAACGGCTGGTTCCCCTTGCCTTTCTAGAAGCCCGAGAAGAAGGGAGGGAGGGTTGCACCGTTTCGCGGTGCTTCTGCGACCTGTAGTGCGAAGTTGCCAATCTGCAGGCCTAATGTGAGGTAGCCTGATGATAAGGAGAACTGTACTACCAGGGCAAAATACTTCTGCCTGTATATGTATAGCAGCGCAGTTGATACTAAGATGCTTAGTGAAGCCTGTCCGAACGCACTTGATCAAATCCAGAGCATTTGCGAACATACAGAACCACTCTCCCCTTCGGATATCGCAACGTTGCTCCCACGAAACGAGGTTCAGGTAGAGTGAAGTGGTAAACTCTTCTGATCTAAGACAGTAACTAATCCCCGATCTAACTTAATGCTTGTTGCAGATGCCCGCAATTATGCGGAGAATAATCCCGCTCGCCTCCCACTGTCCTGCTCCTGCTCCTGCTCCTGCTCCTGCCCCTGCCACTGCCCTCCACTTCCTGTATCACATTCGTCGGCGGATCTAACAAGCCGATCTTGAGATCCGGAGACTTGGATTGTCTATCTATTCACTCTGAAATGTGCTATTTCACAGTTGCTCTTTGGCTGGTGGCGACCGGACAGGCCACCTGGGGACTTTTGCCAGGGTGAATGCTCTGCCATAGTGCTCAAAAGCGATTGGAGTTGACCTTTGTGGAGTCTTCATCGCCTGCTGTGATTCTTCCGTCCTGAAGAGCGACTCGGTAGGTACGAACATCGCTAGCGTATAGTTCATGCCAAGCCCATATGGATTTGCACTCGAGCAAAGCACTTCCAATTACGACATCGCGGCTATGAGCAATGTCAGAGCAGAAAGGGCGCTTTCATGTATCCTGTCCAATGACTGTCCTTGATTTACGATATCTGCATGAAGCACATGTATCTTACCGGTTGTTGGAGTAGCAGTTGGTTGGTAGTAGTAGAGCATTGTCCACAGTGCAGACACTCTACTGCTTTGATAAGCTGACCTTGTGATTGGTCGGTACCCCTCCGGTGGTAATTTGAAAAATGTGGAGGTAGAACATGATTCAATTCCATGCAATGCTTCGACATGCGGAAATGCCTGCAATTGCGATACAGACTTCTTAGTGATGGGATGGCTAGCATGCAATTGAACCATTTGAGGGTGAAAGCGTGACGACTAATATGGTGAAACTCGAAGCAGGGGCCATTGTTCTCTACATCGCTGAGAAGATCGGGCGGCATGCCGAACCTCTAGCTCTTACTTCACTCAATTCGTGACGACCTTCCTTCTCTTCAATTCGGGCCTCAAACGTAGATAGAATCCGCACTGGGCGATCACTTGCGCTGAAATACCTTCTCCCTCGGCGAAGATCAGAACACAAGTAAGGAAAAAAGTGCATTCGTGGGGACGTGCCAAATCTGCTAGCTGAACGGCATCTGGGTAACGCAATAATTTTACACAAAAGAATATATCGGGAATGGGGGGAAGGGAAGACTGCGCAAGAGGAAAATTCAATGAAACCGTTTCTATGATGCAGGAGCGGAGGATGTGGAAACATCGATACCGTACGCCTCCTTGATTCTCTCCCGCCGTCTCTCGGCATACCCAGGGCCGTAGATACCTGTTAAGATATTACATTAGCTTTTGGCGGCGTTCTCCAACATGTGTCCGATGATGCCGTTTCATCAGTGTGGGAAAACCTACCTCGTCCCTCACCCAGCTGAGCAAGGGTGTCCTCCCCGGAGGTTCTGTATGCCGTTCTGATCCGCTCCCGGCGCTCGAACTCGTCGACATTGGGATCCCGCCTCTGACCGAAGAACGAACCGCCGGTGTATTCGAAAGCGCCGAGGGTGACGGCCAGGCCAACACCATAGCCCAGGACTGCGGGGAAAGTGCGGACTATTCAGAACTCGTCAGCGGTCAATCCAATTGGAGAAGGAGGAAGGCATGGGATTGAAGCATTCAAAGCAATGGGGCGGCACTGACGTCTAAGTCCCAGAATAGCACCGGAGAAGAAACCTCCCAGCGCGACATTGTAGTGGTCTTCCTTTTGACGAAGGTTGGCGGAAGCGGTCTTCACGAAGGCGTAGGTACCTCCCATCGCGGCTAGACTTCCGATGTCAGCAACAAGGAGACAATTAAACCGGACCATGCATCAATGGCCAGTGCAATGGGATATTCCGTACCGAAGATACCGATTGTGCCGCCAGTCCTCGTGAACACACCCCACGGTCCGACGTTCTTTCTGGTCAGGGTGTTCTGGACGGCGGAGGCGAAAAGACCCGCTCCACCAGTGAGCATGGTGGTCTTCAGGGTGGCCTGGAGCGCATCCTGGGGGTGGTAATCGTGTTCATCGGCGTGAGGGGCCATGGTGGCGGTGGGATGTGAGGTGGGTGTGTGATGGGCTGTGGCAGCTGGAACTCGTGTCGTCGCCGGACGGGCGTGGATGAATTTGGAGACGTCAGAGTTTCTGCCAGGCGACACCGCCTACTACTGGGTTTCCTTTGAGGAGCTTCCCCATTGAGGGCTATCTGGTAGTAGATTTCCTTGCCGGCTATCGGTCGCTTGTTCTCGTAGAGTACTGACACTTTCCGGTACTCCCTCTCCCTCTATCTCTTTATAGCGTTTCAGACGATTCATCTTGAGTCTTCCGGAAATCTGTTGTGCTTGAAGAAGCACAAGAAACGACCCATCAAGCTTGCCGCCAGGCCGAGTGCGGGCCGCTCACTATTCCCCGCCGTTGCTACCACTTTCTAGAGTGCCTCGTACCTCGTTCTATATTTGCACGTTTATATTTCCGGCCGTTGTCCGAGTGACTCCTACATCGCATTACATCCCGACTTCAAAACTCTTTGGATGACTGAATGGGAGGCCCTTTCCTAAAGCTTTGCCGTTGCCTGCCACAACCCCTCGCGCTGCAGTAAGCTCACTAAGAGCGTACCCATGTCATCCACGCAGAGGTCAGGTACGTACACCCCCTCAAACCGAAAGCGCGCACACAACTCTGAAGCGTTCAACGCCGCTGACGCTTTGATCTACAGGCAGGACTGCTCCCAGTCTCGTACGGGCTCTTTGCGACTACGATCCTGTCCATCCCCCGGCTTCAGGCCGTAACCTCCTCTCCCAAGCTCCGCCCGTCTTTCCTGATTATCACACTGGACCACCGGAGTACATATCTCCTGCCGCATGCCCCCATAACTATGTGATTAAGTCAAAGCAAACACTTGTGCCAGAGCCGGAGAGGAGGAGCAGCGCCAACCCTCCCAAAGTATCTGCTATATGCCGCAAGTGCCGATACCATCTGCAACTGGTTGTGCACTCCACGCCTACAATCGGCCAACATAGCCAAAACTCGCCAAACCATTTGCATCACCTGGTATATAAGTCGACGGGACAAGATGTGACACCGAAGGGACAGACTGTAGAGACGTATGAGTTCGAATGCTCCTACCTCACGTGTCCTACCGTGGTGTCGGTTCGACTGGTCTCCCCTGTACTCTCTCAAGGATTGGTACAGCTATTGACGGATCCTCAAGTCATTCAGCAGCGAGCAGAGGAGGCCTTTGCAGCAGAACCAGAGCGTCTGGAAGGCCTCGCCGTGCCACAGCCGATTGCTGTTCTCGAGATCCTCGGCGCATACCTGAATAATTCTTTAAATGCAGCTGACAAGGGCAAGTCAATCTCGTCCAACAACAAGAGGTTTATAACTAGCTTCGGTCTCGATGGGGTTCCTTGCAAAGATCTGCTGGAATTCCTAGGGTTTACTGTCAAGGTTCGTACATTGGGTCTGGCCCTACTCGACCACCATGCCTGACTATCGATTAGAATGAAGGATTCTGGGAACCTCCGCGGACTAGTCCATGGACGGAACATCCATACCGGGACCAGCTCAAGATTTTCCTCGACGATGTCTTGCACGAAATATCCGCACTGGTAGAGCAGCGACCTGTAATGGAAAGAAAGGGTCATCACGTGGAAAACCAAAGCGATCCAGCAATATTTGACTTGCTTCGTGCGTTAGATGCGGCTGATTGTAAGCAAGACTTGCATCTTCTGGATGAGTTCCGACTAATCATCATGCCAGACCCTAATGCAGACCGGTCGAAAGAATTCCAACTGGCTCCTGCACCGTGCGTTGATGCCGTATCTCAATTCGCTAGCACCTGCTAACAAGATTATAGCTATTATGAAGATCTGGGCACTGTCGACGATATGTCGTCCGCTACGATCATTGAAGCTTTCAACCGGCAGGTTGCAGTCGATCCCGCACGGGCGCCTTTATACCTGAAATGCCTCAAAGAGATCGAGCAGCTAAGGGGCGGTGACGATGCCGCTGTAATCGAACAAGCGGTCATTAAAGCTTACGCCGAAGGAAGATTCACCGAAGACGATGTTGCCGATGCCTATAAATACTTCGGTCTGGCTCATGACAACCCTCGGCTCACGGAAGATAGTATCATTGGGACATTCAACGCGTACCTGAGCTCCACAACCCCGGCCCAAGAAGCAGAGTCTCGCAGACAGATGCGCATAATAGGCGAGAGCAGACGTAGTGACCGCCTCAAATCCGTGGCGGACGATAGTAAGATTTCAGCAGCACGATCCAGGCGCTTTTTGATCGCGGCTAACCCATGTGATAGGCGTATCGACCGTGGAACAAGCTCAGGACTATTTAGGTGTTACCAGTGAAACTGCCGACGACTTCATAATCTCCTTGTTTACTGCCAAGGTCGGCCCCCCTTGATGGCCGCTTCAGTTTTTCACAGGCTAATGTGTTTCGCGTAGGTTGAGGATGCTCCCTCAAACAGAGATCTTGCGCGGCGAGCTCTTGAGCTTATTGCTGAGGCGCGGAAGTCCGATGCCTTGAAGCACTTTCTCAAGACCGGTGAGATGACGGCCGGTGAAATGGACATTGGAGATGCGTATCGTCTCTTGCGCATAGACAATCGCACTGTTGACGATGATTTGATCGAGGCGGCGTATACGTGCTGTGTGGTGGAAGACCCAAGCAAGGTGGAATTGTACAACCAGGCCTTGCAGATCATTGGGAAGCATAAAGACAGCAGCTTTCTGTCCAACAAGGCCACGGGAATGGGCCCTGGTTCAGATCGTAACTTGTCAGAGTGGCCGGTCGGGCTGCAGAACATCGGCAACACCTGCTACCTGAACAGCTTGTTGCAGTTTTACTTCTCTGTTCGTGGGTATCGCGACTTGATCCTGCACTTCGAGGATTTCAGCATGGACCTGAGCGATGAGAACCTGAGCCGAAAGAAAGTAGGATCCCGCAGAGTTTCAAGAAAGGAGGTCGAGCGCTCTCAGCAATGTAAGTGCTGCTCGTTTTGTCGGTTAGAGCCAGAGGCTTACCTTTAATGACACAGTCGTGAAAGAGTTGCGGACCTTGTTTTCGGAAATGATCACATCTCCGTTTCCTTATGTCACACCAAGTCAAGAGCTCGCGCGGTTGACTCTCATTGGAACCTCAAATGAAGAAGCCATTCGTCGCCGCTCTACTATCTCGACTTACAGGCCCGCCGCAGCCCTGGGCGAACTCGAGGGAATGCCAATTCTGGGCCCGCTTGGTCCTCCGCAGCTCACGCAGGAAGAACAGGCCTCTAACACAGCCGTCACTGATGTGTCACCTGAAAAAACGACTGCGAAAGAGACGCAGCAATCTCATAATGACGACAAGGAAAATGAACCTCCTGCTGGCACCACGATGGAGGACGCACAGAAAGTAACCCCGGAGCCCTCGAGCGGTCTTGCTTCGGCAGAGCAACCCGTGATAGCTAGTCAACCACCACCAGTACCCCCACGGCCAACCCCTGTCATCGATCCCCAGAGACTACTCCAAGAAGAACTGGAGATTGGAGCCCAGCAGGATGTGACGGAGGTCATCAATAATGTGCTGTTTCAGAGCCAATGCGCGATCCGGCCTGTTTCATACTCTGCCGATGGCGAACAGATTGATCAAGTGAAGGAGTAAGTTGAAGATGTGCAGTCTGAGAATCCTCGCTAACAGCTCCTTTCTTCAGCTTGTTCTACGGGAAAACCATATATTATCTCAAGTCCGAGCAGGGCGTTCGTCCGATGGAAGAATGGTGGTGCGACATCAAGGTCGATGTGGCATCAGGTCCACGCAACATTTATGCAGCGCTTGACGGAGCGTTCGATGTTCAGAAAGTCAATGTTGACAACACCGTCGCCGAGCGATTCGGTACTATTAGCAAGCTACCCCCAGTGCTTCAAATCCAGGTCCAGCGCGTCCAGTTCGACCCCCAAACGAAACGCTCCTTTAAGTCAACTCATCATCTCGGCTTAGAGGAAACCATATACCTGGATCGCTACATGGATACCAAGTCGCCTGAAATCATGGCAAAACGGCAGCAGAGTTGGGAATGGAAAGCCGCACTGAAGAGTCTCGAAGCTCGGCAGTCAGAATTGTTACACGGTACTGTACGTTTACCAGAACCCCCCTCCCCACCTCAATTGAGAAAACATACTGAACACTCTCGTAGGAAGGTGGCAAGGTCGATGCAGCGGGATTGCTCGACGAAGCCAGCAGGATTCTATCCGATATCGAGAGTATTGCAGAAGAGACAAATTTCGCTGAGGATGCGGGGCCTTCTGCAAATGTAGAGGCTGAGGAAACCGCAAATCCTCTCGAGGACGCAAACTCCGCCGAACACTTGTTTGATGTGGATACCAGAAAGCTTTGCGCGGAGGTCAATCGGCTCTCTCAACTAGCCCGTGATGAGTTGACCCGTAAGTGCTTCCTCCTCTTTCCATGTCTTCTTTATTACAATATCCGCGATGTCTCTGACTCCCCAATAGAGGTCCAGGACGAGATCAAGAAGACTCGAGCCATGATAGCCGAGCAGTTTATTGAACACAAAAATGAGGCTTACCGGTTGTATGCCGTGTTCATTCACCAGGGCTCTGTTGAGTTCGGCCATTACTACATCTATATCTTCGATTTTGACCGCAATGTGTGGCGCAAGTACAACGACCAGGAGGTGAGCGAGGTGCATAACGTGGATGAGATCTTCCGAGACCAGGGCCAGTACAACCCTCCCACGCCGTACTTCCTCGTCTATGTCAACGACCGATTGAAGCATGATCTGGTCAATCCCGTGCGCAGGGAGTTACTCGAGATGGCGCCTGGGAATGGCTTTGCCGCCACGGGAGAAGTCACGAACACGGTGCCATCGACTGAAGATGTGGATATGAACCCGCCGTCATATGATACGATTTGGACCGACCAAAGCATGTCAGGTACGGGCGCCGACCACCCCATGAAGAAGGAGAAGGATTCCATCGAAGCAGGTTACAGCACTCATCCTGACTTACGTGATGTGGTGTGGTAGACTCCGGGGATCCAGCACCAGGGCGACAAGCAACGCCTAATCCCTTGAAGCGCAAGGGGTTAGATGATACGATGGCCGGAAGGGTGGAAGGGCGTTTTGAGTAACGTGAAGGACACAGCTTGTTAATATGGACTGCATTGTGTTTATTTTCGTGGTGCAAAGTGAGGAGGACCGTCTTGCCAGGTCTAGACAGTTGGTCTTATCAGTGGGCGGATGGGTGCTTCCATCTGCTGCAATGTCTGTGATTCTGCGTGACACTTTCGATTTGATATTGAAATGCTGTTATGCAGAGCGTGTTTTTTTTTGTGTTCGGTACGATATTCTTTGCACAAGCATCTGGAGGATTATTATGTATGCTTTACTGTAAATAGTTAGTGCGATTCAGCGTCACGATTGGTTGATGACGGGGACGATGTATACACACACATGGATACACATGAAGAATCTCAGAAGACTTCGATCCTGCTTAGTCAGAGGGCCGATCCGATGGGGGCCGCGGATCGGAATCGGGCCCGATTCCGACCCTGGGTCCGCCATCATCGCAGGGCTTGTTCTTGACTGAATAAGGGAGTTAACGGTAATAATGAATCTTGTAAAAGCATTTTGCGAGTACTCCCTTTGACACCAGTGCCTTGTTGTGTTCTCGAAGACACTCAAAACAGGTGAAGTGAGTGCAAGGCAGTTGGCCAGACTCCAGCTCCAAACTCTCCAGTGCGGATTGCGGAGACGAGCAAACCAACCGTGGGGTTAGCGCCTCTCAATCCGGGGAAGACGGCAGCAGCGGGCAGCGGGCAGCGGGCAGCGGCTGTCTTTCCGCATCTCCCCGCCTGAAGCCGTTCGCTGCCTTTCTTGACCCGATAAAAGGCGAGGCTTCTCCGCTGCTCGACCTCAATTCTCCTCTCTTGTAGACCAACTCTCCTTAATCCTGTCTGACATCTTGACTTTTCTACCTCCTTCAAGTAGGTGACTGCGAGTCAGGATATCCATCAATCACTGCAGAGAGTGTTCCTCGTCTCCACTTCGACTCATACTACCACCATGCCTTCTCAACTAGCTACGGGCTTGCGCTTTGCGCGGAGGCTCGGTACCGACCCCAGCAAGGTAGGCTCCTGACCCTTTCTATTTTACTTCCCACCATTTGATACTAATGTGGGCACTCGTCTAGCACCAGCGATTTCTTGCTCGTGCGTTCTCACACAGCATCCGTCGGCCAGAGATCAACAAGGTAGTCTCTTCCGCCGATCTTGCGATCAAGGATTTGAAGCCCAACTCAACAGTACTGGCCGGAGGTTTCGGTCTCTGTGGTGTACCGGACACTCTGATCAACGCGGTGCGGGAAAACCCGGCCATCAGCGGCCTGACCGTTGTCAGCAACAACGCCGGAGTGGACGGATCCGGACTGGGCCTTCTCCTCCAGTCCAAGCAGATCAAGAAGATGATTTCGAGTTACGTTGGAGAGAACAAGACCTTCGAGCGCATGTACCTGACGGGCGAGATTGAGCTGGAATTGACCCCGCAAGGCACTCTGGCCGAGCGGTGTCGGGCCGGTGGAGCCGGGATTCCCGCGTTCTACACCCCGGCGGCCTGCGGCACCGTCGTGCAGACCGGAGAACTTCCGCTGAAGCACAACGCCGACGGAACCGTGGCCCTGTACAGCCATCCGCGGGACGTCAAGGTCTTTGACAAGAAGAGCTATGTGATGGAGGAGGCGATCAAGGGCGACTACGCCTTCGTCAAGGCATGGAAGGCCGACAAGCTGGGCAACTGTCAGTTCCGCTATGCGGCGGCCAACTTCAACGGCGCCATGGGCCGCAATGCCAAGACGACGATCGTCGAAGCGGAGCACATCGTCGAGGTGGGTGAGATCGAGCCCGCGGCGATCCACCTACCCGGGATCTACGTCAAGCGGGTGGTCCAGAGTACCACGCCCAAGGGCATCGAGAAGTTCACCTTCGCCAAGGAGGAAGGCGCTGACGAGGCCGCCGCGCTGGGTAAGGGTGAGACGGCCGCGAAGCGCGAGCGCATTGTCCGGCGCGCGGCCAAGGAGTTCAAGAACGGCATGTACGCGAACCTGGGCATCGGCATGCCGATGCTGGCCCCGAATTTCGTGGACCCCTCGGTTGAGGTCATGCTGCAGTCCGAGAACGGTATTCTGGGGTTGGGTCCTTACCCTAAGAAGGGACAAGAGGACCCGGATTTGATCAACGCTGGTAAGGAGACGGTGACGCTGTTGCCTGGCGCGGCGTGTTTTGGTAGCGATGAGTCCTTCGGCATGATCCGGTCGGGTCGCATTGATTTGACGATCTTGGGCGCAATGCAAGTCAGCGCAAGGGGTGATCTGGCTAACTGTAAGTAGTCATACAAACCTGATGATGGAGATGATGAAGCTAACTACTTGGTGTTCAGGGATGCTTCCAGGCAAGATAAAGGGTTTCGGTGGAGCCATGGACCTTGTCTCGAATCCCTCTGCGACAAAGGTGGTTGTGACCATGGAGCACACCGATAAGAAGGGAAACCCTAAGATCGTCAAGCAGTGCGAGTTTCCCCTGACTGGGAAGACTTGCGTCAGCCGCATTATCACGGAGCTGTGCGTATTTGATGTCGACTTCACTGACGGGTTAACGCTCGTCGAGCTAGCGGATGGAGTCACTGTGGAGGAGGTGCGCAGCAAGACCGAGGCGCCCTTCAAGGTCGCCGACGATGTGAAGCCGATGCTGTGATTCGATTCTATTGCACCTTATTTGCAGCTGGATTTGTGGTCGGATATAATGTGTGAAATGACCTGACAGGTTCAGGTCGGGAGATATGGATTGTACTGTACATAGATGAATAAGGTTGAACGAAATATTGCAATTGTATTCTGGGTCGAACTTCAAATAAATATCATCACTTTTGATTGCTGCGCATCATTAAGGGAAATATATACAAGTTTTGTTGCGCCATAAGCCATAAAAGTACAGTACAGTGCAGTACATGTTTTTCACCCCCAATTCCCGGCTCCATCCCCTCTTTCGAGTTTTCGAGTTTCTCCAAAATCGAACTCCAGTGACTCCCAAGGTCAAAAAAGGTCAAAAGAAAACCGACGCACGCAAAGCATATTCCACCCAACCCATCTAAAAAAATGTTATTACAATCCCACAAATATCAAGAGTAGAGTACCGTGCCCGTGCCCAAGGCTTTTCACCAATCCCCCAGTCTACCTCTACCCATTCACCCATATCTTCCCACCTTTGTACCCTATCATACAGCGAAACACCCACAGGTATCACCCACAAGGTAAAAGGTCTACTTCAACCGCAACATCCCCGCGACCTTCTTCCGCAACCGGCCCAACCAATCCCGGTCCGGCGCCTCGTCGAACTCCCGGACCACGTTCTCGTAGTGCTGCGGGTTGCTGGCCGGGTGGCGCAGGCGCGGGGGCAAGGGGTACCGGCGCGCGAACTTGTCATTAAGGAGGGCGGTGAGGGCGTCGAGGTTGGCCTCGGAGAGGCCGGTTTTGGGGGGTGTTTGGGTCTGGGTGGAGGACGGTTGCGGTTGGGGGAGGCGCGATTGCAGGTAGTTGTGGATGGAGACGGAGGCCGGGCGGACTTTGTCTTTGGGCCAGTGCGTGAGGAGGTGGGTTATGCGGGTTGTTGTTGACTTTTGGGGGGGCATGTTAGTTATGGTTCGGGGGGAGGGCTTTGAGGGCGTTGTAGGGTCAGGTTGACTTGACGTACGGGTGTTTTGGTGGCCATTGTTTTTGGGTGGGGGTTGCCCGAGGGGGAAATGGGGTGGTTGAGGGTCGGAGGTTGAGAGTGTGTGTGAGTTGGCGTGGAGATGAGATGATGGACGGATGGAGGTTTTGTATAGGATTGAATTAATTTGCGGGATGAGAGGTTCTATCGCGATATGCAACTTTTGTTACGGAGCTGCATATGCTTGAGCTCGTTAGTCAGGAATTAGTAAGCTGTCTACCTAGAATCAATAACCGGTCGATCATCCATGAAATTGGGACGGAAATATGTATTTGGCTTGATTGAGAGAAAGTTATATTCTTGGAAATCTAAATCTCTTTCCTTCATATTTGTTCTTGAAGATTAGGGGCTGATGCCGGTGGCCGGTGTTTCCACTGTTGTCTGCGTCTGCTCTTGAACAATGCAGCAATTAGGGTAATCTATTCCGAATATGGAAAGATTATTGGTATGTATAGTTGTAGGTATAGCATTGCAATTAAGAGTGTACGTATGCCGCAGCCTCCGGTCAATTCTCAGACACAGCACCTCTAATTTTCTCCTGGAAGTCCGGAATGAACTCATCGTCGTCGATCTTCAACCCCCTCATCACCCCCGCCAGCATCGCGTAGATCCCGGTCATGACCAATACCTCCACCACTTCGTCCACGTCCAAATGCTGCAGAGCTTCCTTCACCGTGTCCGGCTCATTGGTCGTCCCCTTCACCTGCTCATCTACTAGCCGCAAGATCACCTGCTCCCGCTCACTCCACGGCCCCCTGCCCTCGATCACATCCTGGGCCGAGCATCCCATGGCCTCGGCCTTCTCCGGAGGGAAGCCAAACGCCTCGGCCACGGGGACGTTGACATCCCACTCATACTTCGCATCGAGAGCGTGGGACACTCGGAGCACCACCACCTGCCAGTCGAAGAGCGAGAGCTTCCGCTGCTTGCCGTCGAAACAGGCCCCCAGCAGGCCACTGATGTGGGGGAAGAGGCCTTGCGAGTGAGCGAGGATGAGGAGAATGTTGCGCCGGAAGGGGAGGACTTTGAGGCGCTCCTGGATGTCTGAGGGTGCAATGTTGGGATCAACGTAGGGGATGAGGCAGGTTTTGCGGTGGGGGTCGTTGTTCGGTTTTGAGGCCATGGTGTTGGGCTGTTGAATTGGGTAGGCGGCTGGTGCTGTCTAATAGGTATGGAGCGAACAATGCCGTGACAAAGTCCAGACTGTAAGTACCGGACGAGGGTTAGATTGTATGACGATGTTTTTTAAACGGTCGAGTGAAGTTCTTGTTGCTATCGGCTTGGATCTCCATCTCTTGGAGCATATGGATCTTAAATAGTTCTACCGTCGACTGCGCGGGGATGTTTCGGGAAACCATATTTCATCATAGTTGATCCTGTGGAAAGTGCAGGCAAGAGATGTACTGTCGGGCATTTGAGGTCAAGAGAAGCGTAATCTCGCATTGAGGCGAGCCATAGTTGTCAGTCGGTGGCAATACATCTGCTAGGCATGCAAGTCCGTATGTAGTGGATAGAATGTATAGCTAGTCCGGTAAACGCGCCGAAGTCGCACAATTGACCTTCTTTTCACTATTCAATATGCCCCATATAATGTTATGATTAAATATATACGTACATCATCGAATTCCTGCATAGGATGGTTCACAGCATCCATACTCATAGCAGCAATGCCGAGAAGTATGTTGTGCAACCAACTCATGCTTCTTTGCTTACTGATTGGCTTCTGCCTAAGGCCCCCACAGCCTCGCGCCACCCACCCAGGAGTGCCTGAGTGCCTTACGCCCGTCTCCTCGTCATCCCCGATCATCTCCTTCCATTCCACCACTCCTCGCCATCCCATCTTCTGACCCCCTCCACATCCCCTTTGGGTTGCTCTCTCCCTTTCCTCCTGTCTTCTTTGTCGATCGCTCTATCTTGTCCGGGGTGTTCGTTTTGACTGTGTTCGATTCTTTCCTTTCCCTTCCGATCCGGTCGCTCCGCTCGCTCCGCTCATTATGAGCTCGCAGCGTTATCAAAGGGTATGCAAACCAAATAACACTTTCCTACCCAAGGCCTTGGTCGGAAGTGGCAGCATTTTTGTTGTGCTTGTTGCGGTGTGCTTGGTACTATATCAGATGAACTGACGCGATGGGATCAAATGCAGGTTAATGCCCACGATGAAGACGACCACCTTCAATCCCAATCGTCCATCCCTCTCCGACCTAGCCCGGCCCCGAACTCCCCTCCCCCTTCCTTTCGCTCTCGCTCATCCTCTTTCTCTTCCCGACGTCTTCTCCCCAACGATAACCCTCGCCGACACGATGCCGACCAGACCCTAGCCGATGCCTTCGGGGACGGCAGCGACTCCGAACCTGACGACGAGCCCGATGACCGTCAGCGGCTAATGCGGGCCCAGCCAGAACCCTGGGCAATGGCAGACAATCACAGCAGTGCGGCAGCAGCGAACACCACAGCCGCCTCCTCGTCTGGCGGAGCGGGCGCCAGCCCTGAGGCGTCCTCAGGGGAGACTCGCGGTTCCGGAGGCATCCAGCGACGACCAACCATCTTGCCGTCCTTCAGCACCCCCAGCTCTGGAGCAAGCCGGGTGGTTACTTCGGCGAATGATGGTGTATTCGCCAATCTGGCAGCCAAGCCCGAGCGTGGCGAGAAGAACGAGGATTTACCACCGGTAGGTGATTTGTAATCCGCGCGCTGGGTTGCCACGGGAAGATATGTGTACTGACTATCGATTGAATAGTCCTACGAAGAAGCGGCAGCTGACGCCACCCCGCCATACTGGGAGACGACGATCTTGGCCCCCGGTATCTCTTCGGACGAGGTTTTCGTGGACGGGCTGCCGGTCGGCTCGATCTTCTCGTTCGTTTGGAATGCTATGATCTCCATGTCTTTCCAGCTGGTAGGCTTCCTCTTGACCTATCTACTTCACACCACACATGCAGCCAAGAACGGTAGCCGGGCGGGTCTCGGCCTTACTTTGGTGCAATACGGTTTCTACATGAAAGGTGGCAATGAGTCGAAAGGGTCGGACGAAGGCGGCGCCGACTATGTCGCGCCTCCCGATCCGAACAGCCACAGCTTTGACCCTAATAATGTTGATGGTAGCACGGGCGGTGACGGAGGCGGAGGAGGCATGTCTGGCATCACCACGAGCGAATGGATTTCGTATGTGTTGATGATTGTCGGGTGGTTTATCCTGATTCGGGCCATTAGCGACTTCTTGCGAGCGCGACGTCACGAGCAGCTTGTGCTGCAGAGCCCTGAGCGTGGGCTTAATGTGCCAATTATTGCGACAGGTGAGCGATCGGAGACGGTCGTGTAAGCCTGTCTTGGAATGCACGGTCTTGGAGTGGGATCACGGGCATATACATTTGGATGGAGCATTGGCGTTCATGCGGTGACTGTCATTTCGTTTCATTTTTCTTCTCTTCTTTCCTTCTCTTCTTTCTTTCTTTCTTTCTTTCTTTCTCTCTCTCCAGACTGGGCTGTCTGTCATTCCCTCGGCATTCTTATGACTTGACCTTTGATGGTTGTATCTACCTAGAGTGGTTGGATGGACGAATGGGGGAATGATTAATGGGACCTGGGACTGGAGGACTGTAGGTTTAAGGGTTCGTTTTTCTTGGGCTTTCTTTCTTATGGAGATATATTGTTAGCGAGATACCAATTACCCATCTGCCATCATCTCAATGGATGAACATTGTGTTGACTGTGTTATAAGTTATGAAGTATTGTAGATTTCTTGTATTGCTGCCCGTCAACTGGAAAGGTGGAAGGGGGAAGAAGGGGGGCTGCCAGGCAACCAAGCAACCCGCCGAGTGCAACCTCGCTCGTGTCCTGCTCTTCACTCTTCCTCCTCTTCTTCTGCCTCTTCATCCACAACTGACTCTCTTTTGTGTAACAACTATTGTCTCCAGACTATGCCCTCCTATTTTTACCAACTCCGCGATCTCTCGTTATCCTGATCCTCACCTCCCGTCTCTCGTATGGCTGCCCGATGACGATCGACACATCTTCTTGGCGTTTTCTCCGGCTTCTCCGCGCCTCTTGTTTGTTTCTCTCCCAGCCTTTTTCTTCCTCCTCTCGTTCTTTGCCTTCTGGTGCTCCAACTCGATAGTTGTTTGGCCTCTCCTGGCTTGAAGCTCTAAGCGCCACTGTCTGCGTAGTCCGTCTTGCGTCAGGACTTTGCCTCCACATCCCATGCCGAAGGTTGACTCTGCGGGGGAGGGGGAGGCTGTTTCAGGGCTGCCTCGAGCCCCCGTCGAGGCCCGCTCGCTATCCTCGATCACTGCCATCGCCTCGAATCCTCCCGCTTACCCCCGCAATCCGGCGCAGAAGAAGTTGGACCCCCTAGTCCTGTACATCGTGCGTGTACCCGGTAGTAGAGGTGGGTAAACACTGCGAACCGTACAAACCCTTGCTGCATGCTATCGGCAAATACCCCGCACTATCACTATCGGTCGCCTGCCGTCCAGGCTAGTCGTGCGACCCAGCCACCTAATTCTCCTTCCTCGATTCACTTTTTCTACTCGATGAACAACTGCTGACTGCTCTGTCTGTTTTGCGCCATTATAGATGTCTTCCTCACTCCCTTGAAACCCCCAACGAAATCGAGCGTATCGGCGGAGGCCATCAACGCCTCCCTCTATTACCTGCACGTCGCAACCCCCGAAGATGAAGCCCTTCTCCAGGAATACGAACAAGAGCGTGAAGAGGAGGCCCGGAAGCGCAAGGAGGCTCTCGGAGATGATGTGGACACCCCTCTTGCAGGCCCACCAAACCTGGCGCGATTGAACAACGTCCGGCGCAAGCCTGTACCGGGCGGCGCGATTGCGGCTGCCTCGCCTAAGGCAGAAGCCAATGTCGCATCTCCTCCGCTTCCAGCCCATCTCCGCCCAACTTCATGGCAATCGCAGGAACCCCAATCCCCACCACCGGTGCTGGATACCTTACAGCGTTCGTATCTCCCCTATCGTCCTAGCTTCCAAGGCGCCGTGCCCAGTGAAACCTCGCCCGTCACCCCTCCGCCACATCTGCCACTGGATGATCGCGACAGCGTTCTGCAGCTCGCCACGGGAGACTTTACAAATCTGGAAAATGCGCGGCCGTCCAAGCAGCTACCTGCAGCCCCGCCGGAAGATCCTGCAGCCGGTGACGCTGTCTCGACGAAGAGACCCAACCGGTGGAGCGCGGCGTTGTCGGGGTACATCTCTCGCGGTCAGGAAAGCTGGAAGGAGAAATACGAGGTATTGTCGTCCAGTCGCAATAGCTTAGACACTAGGCGGCCTCGACTTCGGCCTGAGATCCGGCCACACTCGGCACATGGGAGCCCCGCGCGCTCCTTTCAAGGATCGCCTGCGCGAAGCCCTGGCCAGTCTCCGAGCCGGAGACCGCAGGAGCGTCAACCCCGCGATGCCCCCGGATTCCACATCACTCTCATTCGCCGCGATCCCACACATGGCAGTCAGTGGAATGTCGCGACGATTTCCACTCCCCGCTTGGACGGTAGCGCCTTTGATATCGAGATCACCACCCCGGGTTACAATCGATTCCTGGCGCAGGATGAGCCTTTCTCCCTCGCTAGTCTGGGCTTGAATCTCCCCAATACCGACGGACGACCACCGTCACTAGCATCGTTCAAGCTTCCTGCTTCTGTTCCGCCTGGCTTCCTGGACCCCACCCCAAGTCCCAAGCCAACTTCCGCTCCGAAAAACCGTTCCCAACCTCGACGCTTCCGCCGCAAGCTCTGCGTCTCTCGGCCATATGCCCAAGAGGAGCCTCGGGGGGGCTCCTTGGACATGAACCGCGCGACACTCGACCATGGAGGCAGCGGCAGTCCGCCTAAGCCACTTCCGCCGGGCATGTCCAAACTCAAGAGCGGCTACTACACATTCACGTCACCCTGGAACGGCATCTGCACTTTCTCCACCAGTGTCAACGGCCGCAGCCTGAAATGCAAACATATGATCCCCACGCCGGGCGCCCCTCATCACTCTCACAGCAGAAGCAACGACAGCAGCCATACTCACCCGTTCCCCTCCTCCTCTGCCTCGACTGCGACGCAGCCCCCCGAAACCCCCGCCGTAACCGTGGCCGAGATCCGCTTCAACACGCCCTTCCAAGCCGGTCACCTCCACCAACCCCCCGGCCCATCCCACGTTTCCCCCTTCGCCCTCAGCCAAACCACCCCCTTTCGTGACCTCTCCAATCCCCAACAATTCACCACCCCTCCCAGCGAACCCAGCCACCCCACCAACACCACCATCTCCTCCCCGCAAACACCAACCTCCGCCGCCTCAACCACGTCCAAACGTAACTCCCTCGCTCAATTCCTCAACCCAAACACCTACACCCGTCCCCGCGCCCGTTCCGGCGCCAGCATCTCGAGCCTCGGCGGTGGCGGCGGTAGCCCGCACAGACATCACCAACAACAACATACCCGCCACCCGTCCAACAGCAGCACCAGCAGCGGCGGCGGCGGCGATGTCGACGATCCCCACCACCATCACCACCACGCCAAGCAAAAGGAAGAGGGAGCCCTCCTCCTGCGCCGCCGCGCCAGCGAAGACGAGCGCCTCGACTTTTCCCTGGCCCGCGAGCGCGCCGGGGGCGGTATGCGCGGCAAATCCGCCAAGCTCGGCAAGCTGATCATCGAGGACGAGGGCATCAAGATGTTGGATCTGGTGGTCGCCGCTTGTATGGCGGTCTGGTGGCGCGGGTATTACTACTGAAGCTTGAATTTGCACTAGCTCAAGGACTGATTGGCTTGGGCTTGGGCTTGGGCTTGGGCTCGAGTTACTCCGTTTAGTTGGACATATATCTATCGGAATTGGATCTCTTTTTGGGGCTTATTTCATATACGTATGGCTCTCGTTGGCCCTGTCTATATTGCTCTGATCTCCAGGAAAGGGCGGGGGGGTTCTGGTTTTGTCTTGTTTTTTTTACTACCTACCTACTGTTTTGAAACATGACTGGACAAACTCTGTGGTAGGGCGAGAAAAGGGCATATGAACGGTGATTTCTTGGGGACTTTGTCTAGGGTTTCTCTGGATCTTGCTCGTTTCTCCTACCTGGAGCTTTTCAAGTTTAGGGGGAAGAAAAGATTCAAGATCCTGGTTTATCGATGATGATACGTGGGGTTGATCTGTATAGTATAGTGGAATATTTTTTCGATGGTATTTATGACTGATGAAGACGAATACGATAGTGGCTCGCCTGACAACTGATTCATCTGTCAATGGACACTTCCCTCTCGTACGAAGCAGGAATAAGGGGCATTTGGTCATTGGGAAGAAGACCTCGGGGATTGAGGCACCCAGATGAAGCACTCTCATTTATGACGCAACCATACAGACGGCGAAAAAGAAGTCCTCGAAAAGGGTAGATACGCAGGGGAATTCATCTAGGTTTGGTTTCTGGTTTATTTGCATCTCAGAAGAATAGATTTGACAGTCAACCGGGAAGGTTTTATATTGTTGGAGGGTAATAGACATAGCATATATCGGGCAGATGACAGTCCCGGAAACGCCCGCGAGTTCCAGAACGACAACGGGAAAGTCGACGAATTTGGTTTGTAGGGGGATTCGATTCGACGGATATTACGTGGGGAGCAATCGTGCCCCGTACTAGATCTCTTCTTTTTCATCTTTCATCTTCAATGGGTCATCCCTTGGTAGTGCAGTCGTTGATGGTTCATGGATGATACCGGCAGCTCAGCGCAGGCAGCAACCGCACACACTCATTGCACATCCATGCCACGCTGCAGAGACGATTCCAGATCGTTCTGGTGGCCACCGCCCGCGGCGAGCGCTTCCTGTGGCTTGGGTTCCTCCTGCTTCCATCCACCCTGCTGGTTTTCGGGGATGGGCACGTTCGTCTGCTGCGCAGCCTGCTGTTGTTGGGCCGCGGCGGCCTGCGCCTGCGACTGCTGCCGGACGGTTGAGCGGAAACGCACGACCTCGTCGTAGATCATGTGGCGCATCTCACCCACATCATCAACAACCTCGAAGTGGAAGTCAAAAGTGGTGGGGCACGTGGGCTCGTCCGAAGCGTCGTGCCAGATGTGCAGGTACGGGTGCTCCAGCGCCTCTTCAACCGAGATACGCGACGTGGGGTCGAAAGCAAGCATGCGGTCCAACAGGTCGAGGGCATCGGGGTTGGCGTTGGGGAACAAGCGCTGGAAGGGAATCTTCGGCATGAAGGGAAGGTTGCGCACATATTCCTGGGCCCGTGGGGAGCCAATGCGGCTAAGGGTTTCCTCGTTGGGGGTTCCCAGGTAGTGCAGGATCTGGTTGAGCTGGTCGACATAGTCGCGACCCTTGAAGAATGGACGGCCTCCAAGCAGCTCAGCAAGGATACAGCCGACAGACCAAACATCGACTGCGTCCTGATATCAGCATCTCGCACGACATGGAAAGAACAGGATATCACTTACTAGCTTTGGTGTAGCTCTGGAAGCTCAGCATGATCTCCGGGGCGCGGTACCAGCGCGTGGCGACGTATTCCGTCATGTATCCTGCATTCTCCTCCGGATCGATCGAGAAGCCGCGGGCCAGACCAAAATCACAGATCTTGAGCTCGCAGTCGGCATTGACCAGCAAGTTACCGGGTTTCAAGTCACGGTGCAGCACGTTCGCCGAGTGGATGTACTTGAGACCGCAGAGAATCTGGTAGATGAAGGATTGGAAGTGGGCATCGGTGAGGGGCTGTCCGGAGCGGATAATAGCGGCCAAATCGCACTCCATCAATTCTATAGGAGTGATGCATTGTGTGAGCGACCACTTCAAGTCATCAGTCGGGGTGGGGGAGCTCACCTTCGTAGAGGTAGGTCTCGTTGAAGTTGTCCGGGCGGGGAATATCCATATCGTACAAGCAAGTGATCTGCAACAAGCTCGAGTCAGCGATTTCCCAGGGGTCAAGATACATGGCGTGAAAGCGTACGTTACGGTGGCCTCGGAAGTGCTGCAGCAGCTTGATTTCTCTCAGAGCGCGCTTGGCCAAGATCTTCTTGCTGAAGACATTGGTGACCTTCTTGATGGCAACACCTTCGCCCGTCTGCACGTTGGTAGCAGCACTGTCCGTTCTTAGTCTTCATTGCAGTTGGAAAGCATCACAGCACAACATACCAGACAATACCGTATGCGCCCTGACCTAGCTCCTTGGTGACATTGTAGCGCTCGTCGACAACGAAGTCCTGGTTGAAGACCTTAAAGATCTTACGGCCCTGCAGGTCGGACATGTTGAACTAGCGGCAGAGCGAGATGAGAGCAAACAATGAGGACAAGAACAAACGAAGAAGGAGAAGATAGCAAGAGAGGGGGAGAGCAAGAGAAAGAGAAAGACGGGAGGAGGAGAGTTGAGTTGAGGATGGCGCGAGTGAGCGAACGAGAGAGACCGAGAGAGACCGAGAGAGACAAGGAGGCTCAAAGGGGAAAGAGGGGGAGGGCGAGTTGTTCCGACCCGGTGGGGTACAAAGCAAATGGTTTGTTTGTAGTTGGAGTTGGGGATGAGGGGGGAAGTTCAAACGTTGCTTTCTGTTGACTCTTGCTCTCTTTCGCTCTAACTTTGTTCTTTCTTTCAAAGCCCCCCTCCAGAAATCTACATCCCGGACACCATCAATTATACGAGAGACACGCCTGACGCACACGAGAGTGCAATCAATACTTCCACAGCAATAATGCAGACAAGAACCAAGGATTGGGTGACTGTCAACCCGTCCGGAACGCCCCGCCAAGGAAGGGTACACTAGACGGGCAATTGGCAATTGGCAAAACAAAAACAAAAACAAAAAAAAAAAAAAAAAAAAGCCCAGGCCGACTGAGAAGGCCACGATATGCTCCTTTTTACTCGCTAGCTTCGATCGCTGGATGGACCCAGTGTCCCAGTCTCCGAGTCCTGAAACCCACCGGAGACCCAACCGCTGCAGCAGACAGATAACCGCCTGTCTGCTTTGCTGCAAAGAGAGGGGCCGATGGAGACAGGCTGAAATGTGACAGCTCCGCTGATTGGGTCTACGAAGCGCGCACCGTGCTGCACGAGTGAGCAGCAGCAGCAGCAGCAGCAGTAGCAGCGGTAGCAGCAATAAACATAATGAATGCATGCAGCCTGACTGCATCTGTGAAATGGCCCTAGCTTCATGGGAAAAGAATTTTGCCTATCATGGCGGCCTAATTCTTGTTCATGAGCTCAAATGCATTACTGAACAGCCACTTCCAAGTTGTTCCCACAGGCCCCAAGGATTTTCCTATGGTATAGAATAAGCATTTCTGGTCTAGCCGAAGGCAAGCTCCTAGCTACAATCGGAGGATGGCATGACTGCATTGGCGAGTCGCTGCATGCACCAGCGATTCAGCCGCTCAATGTAAGATCTAGTGTGCGCAGCCCAGGACCATCACCTGATTTCCAATCAGCTTGAGAGCTCATGAATGGCATTCATTTGGTCTATTTGCGCCAAACTAAAATTGTAATCTAAGAAGATCATTGACTGTCTGCTGAGGCAACAACCCAGACTACTTCCAGCACTTCTAGCCTCTCCGGCTCTACCTGTCGCGTGTAAATCTGTCGCACCCGCTCGCGCTCTGCCACTGCAGTCTGCAGGCGATACGAGATCTTGTTCGCATCCTTCCGCCGAAGCGGTCCTAGGCTGAATGTGAACGGATCCGGCCCCGTATACTTGCTGTCATCCCAGGTCTGCTCCATGGGCAATGGATCATCTGAAATTGTAGCATACTGGATCACCGAAAAGCCGTTCACAAGGTACCAGTCTCCTGGTAGAAGCCACCTGTGGAGTAACGCTTCATCGCCAGCGATGCTAGCCACCTTACTCAGAGCCACCATGTCCGCTTGGAACCAGGACTTCCAGTGGTGCACGGAGAGCGGTTGTTCCCGACCCGCCTCGTAGAACCCGGACGCATCCCCGCGGAGATCAACCTGGAAGAGGCCCTTTTCCCAGGTAAGCTTCGTGTTCGTATGCGCGTAAATGCACTGCGAGAGCATACGATCGCCGCCACTCTTGAAGACGTAGCATTCGTCGAAGAAAGGCTGCAGCTGCTGGATCAGAGGCAGCGATAGGAAAATCCCCGCCCCGCCGTATGCCATCAGACCCCCACTATACAACTGATGCAGGTCCTCCGTCATGCTCCCGACGTAATGCGGCTGCGTCGGGTCATAGGTGGCCAGTCGGTCGACCAGCCGCTCCATCGAGGGAAAGAAGGTATCATCATCGATCAGGACCGTCCATTGGGTGTTGTCGTCCCGCATTTCGTACAGGTGCCGAACCAGATAGAACCACCGATCCAAGCGCTCTTCCCCGACCTTCTCCCGGATCACCAAACGGATCCCCAATGCCTCCGCCCGTGCAAGAGCCTCCTTCTTGGCGGAGCCGGCACTGTCCACCACGGCCAAAATCCGCGCGTTTGTACCACCGGCCCAATGCGCAAAGGCATCCAAAGACTCAAGCAGGCGGTCCATCGAGGTCGCGACGCCGAAGACCAGGTGCGATGCATCGGGACGGGGACGCGGCCGGGGGCCCTGGATGGTCACGGCGGGCGTGCATCGCACGGCGGGAAGGTCCTGTCGCTGCGCACCACCCTCTAGGGACACTGTCTGGAATTTGGGAAATTTGGCATCGAGGGTATCTGTGTACCCGGTGAAATTGTCTGACTGGTTCACGGCGATCTCTACTCGCGCGTACTCAATTGAGGAAGACGTGGGAGAATATTGCCGCAGGAGATCGAGATCCACGTAGCACGGGTTCGTGTAATCATTGGGAGACGATGACGGCTGGTTCAATTCATTGTGAGACAGGGGTTCAGTGGTGGTGGTCCCGCGGGACGAGGAGAGGAGAAAGATCAGGCATGCGGCGAGGAACGTGGCCGCGATAAGATGGGAGGGGTGACGGTTGATTCGAGACATCATCAGGGATCAGACATGACGATGATCACCTCGCTTTCTTTGTTCTGGCGTGTGGAGAAGACACCTTAGCACGGCAGAAATGTGTATGAATGGGATTGTTGCAGAAAACTCGGAACAATTACCCCGGGAGGGGGAGGAGGAAGGAAGAAAGGGAGGGAGTGCCCTCTGAAGCTTACGTTGACATAGGTGGAGAGAGGGGCTCGGGTGGATCTTTAACACTCATAGAGGAATATGATGGATCAAGCAGTGTACCAATCTTCAGGAGAGAGCCAAGGCAATTTTCGATATGAAGCACCGAGTAGACCGTCCACATAAACCAGCTCAGTTAGGGGTCCTGGCATGCTAAACTACAGCATTCCGCCGAGTGAATTTAGCGTGCCTCATAAGCATTTGCTAAGTAGTCCAGCCGGGAAGGACCCGACAAAGTAAATGCCGCCAATCGAGCCATTGGTAATTGATACCAAGATAAATTCACATCTTCTCACAACCCCAACTTTTCCTAAGCTACGTATGCTTCAAGAAACACATCATCATCCAAACTCCAGCTCAATAACAAGCCCAACACCCCCTTTCTAATTTTAGAAGCACAACCTCTCGCATTTTAGTCTTTTTTCTTTCCTGCCTTGCATTGGCTCTTTATGCGAGCTAGGATCTAAAACTATGGTATATCGACACGTAAATCTTGAGTATTCTTAAGCAACTCACTCTACCAGCGAGCAGAAGGGCAGAATTCTCCTTTTACAGAGAGTTGACCAGTCTGCGCTCCTTCCGCAGACTGCGGAGCTTCTCACGAGCCTCTTCCAGAGGAACCATGATGCCCTTGTTCTGGGTGGCGGGGTCATCACGGTTACGGATGTTGACCGAGCGGTTCTCCTTCTCTTGGGCACCGACAACTAGAATGACGGTATTAGCATAAGTGAGGATATTTTGCACGAGAAAACAGAGAACTTACCGAAGATGAAGTTGTACTGCTGCAATTGTCCAGTACGGATCTTCTTCTGCATGGTGTTACCGCTGATATCGATGTCAACGTTCAGCTTGTCAGCGCGCAAGATTTGCTGCAACTCCTCGACGTAGTCGTTGACAGCGGGCATGACCGGGACGATCAGGATTTGACGGGGGCTGATCCAGAAAGGCCACTTGCCACCGAAGTGCTCAATCAAGATACCAAGGAAACGCTCGAAACTGCCGATGATGGCACGGTGAATAACAACGGGACGAGCGCGACCAGGACCAGGCTCCGTGGACTTAGTCTCACCCTCCTTAGGCTCCTCCTGGGTCATCTGGGCCGTCTGCGTCTTCTCGTTGGTCATATATTCAAGCTTGAAGTTGATAGGAGCTTGGTAGTCGAGCTGGATGGTGGCACACTGGAACTCTCGCTTGAGGGCATCGGCAATGGTGATATCAATCTTGGGGCCGTAGAAGGCTCCATCGCCCTCGTCAATGTACCAGTCACTGCCCTTGAACTTGGTCATAGCAGCTTTCAGCTGCTCTTCGGCATAGTCCCAGGTGGCAAGCTCACCCAAGTACTTCTCAGGGCGGGTAGAGAGCTTGAGCTTGAAGGTGAAGCCAAAGAGGCCGTAGATGGACTGCAGGAAGTCGAAGAGACCCTCGATCTCGGACATGATCTACGCTGAATTAGTTCCATTGTGAAATTCTGAGAAAGGCCGTGCCAATTCCTTACCTGGTCCTGAGTACAGAAAATGTGGGTATCATCTTGCTGGAACTTGCGGACACGGGTAAGTCCGCTGAGAGCGCCGGAGGCCTCGTTGCGGTGCAGGACACCAAAATCCGCGATTCTCAAAGGAAGCTCACGGTAACTGCGGTCACGGTGACCAAAGAGCACGAAGTGACCAGGGCAGTTCATGGGCTTCAGCGCCCACTCTCTCTTCTCGACGTCCAACTTGAACATGTCGTCCTTGTAGTGCGCCCAGTGACCGGAAGTCTTCCAAATACCAACATCATACATGTTGGGGGTCTGGACCTCCTGGTAGCCACGCTTGCGATACTCTGAGCGCAGAAGGGACTGGAGAGCGTTGAAAATCTTAGTACCGTTGGGCAAAAGGAAGGGACATCCAGGAGAGACTTCATCGAAGAAGAAAAGCTCCTGCTCCTTTCCGAGCTTAAGGTGGTTGCGCTTCTCTGCCTCCTCGAGGAACTTAAGGTGTTCGGACATCAGCTTCTTGTCAGGGAAGGCGACACCACGGATACGCTGTAGGGAGTCGTTGCTCTGATCGCCAAGGAAGTACGCCGAAGAGTTCTATGAGATATGAGCAACAAGCCTCTATGAGACAGAGATACCACGACCGATCATACCTGCATGATCTTGAATGTCTTGATCTTGCCAGTGCTCTGGATGTGGGGACCCCTGCACAGATCGACAAGAGTACCGCACCGGTAGACAGTGCTCTTTTCGCCGGTCACCAACTTGTCAATGTAGTGAAGCTTGTACTTGCTGTATGCGAACATCTTCTTGAGGTTCTCCTTGGTGACCTCCAACCGGTCGAAGCTCTGCTTCTCCTTGAAGATACGAGAGGCTTTGCTGTCCAAGGACGACCAATCAGTCTCCCTGACGACACGACTGTTCCGCAGTTAGCGAGGAAACTCCCAGAGGCAAAGACTGGATGAAAGTACCCATCAGGCATGGCCATATCATAGAAGAAACCCTGGGGGGTGGGGGGACCGTGGGAAAGAAGACATCCAAACTCGCACTCACAGGCCTCTCCCAGGGTGTGCGCGCTGGAGTGCCAGAAAACCTCTTTTCCTTCGGGGTGCTCGAACGGCACATAAGAGACGGTACAATCACCCTCGAGCGGGCGGCCAAGATCCCATAGTTCCTTGTCCACCTTCGCGATAACAATGCTAGCGCTCAATTCTTTGGGGACGTTCTTCAGAAGCTGAGCGGGGGTGGTCTCGAAGGCCTTAGCGGTGACATTGGCGGTGTTGCCGTCACCAAGTTCAATGGTGACATTGATGTCGTTGTGGGGCTTGTTCTTGAGCTCTTCCAGGTATTGCTGCCACAGCTCCTCGAAGAGGTTGTTACGCTCGATGATAAAATCGGGGAGACCGTTGCCTGGCTCGTTTACTGATTAGGAGGGCTTCCGATAACATTTGGCGGGGCAATAATGTTAAACTCACCAGCAGGTTTGGCGTCGGCAGCAGGCCTGACAGGCAGATCTTTGGAGCCCTCGGAAGCCATGACTGTAGCCCGCAACGTCAGAAGGTCAATCTGAGAAGAGGTGTACCGACTATTGAAGAGGGGTAAACCAGCAGCGGGATGGCTCTTCCGCATCGAAATCGGACGATCATGACTCAAAAACCGAGACGGAGGGAGGGGGCGGTGAGTCACGTGAGTTAGAACTGCCCTTGCGGCTAGCGACACTTGCCGCTTCGAGGCTTCCCACCATTTGAAAACTTCTCCGGACTCCGGATTCAGATCGATCAGAACACCCAGCAATACAACATGTCTTTCCGGGGCCGTGGTACGGGCGCCAATCGTGGCGGTAGCTTTGGTGGTCGCGGTGGTGAGTTTTCAGCCAGAAGAGCATGGGATAATTGATTGTCGCGTTGAGGATAGGCTAACGAAATTTTCTTTGGATAGGTCGCGGAGGCTTTCAGCAGCCTGTCGGACCCCCGGCGCAGGTTTTGGGTAAATATACCGCCACAAAACGACCAAGCACTAGTCACTGATGGATTTGCTTCAGAGATGGGAACTGTCATGCATGCTTGCGAAGGCGAGATGGTTTGCGAATCGATCAACCCCAAGATTCCCTACTTCAACGCCCCCATCTACCTCGAGAACAAAGTACGATTCACTCCGATTATCGCTCCCGAGACGACGCCATTGCTAACGAGACTTGCCCTTAGACCCCTATTGGTAAGGTCGATGAGGTTCTTGGCCCCATCAACCAGGTCTACTTCACCGTGAAGCCTCAGGAAGGCATTGTCGCGACTTCGTTCAAGGCTGGTGACAAGGTCTACATCGGCGGCGACAAGCTTCTTCCCTTGGAGAAGTATGTTACGACATCTACAGGGTACTATATAGGCGATGCTAATCTCCTGGCTTTAGGTTCCTTCCCAAGCCCAAGCCCCCACCGGGTATGATTCGGAACATATATATGCATGAACAGATCTTTGATACTAATAACCTTAATAGGAGCTGCCAAGCCCAAGAGAGCCGGCGGTGCTGGTCGTGGTGGTGCTGGTGGTCGCGGTGGCCGTGGTGGCTTCGCTCCCAGAGGTCGTGGTGGTCCTCGCGGTGGTGGTTTCGGTGGTGGTCGCGGCGGTGGCTTCTCCAGAGGTGGCGGTGGTGGTTTCGGTGGTGGTCGCGGTGGTGGCCGTGGTGGTTTCTCCAGAGGTGGCGGTGGCGGTGGTTTCGGCGGTGGTCGTGGTGGTGGTGGTGGTTTCTCTCGGGGAGGTGGCAGCGGTGGGTTCCGACGATAGACAGTGTCTGTCTGACCTAAAGTACTGTCTTATTACGGCGTTATGGGAAAACGGGAGCTTCTTGCAGGAATTTATTTGTCTCGATATTCTTGTGCATCCTCGGAAAATTGCTGCTTGTCAAAGTGCAGAGGCTGTGAGCACAATGCAGCCATTAGACCCATGTATTGCAATGATTATACCTGTTAATTCTACCTTGGTTTCCCCTGCGACGCCTCTAGCCGAATATAAGAAATAATTGCAATATCTTCGTGATGGCTTCCCCTTTTTTGGTTCATGTTGCTCTAGATATAAGACCTATTACTAATCTGGGGTTATAGCTCAGTGGTAGAGCGCTCGCTTTGCATGCGAGAGGTCTGGGGTTCGATCCCCCGTGACTCCATTTTTTGCTCGACTTGCATGCCTCGTGAAGGTTGACGACGGTATCCAATCAGTGTCTTAGGGATTTGTCGGGCTATGCAGAAACTTTGTTCGCTACTATGCCTTCCAGACAAGGGGATGTGCTTGACAAGGACACACGATATGCGGCGAGAGCTGGGCATAACATCAAGGGAGAAAAAAAAAAAAAAAAAAAAAAAAAAAAAAAGACGGTGGGGGAAAAAAGGAAATAAAGAACCGTCTTTTCTTCCCCGAGACCCCGGGCATATTAATCTCAAATTTCTACTCTTGTGGGTAATATCTGCTACAAAGTAGAGTAATTACTAAGCTGGGGTTATAGCTCAGTGGTAGAGCGCTCGCTTTGCATGCGAGAGGTCTGGGGTTCGATCCCCCATGACTCCATCTTTTTGGCTTGCATTTTTGCACCCGTCATCTATCTTGAAGGGCTACCTACCAATAATAACATTTAAGTTTGACTGTCAAATAGCTCCTATCACGGACCAAAATTACGAAACTTTTATTTTTAGGGAGGCGCACCAAACAGTGGTTTGTTGCCATACCCTGATTATATGGGAAATCAAGAACATTATACCTACCACAACCTACGCTGGGCTTGACCAAACAGATATATATCTAAAACAAAAGAAGCAAAAAAGAAAGGTCTATTCAAGCAGCATCCTTATCGGAGGCAAAAAGCATTGGAGTCATGGGGGATCGAACCCCAGACCTCTCGCATGCAAAGCGAGCGCTCTACCACTGAGCTATAACCCCAGTCGTAGTGCTATTGTTTTATTTGATAGCAGTCACATTCACACAATGTAGCATAGGTCCAAGGATTGTTTTGTGGCGCAAATTCTGCAACGTATTCCGATAATTGGTAGCAGAGGCTGAGTGGTGTGGCGCGGGCCAACACCGCCTTGCAATGACGTCTAGCCACGCCTAAGCGGTCAAAGAATAATCTGTGCGCCTGTCAACACTCCTTCAGTCGATAACTGGGTTCCCATTGCATCATTCCCCTTCCATTCCCCACGGACAACCTCCGCATATAATCAAGCTTCCCCCGTTCGATCTCTCGCCCTCGCTTCAGTCTCCTTTACAATCGAATATTTGCAATTTGAGCATGTCTCGGAGGACATCCACCATGCCGTCGAATACATCTCAGAATAGCCGTGTCCCACCTGCGGGTGATGGAGGTATGCTTAAAACCTGGTGCCAGTCTCTCTGCGACAAAGTATGCTCACGATGTATAGGACAAGAAAAGCAAAAGATGCTTCTTTCAGCAGAGACGGGTCATTTTAGCATGGTCAGGTTAGCATCCCCGATCATCAAGCTGGTCTCTACGACCATGTACTCATCTGCTATCCTTTACCAGAGCTCTACATCTCGCCGATCTTGTGACTGAACTGAATGGTAAGGAATCTGATGTCATTGAAAAGTGATCCATCCCTAGGAATTCTGCTAATACATGTTGACTATAGGATTCTGCGGAGGCAAGCTACATCTCTGCCCGAGAGAGAGCCTGCGACCTCATACTGACTGGTTATGAACAGTGATGTCTGTCTTTTCGTCAATGCGCTACTGTCTCGGAGATCCCACCGATTATTCCTCTCTCTGGGCTGCTCTTACGTTTATGCCTTTCGGACTCTTCTTTGATTTCATGGATGGCAAGATCGCTAGATGGCGAAAGAAGTCTTCTCTAATGGGACAAGAGCTCGACTCTTTGGCGGATCTGGTACGTTTGTGGTCAATTCTGATATGGCTGGGGACCTGCTTCTGATCTACTATTCTTGTGCGTTCCCAGATCTCCTTCGGAATGGCACCCGCCGCTGCAGCGTTCGCCATCGGCATCCGCACCCCTGTCGACCACTTTTTCCTGACGTTCTTCGTTCTCTGTGGATTGACCCGGTTGGCGCGTTTCAACGTGACCGTTGCTGTACTTCCCAAGGACAAGACCGGCAAGTCCAAGTATTTCGAGGGCACGCCCATCCCAACCACCCTATCTATCGCAGCATTTATGGCCTACTGTGTCTCTCAGGACTGGGTCCAGGACAGCCTACCATTGGGCCTTGCGGGCGAAGGAACCGCGTTTGAGTTTCACCCCCTCGTGCTCCTTTTTGTGCTGCATGGCTGTCTAATGGTCAGCAAGACGCTGCACATCCCTAAACCTTAGAGGAGGTTCAACATACGAAAATGAGAAGCTCAACAGACGCGGTCCAATCTGTGTGAGCCGAGGTTTACATTTCTTGATAGTAGAGATGTCTTATTAAATGAGCATATATACCGAGGGAAAACCTACGTCAAAAGTGGACATCGAGTTATTTTTGGAGATAATCCTGTCGTTGAAAGAAACCACATTCTACTGTCGCATTTCGCATTTGTCTGCTGTTATTGATGGTAAAATCAGATCTTAAGGCTTAGTGCAACCATAACCTTCTTTTTCTTCTTGGGGCTCAGACTGCCTCTGCCTGGTGTCTTCAGTTACAGTAGAATGGAGCCAATATGTACTCTGCCAACTTCTCCGTCGCCCCTGGGATCCGCGATAAGAACAATATACTACCCATGCCAGCAACTGTTCCATTGTCTCTGCTGGCCACGGTCGATTTACTCTTTAATTGCAGTTGATTTAAAGGACTCCACAGCTGGTATGTTATCCGTGGACAATGCCCAGCAATATCCTATCAAGTTTTCCCTTGTACTCTGAGATTATGTGGCCCGCTCGTCGCAAATATGTTTCCGCCCGACCACTGCATGAACCACCAACATAAAACAACCCGCTGACACAATTCATCGTTTGGCCCAAGCACCGTTCTTTATTTTATCTTTACCAAGCAAGATCAACTGACGAAACAAATCCAACCCGCGCGACGACATGTGAAATATCATCAGACAAGTACACATAAATTCACCCTCGGTGCTGCCGGCAGCTGAATGCTGGCAGTTTCTGTGAATGCCCGTCTAAGCTAGCGGTAACTGCCTCGCATTAATAGAAGGCAAGCCCTCCTCTAGTCCCACAGTCTAGAATGATCCACGGCCTGTTTCACTCTGGCCGTCGTCGATATGCTTTTTCATTCGCACGAGGGACTATTGTTTCGGGGGATGTTCTGTAATCTCGATCATTCCTTGCAACCATTGCACAGCTCACGCGACTTTATTCTTACCAATGCCGCCGATTCCTGGACTCGAGGAAAAATCCCCGTCTTCAGGACCTGAAGTAGGTCTCATATTTGTTCCAACCTGCCCGAAAAGCGAGTGTACAATGGATCTCTCCTGCCCCCGTCATTTCTACATCATAATGTGACAGGCTTATGTTGCCGAGACATAAAACGCTCCGCCCCAGTCATCCGAGTTCTATTCAGCCGGTGCAGACCGTCACGGGCCCGTCAGGCAATCGTCCGTCCGGCTCATGCGCCATATCGCTGGCTGATGTCAATCCAAACGAGCGAGGCTGATTTCTCAGCAGATGATGAACAATGATCAGTCAAGCGAGCGATTTGCTTAGATACTATAATAAGGACATGTCGTTCGTCGCTCCCGCCCGGAGTTGCCCTGCAAAGTTAATCTTTGTGCCTCGGAGGGCTTTGTTTGCTAAAGATAATCAATACTAACCGTGATCCACTACGTCGGGCCACGGGTGTTCATGCCGGCATAGAGATTCCCCAGCTTTGTACTGTGCAGACGTATGAGGAAAATCGAGCCAGATAGAAAAGCTGGGTTGGCTTCAGTATCTCATCGCAGGGCTTCTCAAAGAACTGACAGGTTGAAGGCAGGAAGCAGATCACAGAAGCCCTTGAAGGTGTTTGTTTCCGTGCGTATACCGCATATTACATGCCAACCCGCAATTTGGACACGCGGCATACTATTGAGAAACTGCCTGGTCCAAATACAGCAGACGACGTGTGTGGCTTGAACCACCCGAAAAGAGAGAGAGTTCTTACGTGCAATTTACACTCGTCGATACGTACACCGGACAGGCCGGAGAGAGGGGGTAATTCCAACGCGCTGGGGTGAGATTTGTTGCTCGAATACTATTTCTATGAAAGATGGCATAGCATGTAACTGATGGGCTATTGCGGTAGTGGAGAACAATCTTGATCCCACTGAGTCTAGAAGGTCCAGACCTCACATCTCTTTTTCCAATCTTACTTCTAGCCTTTTGGCAGTTTGCAAGAACAACAATGCTTGCAACTTGGGAAAGCCGTGTTGCGAATATTGACTGACACTTGGAAAAGTTCGGAGCGGCGAACATCTAGGGTTGGGGCTAGAAGAGAATTCTCCACTCCTCTCTCTCTTCCCTTACTGCACTTAGCCGGAAGGGCTCAAGGGCCTCTGGGAGTTAGGGACTGGTTTACCTCGTCCCATCATTCCATTGGTGACTGACAGGCATCTAGTACCAAAGAGGCCTAGTGAGAGAACTGCTTATGGATTCTAGTCTACCTTAGCTCGCGAGTCCCTGAGCGCTTTTTTTCTTCCTGCCAGTGGTGTTGTTCTCCCCTTGCCGGTGGTGGCCTCGCCCTTCGTTCTCGCATCCGACTCACTGGCATGGGCCCTGTCGTGCACTATCCGAACATCATTCCTCGGGAGTACGGTGTGAAATGTCGGGCGTGGCTGAGAAGAATGTAACTGTCAGGCAGGCAGACTTCGACATCTTCGACAGGGAATGTGGTGCGAATAGCATTTAAAGAAGGCGATTGATTGATCGCTGCTGCTTGGGATTGCCCCGGGAGTTCGAGGCGAGCGGGAGAAGTGTCCCGCAAAAACATCCACCACGTACCGTGGACAATTCGCCACAAGCAAAGAAGACAGCAGAAGATTATCGATTCTTCGTCACGAACGACTGTCCAGTGGGCAGATTCGAGCAGCAGCAGGCCAGTTAAAGTACGACGGATCGACGGATAACTGTGCCCGATTTTTTTCTCCTCACGACATAGGTACACCTATGGACGGTACTATAAATATCCTCGAGGACAAGTGGTCGAGGTCGGACGACAATCGGAGTAAGACATGGGCGGAGTCAGTCAGTACGGTACACCGGGTCTGGTGGATGGGAATTGCGAGAGGGGTGTGTGTGTTTGTTCTTTTGACATGCACCTGTAGTAGGATGTACGTTACTGTAGATTGTCGGGTACACCTCGTGCACATTGACTACAGTCCACACCTTCAGTCAGTCAGTTAGGCGACATTTGAAGATGAGCGAGATGGAAGAAAATCAGCATCGTAATAACGAATGGTTAAGTCAGTTAAGTTATTTGGTGTACCATGGGATGGCTGTTCATCCCGTTTCAGAGCAGCTCATGACCAAACTGCAAGCCTTGGAGTGGATTCGCACATGCCAGTCTCCGCCCGTGTTTGACCCAAAGGAGGAAAAAGTGGGAGTTGCCCCTGGACCCTCCCATCGATCATTCGTCACACGCGCGGGATCATTTCCAAGTGCTCCGTACCTGGTACCTGCCTGGTACTGTACCTTAGCCAACTATCCGGTATTGACTCGGTACTAGAATAGATTACCACCATGCAGTGGCTCACTTTTCTGGGTACTGTACGGAGTACGATAGACGCACGGCTGCACGGGCTGCACATCCTCTGATCCAGGGTTGGTTTCCCTCCCGTTCCCAGAAGTTTACCGTACCTGGTACTCTGTATCCAGTAAGGTACGGAGTACCACCTCATTGTATCCGTAACTGGCATGTTTTGTTGTTTGTTTCCCCTCCTCAATTCTCTCTTCTCTTCATCCCCTACTGAGTTTAGCATCCTTGACTAGCCTGTCAGTGCGTCGCTTAAGGGCCTTTTCCACCCTTCGACCCTCTTTCCCCTACCCCCAATTCCATCTTGCCGCCCAGCCAGCAGCAGCCAGCAGCAGCCAGCAGAAGCAGCAGAAGCAGCAGAAGCAATCCCAATTCTATTTCTATCCACCTAATCTAACTAATTATTAGACTAGTCCGGTCAATCACACTCTTTTCCTTCCTCTAGAGGAGTCGTTGAACCGCCTCGTCACTTTCCTTCATCCCCTCCTGCTACTACTTGCTTGCTTGCTTGCGCTTGCTCACTCACTATTGACCCTAGACACTCGTTTGCTCTTTTGGGCCTCCACTACTATCATTACCATTCTATCCCCTTCACTTGTCTCTCTCTTCGACTTTTCACACTTCTTTCTATTTTCTCCACCGGCTGCCTGTCACGCGTTGCTTCCCTAAAGCAACTCAGACCTCGACGCCTTCGTATAACCGTTATTCCGCCAATTTCCGTTCCCCCCAAATCTCCGCCCCCCCGATTGCCACGCCTCAATACGCTCAAGGACCAATCCGTTCATTTATTGATTTGGGGCACTCTCGACCCTGACTGATTCCCCTGCCTAAGATACCCGTTCAGTCGCCCACTAAACTCTGTTCGACAGAAAGGGGTGCTTGAAACAACCTGCTCCTCAAGGCCCTTTTCTTCCCCGCCAAGGCGAACATCACACACTCTTTCCATCGCTTGCATCACTCTAGCCCTTCTTCTGCGCCCACCGGGGTTCAACTGTCCACAACTCGAACACCTCTCACATTGTACCCTTCTACCGCAGATCGCAGTGACAAGTACCTAAGATCTTGCGCAAGACGGGAAGCCGAGACTCACCCGACCTTCGAGACATTCACCCCAGCGCTCCGAAAAAGGGTTACGCAGGTCGTCCCTTTCCCTTCGTTTGCATCAACAAGCAACCTTGACTGTTGTGTCTGGAGCAGGTGTCCAGTCACCTCTATCGGCAGCGCCATCGTTATCCCATTCATCATGTCTTCCTTCACGAAACTCTTGACCATGCGGTCGGCTCTTGTGGCCTCGGTCCTCTTTTTGGCTGCCCATGTACCCACGACCGCTGCCTATGACGAAGTTTACAACGGATGCTACTCGAGCTCAACGCCCTTGGAAGACCAAGGATCATACACCTACCAAAGTAACGGATATTGCCAGAAGTTATGCTTGAAGGATAACTACGCCGTGTTTGCACTCCACAACAAACAAGACTGTCTCTGCGGAAATGAACTACCGGCCTCTTCGGACAAAGTATCGGATGACGAATGCAATCTGTCGTGTGCTGGCTGGCCATCGGTCATGTGTATGTTGCCTTTACCTAAGTGAAGTTTCTATGTGTATTCGATGCTGACCATTCGTCTAGGTGGCGGTGCAAACACATATTCGGTCTATCTAACAGGTATTGAGGACGACGTGGATAACTACTCTTCCTCGAGCAGTACTTCCAGCAAGGGCACCGAAGGGACGTCGACTTCGACAACACAGACACCCACAGTCCATGCCGTCACGAGCGGCGGGCAAACAGTCTATGTTACCGAAGCTCCTGCCACTCATTCCGCTAGTGCAAGCGCTACCCCAACCGAGAAGTCAAAAAGCTCAAGTGCGAACACTGCTGCGATTGCGGCAGGTGTTGTCATCGGAGTAGTCGGCCTGTGTGCGCTCATCGGTGCTGGGTTCTTTCTCTGGCGTTTCAAGAACCGTAAATCGGTGGAAGCGCAATATCGTCGGAGTGTTGGCGTGGACGGTTACGGACAACCCATGGCACAGGGCAGTGACTCCCGATTCGATGGTGATTTCATGGCTCAAAAACGGCAAAGTAACGGCAGTATCGACGATGATCAAGACTTCTCCCGTCGTATCCTGCAGGTAGGCTCTACCCGTCCCAACACAACAGGTGTTTGATTTGAGGCTAACTTAGTTTTCAGGTAACCAACCCCGACCGCCGCTAAGAGTCTCTCCGATACATCCTGGCAAGTCGTCGCGTACTTGCGCCATCTGAGTCACGTTCTTGCTTTCCTGCCATCCGACACTCCGCTCGCTTGTGATATTGCCTCTTCTATGAAAGACGCTCTTCTTCTCGATATCCCCCTTTCTTGCCAGGCTATTTAGCGACCTTGTGATCTCAATATCAGAGCATGTTATCGGACAAGATCCCACTTCTTCATCAAGCCTCGACTACGATGGTCCCATTTAAGATACGTCGCTGGTGGTGACCCAGCATCGATCCGAATGCGCTTCAGCACTCAAGAGGGTTGTCTCACTGCCGAGACAAAAGGCCTCTAGTCCCGAATCACCGCTGTGATGTACTTTTGGAAGGGCATGGGCTCAGTCACCCAAGTTCAACGCTCCCTTGGGTTGACACATCCGACATGTCCACCAAGGTTCTTTGTTGTATTCTTGCTTTTAACCAGGGCGTTTGGCATGGGTTGTATCTTACGTTAGTCATCTCTCTTTCCGGGCGGATCTTGAGTCCCCGCTTTCTCTTTTCATCTCTTGAGACATCGAGCTTCTGTTTTTGTGATGCTTCAAAACTGCTGCGATGCTTTTGCAATGCCTTATCGTTGATATTATTAACGGTGGCTCCTGTTTCAATATGAAACGGACAGGACAGGACAGGCTAGGTCTCTGTAACTAATGTGAGGATGAATGGATATCATGCACTCGTTGATAGGTGTAGGTGTAGGGACGTAGTCTTCTGTCAGTTCCGACGGAGTGGGCTGCGTACAGCACCGTGAGCGCCAGCCAGATCTCAGTCGACACACTCCAGCTGACACGGTTGACAATCCGATTCCTTCTGCGTTCAAGCAAGACTCGAACGAGTCATCCACTGACCGCAAACCACCACTCGACCCAGCGTCAGGTCAAGCGTACCCAGGAGCAACCACCTCCTACCATCAGTTGCATGCATCGTCGGAGCTCATCAGGGAACACCTTCAATCCGTCTATATACACAAAAGCCGCCTCCCATGAAGAAGAAGGCCAGACGAGGACAGTGCAAGCAATCCGATGCCTATATGTATTCCCAGATCAACCGACCATATATGTCACATTCATATCGCTTCTATATCCCTCTCCAAACCGAAATCAGCGGAAGCATATTCCTAGCCGGAGATGCAACCATAACAGTCTACAGTCGGACTCCTCCCCAATCCCACCCTTCCTCTCTCTCGATTCGAATGAGTATCATCATTGCAGGGCGGTACAGTACTTATCACGGCCGAGTATGGGTTACTCGTAGGCGGTGCGCTGCTGCATTCTTGCCTAAAATCTGTATCTATAGTCATAACGGGAAGATATCTACCCATTCAGCCTGCTTACACCCTCCACGTTTTTGCACTCGGGAAGAGATTTTAGGTATACATTGGATATGGGATTCTTGGTCTCCAGGGTTCTCCGTCGCCGTGCTTCCTCTTGAAGGTGTATGCATATGGCTGTTCTACAAGGCACTGAGTGACTTCAAGGAAGGGGTGTAAAGTACCTCGTGGAAAGGGACATCAGGAAAGGGGGGGGTTAGGGGTTATAAGCTAGTTGCCAGCTGGTTGCCAATGAGTATACTTTACAACCTTAAGTCTCGAATAGTCTTCTAGAGGTGTGAACCAGTCTATAACCAGTAGAAGGATTAGGCTTAAACTAAACACACACATTCTACAAGACCATACCCATAGCTTTATGTCGTAGGTATATATACAGTTGAAGATGTAGATCCCATCTACCTCTCGGCGAGATTCCTAGTTCCAATATACGTTTTGCATGCATGCCTTCACAACTATTCGGAATTCTCTTTTTCCTTTTCCATTTCACGAACAAGTTGCAACCACATCACATCCAATCTGGTTTTTGAACCAGTGTCACACCCACCTGTTGCTACTTCAGGCTCAGATTCCCCATTGAATGGGTTGTTTCCCTCCCAGGATGGTCCTCTGGATGATGAAAAGGCCTGGGGGGAGAAGGTTAGGATCTGTATCCTGATTGTACACATAATACATTAATATAAATGTGTCAGCCGAGGAGGTGATGACCAGATGTGGAAAGTGGTTGCTCGCTACTAGGTTCGCGGTCCTGGCTCTCTTGGTGATTTGGGCCTTGAGCGAAAGAGAACAATGAGGAGCATATATCACATGTTCTCCCTCAAGCAAGTGGTCGTTGTTTACAGTTCAAGATCTTTCCGGATACATGGAAGATTATGCTGAAGGGGGGGGGATTTCAGTGTTTCCTTCGAGCACTTCGCTTTGTCAGAACCACTTACTACTTTTCGCCGTGCTTGTCTATACATCAGGAGCATAATCATTCATGAACAAGACAAATAGATTCTCTTTCTTTCACACTCGTAGAGTTATGGCGACAAAAAATGGAGGTCACGGGAGCCCGGCGAGTATGCGGAGAAGACGTCACTCCAGAAATGCCGTTCTTTGTTCTTTAGCAAGTGACGCGTCCACAGCCCCCATTTTCGACACGCGATCCGAGTCAGGTCACTTCTCCCTACCCTGCACGTATTCTCTTCTAGGCAGGATTTCTCCACTGCAGGCCTAGGTCTACAAGCTTACAAAAGTTATACTTACATCCTTCCCAACACCTTAGCCTAAATGCCTCTCAAGCGAGTATCAGGCGACAACCGAAGTGCAGGAAAAAGGGACCCAACCAGACCGCTAGGTCTGAGTCCACGCCGTTCCAGCAAAAGGCCTAGATGGCATCAGAAGCAGAAGAGCCTGAAGATTCAGGAGCAGGAGCAGGAGCAGGAGCAGGAGCAGGAACAGGATCATTTCGATGATCGGAGCCGATTCCTCTCCTATCCCACGCATAAAGTCAATCGCCTCCTGGAGCCTGGGCCTGTGGTCCTCGTCACCACCGGGTCTCTAGCCGATCGGACGCACAATATCATGACAATGGGCTTTCACATGATGATCCAGCATGAGGAACCAACACTGGTCGGCGCATGTATTGGACCGTGGGACAAAAGCTTTGACAACCTGAAAAGAACCGGCCAATGCGTGCTTGCAGTACCTGCTGCGGAGCTGCTGGAGCAGGTGGTTGATATTGGCAATTGCAGTGGCGAAACGGTGAATAAGTGGGATGCATTCAAAATGATCCCTGTGGAGCCACCGGAATCGCCGTTACCGCCAGAGACTGATCCAGAACGCGAAGATGGAGAAGGAAAGGGGCAGGGTTACATGAGGCTGGAAAGGACTGCCCGTGCGCCACTGGTTGGCGGGAAAGATATCATGGCCAATATCCAATGTGTGGTTCATGATCGAGCGTTGGTGGCGACGTACCACTTGTGGATACTGCGGGTTGTCCGCGCATGGGTGAACAGAGACCTGGACTTGAACTATGGGCAGAGCAATCAGCAACTAGAAGAGCCCTGCGGTGCTGTTGGTGGCGGGAAGAGGCAGATGAGGATGGTGCACCATCGTGGGGACGGGAGGTTTGTGGTGGATGGGGAGGAGCTCGACATGAGGGATAGGATGATCAAATGGGAGGAGTTTCAGGACTAAGCCTGTCAGAAACACTAGGTTTCATCCACCCATTGTTTGGTCATGGTACCTGTCTCAGATATCCCTCTGCATACAGGGTGAAGCCGCGTTCCTGGACCCAACAGTGGGAGCCACCTGTGGCTGGTCAGCAGATCAAAGGAATCATGCAGGTGAGAGGCACTATGACAGTTCAAGCACCTCATCCGCTTAAGCAGAATGTGCGAAACGTCTAGAACAATACCTCTGTTGGTATAGTCTTTCCTGAAATTGCGCTCGTAGCAGATCCGCACAGCTGAGCGGCAAACGCCGCACCAACACGTTGGTTTGCGGAAGTTTGCGTTGGTGGCTATCATTCTGTTGCGCTTGCCTTATGACATGTGTTTTGATTGGAAACATTTCTGATATCACCATGCTTGAATTAGAAGATGTCTCATATTAGACACAGTAGCATGGTTGGCCTTACTGGAGCTAAGAGCAACTTCGCTGACAATCTCGTGTAAAGATTCGATCTAATCCGTGTGGCATGCTACCGCGAACATCTCCGAGCTGTGAAGATGAGAACGAGAAAGCCTGATGGTGGCAGGGCTCCGCAACCGTCATGGCTGAGGTATCCACACTTCAGAGTTCAGAAGCGTTGTAGGATGCCCCAAGAATTCCGAGTAGTGCCCTATACACGTGCGGGCAGGATGAAACTCTCTTCATGCTCCCTGCACCATGCGGACAGCAAGGTACGAGAGGGAGGGTCGGCGAATCAGCTCGCCAGCCTCCACTTTATTCTATAATTGGTAGTAGTTCGACTTTAGAGCTTTTGACCGGGGCAATCATGCATGGACCATTGTAACCGTCAGAGGGACGGGAAACGTTACTGGTAGCAAGCAATGATTGCAATCATGGCGGTGCAGAAGTATGGCAGAAGCGGGATGGTTCCTCATCCGAAGGGGCCACTGCCTGCTAGCAGCGTGGCTTGGAGACCGCTTGATGGAGATCCAGAGGACATTCTTAGTGCAAACCGATCGTTGAACACGCCGTTGATGTCAGAGCACCAGCCTCTCTAGCAACAAACGACCAGGGGGGACCGGACCGACACCGATTGTTGTCAGAAGCTGAGACCGCAGCAAGAGTCAAGGCCATGTGGCCGTGCTGAAGCGCATGGCACCCCTGTCATGGGGGCGAAAATAAGAGGCCTCGTGGCCCTATGACATGCAATCTGTATAGTACATAGGTTAGATGCGAGCGGTGCAGTAGCTCATAAGCTACCAGCTGCAGGAGGACGTACTTGGTGCATAGCAGCGCCCCGTGTAATATGCAGATTTGCTTGTAGAATGTTCGAAGCAGTATGGAATATCATGCCCTGACCAATGGCACGAAAAAGAACCACACTCGTTTAGCCGATCGTCTTATCCCGGCAACCGGGCACTGTTATCACAAAATATCCCCCTCGTGTTGGAGGAGGGTTGCTGACAGGGGCAGGAACATTTTCCGAATTGGGGCTCATAGTAAGCCTTGAGAGATCGTTCCTACAGAATTAGCGGTAGACAAAGCACAATGTGATTTGACGAGATATACTATACTGACGACACCGACAGCCATGAAAAGACAATGTACGGCTGGCCCCTTAGGAGCCCGAACCCTATACGAGAAGATGATATACTCACGAAGTATACCAGCTTGGAGGTGTCAGCTTGTCACTGAAGCAAGTACAACTGCCAGCGGGAAGACCGCCCGTCAAGATGGGGTAGGTCTACCGTGCAGAGCGGTATGAAAGTGGAAGAATATGTGTCTAAGCGAGTGCTTGGACATTCGATGTGTCGATCACAGACGGGCTCGGCCGTGACCGACTATTACCGTGCCTGGTTCGCAGTCGACCTTTCTTACCATGGCGATGCCAAAGCATGATTTGTCTGCTCGTATAACGTTAACATGGCCACTTAGCTATTCTTATCCAACATTCAGTCGAGTAGACCCTCACTAGTCACTATTGTATATTATGGGTTTTGTCCAAACGTAAGAGGCTCGCCAGAGTTGCGGACCCGCGGGACGGTCAATCATGCAGGCCAAACTGGACGAACTCAACTGGTTGGCTTGGCAGTGGGGTAGTCTAGGTTGCTAGGACCTGAGGAGGTTGGTACCAACTGTCGCTTATTAGACTACCATGCAGTCGAGGGGGCCTGACACTGAGGTCTGAACTTTACTAGCATGTAATTTAGTGAGAATTGGTGGGATAACGACTAATGTCGCTGAAGGTACGTAGTGGGAATTTAGGGACTGCCTGCCCGTTCCAAAATTGCTATTCGGCAGTAGCGCTTAGCTACCCTCAGCATACGCTTGGTGTTCTATCAACCTAGTCACTAGCGTGAGTGACTTAGAATGTTAGCTGCAGACCTGGTCCTTAGTGGGTGTGTCGAACTCACTTCGCAATGGCTTTTCCTTGCATGCCTGACGGGTCAATTCCGTCCTCATGTCCAGGCAGTGCGGCATTGGAGATGGGGATTTACATTCCCAAAGGGCAGCAGCCAGACTCGGCATGTTCACGCTTTAGAAGCCCCCCACTCTGATTAGACGAAGAAGAAATGTGATTGCAGACAAGAATCAACTGGGGATGGAGATCGACGATGGCTCACTCTCGATCGGACCGCCTCTTGGGGGGCTTTGGGATTCTGAGCCTCTTTTTCGACCGCCATCCAAGTTGGAGGAAGAGCGGAAAATCTCGAGAACTGTATTAATGCGTATTGAAGAAGGCCATATTTGCTGATTAGCCGACAAGGTAGCCCGATTGTTTCGTGTTTCTCTTGTTGCATGAGGCTAAGCAAAGAGATGTAAGAGTGAAGAGTAAAAGAATACATGGGTCAGACGCTCTATGACGACAGACAAACAAACAAACAAACAGGAACAGGGGGGAGGGGTAGGATTACCTAAGAAGACAAGACAGCCTGAGGCAAGGCAGACTCGCTTGGTCTGTCTGGTCTGTCCGATAAGCCTTTTTGCGATCTTCCGGAACCAGAGTCGATGACCCCCCCCCCCTCCCCCCAAGGGTGTGTTTCAGGATTGCAGATTGCCCTTAGAGGGTGACATGAGGTCAGAACTGAAGAGAGAAAAAGCCCAGTTCGTTCGTCCGTTCGCTGGTTCGCTGGTTCGCTTGTCATGCCACCTGGAGGTCAGGCACCTGCAGGAGCAGCCCCCGAGATTGCTGCTGATCACCACGTTTTGTACCCAGCCTACGTCAATAACCATATTTCCAAAGAAATAGTTCTTTGTGACACTCGATCCCCGTTTAGATCCTTCGAGGCAGGTACACATGTACTGTACATACAGTATCGAAATCCTTCCCTCCTGCGGATCCAGCCGTACCTGAAGAAAGAGGTAAACAATGGAACAGGATCATTTTGCAGTCGGCTAAGAGTTCCAAACTGTAAATCCTCCAGGAGCCTGCCTGGACAGTCCCATCGTTTGGTGGACTTCATGGATTCTGTCGTCGGAACAACATGGCGATGCTAAGAAAGTTAACAGACAACAAGGCCACGGGCATGGCGGATACCGGGGCAGTTTCTGGCTCCGGCGGTACGAAGACCCCCGCCGCTGCCGGAGCGCACTGCCCTGCCGAGCCTCCGATCCATTTTCCTATTTTCCTTATTCTCCAGGACCCAGTACGAAGTAGCTAGTAACCGACTGAGCAGCTCAAGTCCACCAGGTTCACGGTCACCGTCACGTTCACTAGACTCAACTCAGAAGTGTATTCGAAATACCCTGTATAGTAAGTTGTAGGTTAGTCCAACAATGGCTTGCAGGTTGCACGTGTGCAAGGGAATTTCGAGTTCCAAATTGTCTCACAGTCTCACTGCTGTTTCAATGTCCGCAGCCATTGGGCCAGTCAATTTCCTCGCTTGGACTTCTGCAAAAGGAATGCCTCGCGAAGGGGGGTTAGACTGGTAGTGTTGGTGTTAAGTTAGTGAACAAAATGAGGTGTTGCCCACGGCAATACACCACAACGTTCCGGGCCGGGTTTAGTCTGGGACTAGGCCCGTGAGCGACCAATCTATTTCCTGGTTGAGTGTAGTTACAGTAAAGGCACCTGACACTGCCATGACTGCCCACAGGGGAAGGAGATAACCGCTTAGTATGGAGTACTAAAGACAGAATGTGGTTAGTCCAGCACTGTACAGTACACACACAGTACACCCACTGACGTCCATCTCGGCCGTGGCCTCCCGAGTCAATACCCCGTCTTCACCATCATTTTTACTCAGCTAATCAATCCAAGCCATTAAATTAGCAAATAATATATCGCCAAATTACGAGGAAGGTCTTTGTTGAGGATTGAAGAATTAAAGGCCAGGAGAAACTCGGCCGTAACCTGGCCCTCTTCAAGTTAAGTTAATTAGGTGGGTTCTGAGACCTTTTAATCATGCTTTGATTACCTTTGAATTCCGATGCAACCCTCCTCTACACCTAGGCCAGTCGTTCTTGTCCCTCCTTGTTTCCCCACAGGAAGGCCACGTTGTTGCTGACCACCACCATTACCTTTTTGTGCCACACAGGACCGGAATGTGCCGCCCAGTGAGCACGATGCCTTATGCCTGTGGTTATAATTAGTGTCAAGCCGGCTTCGACTTCTTGGCACCGTCGCTGCATGGACAACACAAGACATACTCTACCGTCAAGCCATCTTACTTTGCAGCTGTGGTGTAGGAACCCGGGCTGCGCAGCCCCAAAGTCAGACTTCTAAGCACGGGATGCATTAGTTGGAAACCTGGGCGAAGGCGACAAGAAGAGAAATAGAAAGAGAGGACATGCATCCATACAGACAGATAGATAGACACCATAATACTTAGCGTCTTCAACTCCTCCTCAATGGTGTGATTCCCCTCTCCTAGGCCCCATTGCCACGCCTTGAAGGATCACGATCCTGGCATGATGTCCCCGCCACGTGAAGAAGACTTTCTAGCGCGGACTGAAAGATTACCTATTATCTCCTGGAGCAGTGATCCAATGACTGGATTATGGTGTCATACCCATGGCACTCGGTGCCCCAAGTTCCAGGGCCTGAGGCAGTCCCCCATCGAATCAGGTTTCTACATAGTACTAGGTAGCTAAGCCGCCTCCTTGGTCGGTTAGCTACATTCTCCATTTTCACGCGACGTATTTGTCAACCACGACCCGAGTACCCTCTTTAGGATGATTTTTCTTCCCAATTCTGAACTAATGCACTCTACTATAAGATCGAGCAATCTCGGAAACAAAAGCGGCTCTCATTGAGCAGCAGCACCACCACCAAAGAATCCCGTCTTCGCGTGGATATGACATTCCCGCCGCCAATAATGGATGGCTTGGTAAGTTGGTTGACCGACTGGTGCTTACTATGGAGCAGTGTACATGTGTAGTGTGGCAGCGTCATAGCAACGAAGGAGAACTCCGTACTGTCATACCATTGACGGTCCCTTGCCAACACGGGCGCCAGGAACATAGGGATCCGTGCCTTCCGATGATTCCTTAGTGATTCTCACACCCTCCCCGCTCCCCGGAAGATCAATTCCCATCATTTCAGGTCTAGTACCGAATCTCTGGTGTCATGTTTGATACTTACTGTTTCAATCATTCATTCGTGGTGCTTTGTGGTTGTTATCAAACCCGGAGTGTCGTTGGTCAGGGAAAAAGCAATGTATTATGCCTTCGACCAATCATTTAGCCTGAGGCGTACAGCAACCAAGAGTAAGCACATTGTTCTGGAAGCACAAGGCTCATTTGGGCGGTACGAGGTGCGTGCAGTCGATTCTCACGATGAAACAAGCTAGAAGTCCAGTTGAATTCACGAAGACTCGAGGGTGGCAGGGGTGCTGTCTCTGCTCACATTGAGCGTATCATTTCCTTGAGGGGAAAAGGAAGGGATGATGAGCCTACAAGCATGCCCCACTGGCCACAGGGCTGGACGCCCTCGCTGCCACACTAGATGTCATTGTATACTTCGACGCTACTAAGCCACCTACCTCCGGTGTAACTGTGCATGAATGTGCCTACCACATTGTCCGAAGTGCTTGCTGTGGTAGTCTCCAAGTACCGAAGCGTCGAGCGATTGACATTTCCGATTCTCACATACCCTGATACTCTAGAAACAGAATCAGAATCAGACTAAGTTGGGGTTGCTGACTTTTACATGATGCCCTGCATCGAGTCATTACTACCAAGGGTCTCTGCTGCATGATGATAATGGAACTGAATCAGTTTGCACAGAACACTTGGTCGATATACGTCCAGGTTGAATATCCTATCGATTCAGGGAGCAGTCTTAGGAACTCTATTCTTCGTCAGGCGTCCAGCCTGTACGGTAACTATCGCCGCCGTAACAATGATTCTTCAGACTCCAGTTGCTAAGTCTTCCTCCCGTTGTCTGCAGGCCCCGATAAGGGCTCTGACCACAGGATTTCATCGAATCACAGGACGTGACGAAGGCGTGTGTGGTCGTGCTCCCCCTAAACGGAGACCATGGAATCTTACTTGGAGACAATATTTCCATAATAACGGGCAGCAATATAAGGTAATCGACCGAAACACGCCGATCGTCCTACACGTGGTTGTGTGACCTCAGCTGGTCTTTCTCCCTTGCCTGATCCATCTATAATGGATGTTTCTATATGCCCCAACGGGTGGTTCTTCATCGCTCCTTAGCAGCCCTTGCAATCATGACACATTCAACGGTGCCAAGGGTCGTCAAGGATTCTCCTTTTACTACATATGTCCTTATGTCCGACAAAATCCATCAACCCCATTAACCCAGAAAGGGACATTTTGACTCAAGCCCACGATCGCCTGTGCTATGACAGCGGTAAACCCTGGGTTTTGCTTGGTTGACTAGCGGGCTATCTCCGACCCTACGCCGGTAAGAAGCAATCAAAGAGGGACCCGCAGGCCGCCAGTCTAGAGGCTCTTCTGGTACTGTGAATACCTGTAATCATGGTCAACCTTGTCAGTCTGTAGTCAGTAATGGGCTTGTGTGAAGAAACCAGAGTATTCTACAGTACTTAATTAATTCACGCAGTCATGCAAGCCCTTTACCCAGGTCGTCTCGGTCCATTCGCATTCTGAATGGAAAGTAGGCCAGTGGGCGAATGCTAGAGCCGCTTAATTGACTGGATATAAATTCCAAAATGAGGTGAGTGGATAGCGGTTCCACTTGGTTCAATTGGTTGGTTCGGGATGGGGGGGATCCATCTTGGCTGGAGTGGTCCGTGGAGCTTCTGTTTACCTACGTTTCTAGGCCGGGGCCTTTGGACCTAAGCTCTATGGAGCCGTCTAGTCTAATCGACCATCCTGGCACACCCTCAGACATTTAGCCTAGGGCGGATAGCAATCTCCATTCTCCAGTCTCCATGGTGGACCCCCCTGAGGCTTGGACGGAAAGCCTGAACCTCTGATTGCTACGGGGAGGGCCGGACAATGAGCGAGAGCCTCCATGAGTCGTTTCCCATCCAGCAATTGTCTACCTAACCTAAACCAACACACGCTAAGCAGAGGGGGGTAGATATGGAGATATCTCTTTCTTCCCCCCCCACCTCTCTCCCCCCAACCTCAGCCATGACAGTAAAAGTACTGTACCTAAGAGGCGCTTAACACTAGCTCACGCGAACACACCAATGAGAAGAGTCAAATCCCCAACATTCTCTCTGACTGTTGATTGGATTTCTGTGAGTGTCTCTTCTTCAACTCCCACTCTCCTAACGTCCACCACCCAACAACCCTTCCCCCCTCCTCCACTGATCTTGCGAGAATTTGCTCCTTATCGTCGATATCCTGACCTCCTTGCCGCGAAGATCAGTTTGATCCGCTGAAGACCCCTGTCACGCGCGAGATATCCATATGGTCGTAAGCCTTAAACCCATTATCCAGCATTTCAGTTCGCTGCATAAAAGTGGTACTGTACTGTACTGTACTATACCTTTCTATCTAGAGGTAGACACACGGGCGCAGAGCCGCGTGGAGTGGCAGCAAAACCATGAGGCCCGGTTAATCAATCCGAAGTCCTGTATGGCATGAGCGGTGGATGGCTTGAAGTTCATATTGATTGCTGTTAACATGTCTGTCATTATCTCATGTCCGCATTCTGCGGGTAGGAATATTATTTTGTGAACTATATCCTTCTCTTCCGGGAAATAGATTGGGCCATTGGCCCATCCATCCATGATCCATCCAGGCATTTCTCGATCGGAAGGTCTGCTTTTCCCTGGATCCTCACTTCCCCCCCCACCCACTTCCCCCCTCCCCTCCCTCCCCTCTCTCCTCCCCGGCGCCTCGTGGCGGCGGGAGACGATGAGGATGGTGATGACAATGGAAGGAGATGGGAACGAGCCAACAGGTGCAACTTCCACCAAGTAATTTTGATTGACTGAACCGCTTAGAGTAGACCGGGTGGTGGTGGGGGTGTGGTACTGTACGAGCTGCATACCGGCATCGTAATTTATCCCATGATTGCATGGTCTTTTTGTTGCCCCCCTTTCCCTTTTTCCTCCCTTTCCTCTTCTCTCCATATCCCTGCAGTGCGCCTCAGCCGCAGACTTGGAAGGTGTTGGTCTGTTTCCGGCTGCAATTTGCTGCTGTCGTTGTCATGACTAACTAACGGCAGATGAGACAATGCATATTATTTGTCAACTATTCCGTAGGTTTTTTTATTCTTTGCAGTGAGGTTGATTATCTTCCGTATTGTCCAGTACTTTGTCTTGCTCCCCGAATCCTATTATTCTTTCTTTCTTGCTTCTCTTTGACTTTATACCTCCATTTTGACTACTTGTCGTATCGAGTCCACTTTCTTATCGCCCATCGCCCGTCGCCCGTTTGAATCCATCCTGCCCCGTTTCCCGCACCGTCAATCATGTGTATTTCGATGGGAGTTAGGGAATTAATCCGATCCTTTTGACTTTGGAAAATGAGGATGGGTCGATCCCGTCAGTGGTTACCCACTCGTGCTGTCCCCAGCAGCCAACATAGCCATGGTGGCTAACCCAGTATGATCACTCTGCAGAGAATGATCATCAAGAACTGCTTTTCTGCTAGCTTACCTCTGACTACTCGGGACTAGCCATTGATGCTGGTTACATTGGCCAAATATTTTCGTGAATTTCCGCATTTTCGTATTATTTTCGATCGCTTTGGGTCTGGATTTTTAGGATGTATACAGCTATGGCTTTGATTTGATTTTTTTATTTTAGTATATTCTAATTATTTTTTTTTTCTTCTTTCTTTTTTCCGACCAAATATCTTAGTCTTTTCTTTTTCTTTTTGGAATTATGATTTTATTTTCCGAACTGTCTTTCCCTACTCCTCTGCCTCCTCTGCCTCCTCCCCCAAGTTACCCGGCGATCTTTCGGTACCGTATGTGGTAGGTGAGAAGTAGACTTAGCCGCATTGGGAGATTCTTCTATATCTCCATCATCATCTCTGCATGTAACTATTCTCACCTACCCTTCTCCCGGCCCTCTTCTAAGCCTTCCTTCTCCTCGTTCTCCATACCAGTTCGTTTCAGATCTTCACTTTTCTTTTTCCAATTCCGCATCTCACTGCCTCCCTCTTGATTTGCAGATGCGAGGCATTTTCCCGTCATCATCATAATCACCTACATCAAATCAATCAACTTCCGATCTCACCCACCACGTTTCTGGCCCGTTCCCCAATCTTGCTAGTATAGCTGCATCACAGCCCACCTTGCTCACGACCCCCAATCTCCACACCCATAGCTCACCTCCCGTTCCTGACAAGTCTGGGTCTGTTACAGAATGACCAGGGGATCATCTCCTTCAGGAACCAGAACTATATCTTCGACCCAGTCGCCGGCAGATTTCCTGTCTATCCTCACCTCTCCACACGACTCTATAAAGTCAATCACTCCTAAACATCTCAAACACCAACAGGAACAGGAACAACTACTTCCTACCAACTCTTCTTCTATCACTCTCACTACAACATCAATTGCTGGCCAGCAACATACAGTCACCATGCGCCGAAGCACTGCCCAAGCGGAGATCCCTCTCCCCATCACATACACCCCAACTACACATCGCATCAGCAAAGCAAAGAAAGGCAAACGCGTCCACGCTTGCGAATATCCAGGATGCAACAAAGTCAGTATACATGAATTATAGGTCAACATGAGTCTCGGCTAACATTCAAGTTCTAGGTTTTCACCAGAGCAGAGCACAGAAGGTACTTGATGGCAGTGTACCCGGCTCGACTCTTTCACGTGCTAATTTGCTTTTTGTAGACGGCATGAGTTGAACCACAACCCCGAGGCATTGTTCCGATGCGCCCACCTCAACTGCAAGAAAGCATTCCACCGTCCCGACTTGCTCTCCCGCCACATGGAAAGACAGTGAGTGACCTTCCATGTTGAAAGTCACTGCCTGGCCGCTAACGCAGAACTTCAGTGAGCTCGAAGCCCAGATGGACCACACCGCACAATGGCAGCGTCAGAACCGCACCTCTGTCATGCCCGAGGCTTATGTGCCCAAGTGTGCACCTGTCAACGCCCACGCGACTCCCTATCTCACCGTCTCCCAGCCCCAGAATGCAATGTCCGTAGGATCGCTCGTCGGGCCGGCTATCCACCCAGATTTCTCCAGCGATTGCAGCTTGATGTGGAATGGAGTTGATTTGCAGTCGGCACCCCACACCCCGTTGTACCAGGGCCCTCACATTCACGAGTCCATCGAGGACAGTCGCTTCTACGCTACCCCCGACACATGCCCGTCTCCCGTCTCGGATGGCTCGCTTTCAGTTCACTCTTACGCTCGATCTTCCGTGGTGTCCACGCCCATGACCACAGTTGAACCATACCCCGAGAGCATCATTGAGCACGACTTGACCTCATCGCCTATCTCCATGCAATCGCGGATGGGCTGCTGGGAACAGCAGGACATCAGCCTGCCGTCCATGAGCATGATGTCCATGCCCCTCACCGAAGGTCTTCTTCAACCAGTATGTTGTATCAAGCTCCTTTTTCGAAACCTTTCCGACTAACACCGGTCTGACAGACCCTTCAATGCGCCTACCCCTCGCCGAGCTGGTCAACACACAGCCTGGGTTATGACGAGCATGTGCTACCACCCGCTGCCTTCCCCCCAAACATGGGCTGGAAGTCATGGACGATGTGAAAGCGCGCACGAGAAGCACGAAGTAACGACCACGATCCATTAGACCTCATCCTCGCCGGAACCTCAACAAGGAGGGCTTATCAGCCATGCTTTGAAGCGGAAAATCGATTCAGCTTATAATCGAAATGTCTAATACGCAATCGACGCAGCGGACGCGGCTAATCTTACAATTCGAATTGGGAAAACAGAACGCTCAAAACCGAAAACCACCCAAAAAAAAAAAAAAAATTAAGGAAAGGAAAGAGGGAAAAGAGAAAAGCAACATCACCACATCAGCTTCGAAACATCCATCCTGCAAAGGCTTCAAAAAGTTTCTTTCGACGGAGAGCGGATTACACAAATACTACACTCCCCCCCCGAACTCGGGAAGGAGCTACCACCTTGTCTCCTTCTCACCCACCTATCATCAGAGCTGCTTTACTAGACTCGCGTTGGCTTATAAGGTTTACTGCACAGCATCTCTTTTGTCTCTTGCATGGCTTCTGCTTTTTTTTTTTTTTCTTTCTCTTATCTATCACTTCTTTATATACCCATTTTTGTGCAAGGAACCTTTTTTTTTTTTGGTCATCCACAATTGATTTCCCGATCTATCTCCTATGTCGACCGATGTTTTCTCTCTGATGCCTTATTGAATTATGCTATATCAAGTTTACATGCGCGGCGGTGTTCGATGTTCCTCCTCGGAAATTGGTTTGGTTTCGGGGGCCTGAACAGGCAACTATTTTGTACATGCATTTTTGTCTGCTTTAGATTCTGCTTCGCGGTTAAGTTGTTCGATGAACAACTCTTGTTTCCCAGTCTGTACAAATACTCTGTATATCTAGCTATAGACTTTCCTATCTGGAATCGTACATACACATCTTATCATTATTTGTCTTCGAATTGCCTTGCCTATACCTAGTATGAACAAGGTTCTTAGTAAGCAGTATTCGCTGCGCTGCATCATTGTTTGTCGATGCGCGAAAGTTGATAGGTGGTATGTAGTCCCTTCTGGGGAGGGGGTTTGTGACTGTAGCATTATGCCCTGGTTAGGCTCAATTTGCAGCCGACGCTGTGCTTGGCTGTGCAGGCTTGGGAGAATGGTCACCATATCCTTTTTAGTAGGGTAGTAGTTTTCTCTTGGAAGAGAGTGATCGACAACTGCTTTTCTGTCTATCTTTGACCCAGGCATCATTAGTGAAGACACACGGCGAGGGAGAGCTAGACTTGTAACGAGGACTTGTTGTAAAGTTTGCAGCACATTGCGTGACAGAGACAGATTGAATCACTGAAGTTCAAACGGCAGAAACAAGTGTGCTACAGCCGGGAAGTGATATTCCAACTCGATCTACCTACTGTATTACCTGAGTTAACAATTATCCTTTCCACAGCTACTCCGGACTCTAGGACTAATGAACCTCTTCCTTCGCAGGGATGACTCTCCAACACCAGCCGCACCAACTACGATGTTCGCCCTTCTCCTCCCTAGTGAGATACTCTCCTGTTTCCCTCTCATCCTCATGCTCCGCCACACAAGCGCCTACTACAATTCTCTTCTTCGCCTTCTGCTTCACCCTCCCCCCAATCCCGATAATCTCCTGCCGGAAATACCCCGGCTCGTCGCCGTCACGATGGTCCCAGCTCTCGATGGTGGTGTGTCTGGGAGGACTATGCGCATGGTTCCGATGTTCATAGTAGTGACTGTAATCCGGCGAGCTACCCCCGGACGCCTCGTCTGCTTCGCATTCAACCTCGAGTTCGATCTCTTTGGCTGCAAGGCACTGTTCCTCTCGGCCGCACTTGACACCCTGACAGCCCTCGCCGATCCCTGTGCCTAGACCGCCAAGATAGGTGCTGTAACGTGTACGCCAGGTCCAGACGCGACGGTAGGTGGTGTCATTGCTGCGAACGCGGTGACCACATTGATGACAGAGCCAGATCGCTTCATAACAGTTGCATGGAGTGCGTTGAAAAGCAATGGCCGTTGACGGTGCGTTTGATGCTGAAGATTCGTGAGCCATTGCAGACTGAGACGAAGAGGGCAATGGATCAATTAGGTCAGTTAACGGGGCTGTCTGGCAGGTCGTGCAGAGGCGGCGAATGCGGTTCTTATACATGCTGCTTGAGGGAGGCTTAATGGTGCAGTTCTGCAGTGAGCCAACGTTAGTCCGTCAATGTTCGACTTGAAGCCGGGGAGGCCTAAGCTTACCCGGCACACCACTTTCGAGCATCGACGACACTCAGCAACCATATCTCGAGCGCATTTAGCAACCTTGCCTGTGGTTATTCGGCCCGATGCTCTTGCGTTCTGACTCAATAGCTGCAGCACAGACTTGACGCTGCTGGGAATTGCTGCTCCGCTGTCGAGCATGTCCGATACGGTCTCGATGTACTCATTCTCGCAGCGTAAGGTCTGCTTAATCAACTGCGAGCGGTATGGGGCCAGATTTGCGTGGAATTGGCGGCAGGTTTGGGAGAGGGCATGCAAGGTGTTCAGGTCGACTGCTCGAGCAATTTCCTTTATGATCCTGGATGGTGAGTCAGCACAACATCAGGAACCAGACACTCGGTAGCCTGGCCCAAGAGTATTCCATACGGATAGCAGCTTAGAGCGGCCGAAAAAGCGTTCCGGTTGAGGGCATGCTGTTGATCTTCATGGATGATGGTAGGATTCGGTAACGAATCTGGGGACTGATCGTGAGCTGCAGGCACGTTCGTCGATGGATCCGAACCGACTGCCAGTAACTTGGATAATTTTGGCTTTTGAGGCTCTAAGAAAGGATGTAAGTGTGTGTCGGGGACGCCAGGGAAGCTGTGCCTGTTGAACGCGTCGTGATCGTAGTCAACGAAGACCACCATTGTGACAATGACGGCAGAAGTACGGATGGTTGAGGGGGCGGGGATCCACACGGCCCAAGCTCTGTTTTTTCGCCGGACAAGAATTCACACAGTGAGCAGCCGGTCAGCTAGGTATATGTAGACGCTTTTGAGTCTGGCAAAGGCAGAGCAATCTAGTTATAGAAAAAACGGGACTCCCTGGATTCCCTGGATTCCATGAATGTTGGAAGTGGAATGACACGGCTGGGAAAGATCCAGCTCCGTTCTTCGGCGCGGGGCCAGCACGAGCTGGGCAATGAATAGTAGTAGAAGTGGTTCGTCTCGGCGATCCAGAAGCCGTGGCGGTCCTTTTCTGGGCCTGATGGGGATGCCAATCCTAGAGAGAGTGAGTGTCGGTGGGGAAGAGGAAGGGTTTATCCTTTTATGAAACGCCCACCACAGTAAGGAGAAGAGAGAAGCGGGTGGAGAGCAGGGCAGAGCAACGGAGATGAGACTGGGTGCGATCATATCAAATCCTCCTGGCACGTTCCATCTTATCTCTTTCTCTCGCTCTCTCTCCATCGCTGCCTTTCCGACCGACTGACACCCCATTCGGGAAGGTCATGCGGCATCACGTGGTCTGCAGCTGTTTGCAGACAAGACAAATCAAATACTGTACAACAGAGAGACTGTGATACTCATAGTTCCACCTTTGCACCACTGTCCTACTGCATCATTGCATTCTATACTACGAGCTTTCAGAGTCTCAAAGAGTCTCAAAGAGTCATGGCTGTTGCAAGTCACTCACCCACTCCTAGCAGGATGTCCTCCGATAAGATAACGCCATCGCCCTCCGCCAACATTTGGAGATTCCCCCTCACTCAGTGGGGTAACTTTAGTTATCGTCGTCGCGCTTGCTTCTTATCCTCGGCCGGGCCTATCTACCAATAGCCCTCCAACCAATATTGGAGTCATATCGCTTCCGCTAGCTTCTCCATTCTTCCTTTCCTCCGTATAACTTCGCTTGGTTCCCTCGCCTGCCTCTCCAAAGCCGACTGCCGCCCTTCCTTTCCCCGCCCCCCCGCTCTCTCAATTGAATCAACGATTCCCCGCCTCAACAATGCCACTCAATTCTAAAGCCATCTATTCTCGTCTCAATGCCGACTTTGCTCCCTTTGCCAGTCGAAGAAGTACCGTGCATAGTACCAAGGGCATTGTGACTTGCACGCAACCTCTAGCTGCAGCTGCAGGTCAGAAAATCCTCAGTAATGGCGGCAACGCTGCTGTATGTCTTCGTCATCGCAAACTCTAACGGACATGCCCCTGCTAACCCTCTAGGCAGGACGCTGCAATTGCCGTAGGTCAGTGACATCGATGCCAACGACTTTATCTTCAATCGAACACTAACACAGTCAATTGATCATAGCCGCTGCATTGAACATAACTGAACCCTCTTCCACTGGCATCGGAGGGGACATGTTCTGCCTCTACTACGATGCCAAGACAAAGAAGGTGCATTCCATCAACGGCTCTGGCAGATACTCTGGCAGCGCAACGTTGGAAAAGGTGCGAGAGGATCTCAAACTAGGTCCCGGCGATTCGGGAAAAATTCCCATGGATAGTGTCCTTGCAGCCACAACACCTGGAGCTGCAGCAGGATGGGTGGACACATTCGAGAAGTTCGGTAGTGGGAAGTTGACTTTGGAGGATGTTTTGCGTCCCGCAATTGAATTGGGCGAAGAGGGATTCCCCGTGTCTGAACTGGCCTCATATTTCGTAAGTCACACCATATTTGGCAATTTCGGCCTCGAGAGACTTTCTGGAATACGTTTTCAACCCGCTCTCTGTTTGAGCACCGATGGGACTAATCGTTCTAAATAGTGGCATGAAAGCGAGCACTTGATCCGCGCTGCCTCTCCCAACTTCAGAGAGATGCTCAAAGCCGACCCCACAGCTAAAGACGGCTGTCGTAGCCCTCTGCCCGGTGAAATCTTGCGCAATCCAACCCTCGCACAAACTTTCCGCTCCCTAGCCGCCCACGGCAAGAAAGGCTTCTACGAGGGCCGCATTGCCGAAGAGATCGTCAAAGTCGTCCAGGACCTGGGAGGTTACATGACGCTAGACGACCTGAAGTACCATGCCGAGGTTGGAAGCCAAGAGACGGAGGCCATCTCGCTCAAATTCACGGGACAGGGTATCGTCTCCAAGCAGACTGACGGCACCACTGACGAGACCAACGAGGGCGTCGAGATCTGGGAGCACCCACCGAACGGCCAGGGCATAGTCGCTCTCATGGCGCTGGGCATCCTCGAGGAGCTCGAGCGTACCGGCAAGATCCCCATCTTCAGCGAAGCTCAACACAACTCCGCCGAGTACCTCCACGCAATCATCGAATCCCTCCGGATCGCCTTCGCCGACGCCTCCTGGTGGGTCACCGACCCGGACACCAACAAGGTCCCGTCTCAGGACCTCATCTCCCAGGGCTATCTCGCCGAGCGGGCCAAACTGTTCAACCCGGAGCGGGCCTCCGACATCATCGACCACGGCAGCCCGGCCCACAACCACTGCGACACGGTCTACTTCTCCGTCACCGACAGCGCGGGCAACGGCATCTCCTTCATTAACAGCAACTACGGCGGCTTCGGCACCTGCATCATCCCCGAGGGCTGCGGCTTCACGCTGCAGAACCGCGGGGCCAACTTCTCGCTGGACCCCGACCACCCGAACGCCCTGGCCCCCCGCAAGCGGTCCTACCACACCATCATCCCGGCCATGGTCACGAACGTCGCCGACGGATCGCTGCATTCCGTGTACGGCGTGATGGGCGGCTTCATGCAGCCGCAGGGCCACGTGCAGGTGCTGCTGAACATGCTCGCCTTCGGGTACCACCCCCAGGCGGCGCTGGACTCCCCGCGCATCTGTATCGGCGCGGGCGAGCCCATCCCCGGCAAGAGCGTTGACCGCACCGTCTACGTCGAGGAGGGCATCGCCGAGGAGGCGATCGAGGGCCTGCGGCGTCTGGGCCACGAGGTCAAGGTCTTGGCCGGCTGGAAGAGGGGCATGTTTGGGCGGGGCCAGATCATTCGGTGCCACTATGACGAAGGGAAGCTGATCTACAGTGGTGGAAGCGATCTCAGAGGCGATGGGCTGGCGATTCCGATCTTGTAGTCGTGTACATCCCGGGGGTTAAATGTGTATCACTGTCAATCTATAACTACGGTTTTTACGACTCTCAATGTGAATTGAAACGATCCCAAAGAATAAATGCTGCTTTTTGGTAGGAAGAAAACACACATGTACAAGGTAACCTGTCTTTTCAAGAAGACGAGGAACAGAAAGTAGAAGTATCGAGATACAATCGGCATAAATGAGACCCGAAAAGGGGGGGTAGAGGGCTCGCTCATACAAGAGACATGAAGATGAAAACAGTGAATAACAAAAAGTCACGATGCCCCGCGTTCCCAAATGCTGTCCTATACCTATAAATGCATGCTCAAAACGTACGAATCCCAAAATAAAACAATCAAAGATGTGGGGGAAGTTACAAGAAAGTAATGTATAGATGCAAGGGGTCAAACATATCGGGGGGATTGGTGATGATGGTGGTGGTGGTGGTGAAATGTGAACTCAACGGGGCCGGGGGTCGGGGGTCGAGGCAGAGAGCGATGCACTCAGTGTGCAGCGATGGCGGCTTTGAAGAAGCCTTTCATCTTCGAAGCGCCGCTTGGGGGTGGCGTGGGATCCCGGCGATGTCTGTGATGGCGATGGCGAGATGACTCGGTGCTATCGCGCTGCTCGCCGCGATGATGACGCCGCTCGGGTTCTTCCTTCGCTGGCGGTGCCGCTGCCGCCGCCGCCTCGGCCTGTTCGGCCAGCTTGCGAGCCCGGCGAGCTTCGCGGTGAGCACGGTCCTCTTCGTCGTCGCGGCGGGAGGACTCGGTAGAGCGCTCACTCGTGCTCTTGCCTTCCTGCGAGGAACGATGGCTGTGGGAATGGGTGGTCGAGGGGCGTCGCGAGCGGTCGTAGACATTGGCGGTCGCTTTGGCAGCGTTGACCATCAGGGGCGGTCGGTTATCAGAGCCATCGGCCATGTACTTGAGGAAGAAGCGAGGCTTCGTGGTCGTGGATTCTGGGATGACGCGAGAGGAGGAGGAGCTGCTCTTGCGATCACCCTCGTAGCTCCCCGAGTGGTTTGAGCTGCGGTGTCGCGGTCGGTTTGAGCTGCTGTCTTGCTCGCTCAGACGACGCTCCATTCTTTCTGATCGCTCAGACCGCTCGTGACGCTCGACTCTCTCAGCCCTCAGAGCCCGTTCGCGTTCCGCTTCTTCCAGTCGCTGTGCTCGATCCGCTCTCTCAGCCCTTTCAGCTCGTTCAACTCGCTCAACCCTCTCCCTCTCGGCCCGTTCCGCCCGCTCAGGTCGCTCGGTACGTACAGTTCGCTCATGCCGTTCATGTCGTTCAACGCGCTCAGATCTCTCAGGCCGTTCAGCCCGTTCTCGTTCAGCGCGCCTTGCACGCTCGCGTTCGTGGGCACGGCGCTCTTTTTCGGCCTTCTCGGCCTTCTCGGCCAAGGCTGCCTTTTGTTTGGCCTTCTCTTCATGCTGTCGCCGGGCCTCCTTCATGGATTCCGCCCATCGGCCAGTAAGACCGCTACCGCGTTGACTGTTCTGCCGCTGAATTGATCGATGTCCTTCGGATGAGCTCTTGGAACGGTCTCGATCCCGCTCCAGATCAGGAGACCTCTTCTTCTTTCTTCGCGAACTGTGGGCGGCTGCTGCTGCCAACCCTGCCCCTGCCGCTGCCGCACCGGCTGCAGCCAAGGCATCGTCATCGTGCTCGGCAGAGTCAACATCCTCCGAGACATCCGTAGCCAGGGCCTCTTCGGGAACCCCTCTGTCGATACTTGGTTCTTCTGGAGTAGGCTTGTATGCAGCAGGCTCCTCGACAGGAGTAGGTACTTCGGCTGGAGAACGCTCAAGAAGCTCAGGCTCAGAGGGAGAACGTTCGAGCAGATCAGGTTCCGCAGGAGCACGTTCTTCGATATGGGCAGATTCTTCAGCGGGCGCAGGCGCAGGCTCTTCCGCGGGCGCAGCAGCCTCTTCTGGTGCAGGCTCTTCGACAGGCGCAACTTCTTCAGCCGCCGGCTCAGAGGCTGGAGCAGGTACCTCTGGAGCAGGATCTTCTGCAGGCGCTGGCTCTTCAGATGCATCTTCTGCAGGACTGACTTCGACAATAACAGGCTCCTCAACAGGTGCGGGCTCCTCTGCAGCGGCAGGCTCTTCGACATGCTCTTCGGCGGGGGCAGCATCTTCGAGAGCAGGTTCCTCGGGAGCGGCGGGCTCGTCGGCGGGAATAGATCTTTCTAGATCAGGCTCTTCGCTAGTCGCAGATTCCTCAGTGATAGGTTCTGCTGCAGGCTCTTCAGTAGCTTCCTCGATTACGGCCTCTTCGACAACTTCCTCAACGACGACCTCTTCAGCCTCGACCTCTTCAGCCTCGACTTCTTCAGCCTCGACTTCTTCAGCAACGACTTCTTCAGCAACGACTTCTTCAGCAACGACTTCTTCAGCGACAATCGGTTCATCCGCAGGTGTAGATTCTTCCGGCGCGAGCTCCTCAGCAGTAGGGGGTTCCTCAGCAGGGGCTTCTTCAGCGGCAGGAGCTTCCTCAACAACGGGAGCTTCAGCAGCAGTAGGTTCTTCAGCAACAATCTCCTTGACGACAGCCTCAGCAGCAGCTGGTTCCTCAGCAGCAGGAGCCTCCTCAGCAGCAGGGACTTCCTCAATGATGGGAGCTTCCTCGACGGCGGGAGCTTCAACGGCGGGAGCTTCTTCAGCAGCCGATTCATCAGCAGCAGGGGCTTCCTCGGCGGCTGGTTCTTCTCTGGCAACCTCCTTAGCGACAGCCTCTTCGGCAGGAGTTTCTTCTGGAGCAGCAGTCGGTTCTTGAGCAGCAGCCGGTCTCTCGACAGTGGGGGCTTCTTCAGCAACAGGGGCCTCTTCAGCAACAGGGGCCTCTTCAGCAGCAGGGGCCTCTTCAGCAGCAGGGGCCTCTTCAGCAGCAGGGGCCTCTTCAGCAGCAGGGGCCTCAGCAGCGGGCTCTTCAGCTGGAGCAGGTTCTTCCACAATGGCCTTATCTTCAGCGGGCGCTGTTTCTTTAGCAGCCACGTCATCGGCTGTTGCAGGCTCCTCGACAGTAGGCTCCTCTTTCGACGCAGCTTCATCTGCAGGAACTTCCGCGGGCGCAGCTTCAGCCGCTTCTGCCTCCGCGGGTGCCGTCTCGGCTGGCTTCTCGTCCGTTGATTCTTCGACTGCCGTTTCTTGGCTTGGTGTCTCGTCGACTGCCGGTTCCGTCACTTCGGGGGTTTCTTCGGGCGTAGCTGGTGCTTCATCCTGAGCGTCTTTTGTCATATCGGCAGCAGGCTCATCAGCCGCCGTCTCTGCGGTAAGTGCCTCGGCATTTTCTCCGCCTGCGCCCTTTTCCTTAACAGCTTCTTCTTCGGGCGCATCGGTGGGAGCTGGGGTACTCGGGTCTGCCTCTGCCTCTGCCGCGGGTTCTTCGATTGCTGCAGGCGACTCAGTTGCTTCTGGAGTAGAACCTGCTCGTTCGGCCGCTTCAGCTAGTGCAGATTCCTCTGCCTTTGTAGCTTCTCCCTCAGGCTCGGTGGCAGCTGCGTCTGCTGTGACATCCTTTGTTGGCGTTTCCTCCCCTGACTGCTCTGCAGTCTCTGGCGCTTCTTCCTTGACGGGCTCGCCCTTTGCTTCCTCCGCAGCCTCCACTGCATCGGCCTCCGTGGTTGAAGGCCCGGCACTGTCAGCCGCAGGCGCTTCGCCGTCTCCTTCTGCTGCAGCAGCAGGGGCGGCTGGTGCCTCTACTACGTCAGCAAGAGCTTCAGGCTGAGCCTCGACCTCCTTCGGTTCCTCCTCCGGTTCGGCTTCTGTAGCTGCGGTGTCATTAGTTGCATCACTGGTGTCGTTCACACCTGCATTGTCGCCACTGGGACTATCAACATTCGTATCGGATGGGACCTCTTCTGTCGATGGGCCGTCTATACAGGGGTCAGTTGTCGCGTCGAAGTCAATAATGTCAATGTTCATATCAATGAGGTGTTCTGTACCGACTGCTGGTGTCTCCCCTTCCGCCGTGGTAGCTTCAACCGCCTGCTTTTCGGCGTCGACTTGGTCTTCTTCGGCAGAGGGGTCGCAGGCCGGAAAGTCTTCCTCTAAGTGTAAGGTTAGCTGACTTAGTGAACTGATCTTCTTTGTAGGCGTACCAGTGCTGGGGGGAGGTTCAGTAGTCTCCTCCGCGGGTGCTGGTGGACTGTCGGCTGCGTCGGGGGCGGCGGGCTCTGGCTCTACGTCTTTGGGTGCGTCCTCGGCTGTTGTGGCGTCTTCACCTGCTGGTGTGCTATCGTCCGCATCCGTTGCTGGTGCATCTGGCGCGGGGGCAGGCGTCTCGCTGTCCTCTTTGGGTGCCGCATCGGTGTCGTCGACAGCATCAGCAGCGGGTTCAGCGGGCTCGGAAGGTGGTGTGCTTGTCTCAGACGTTTCTATATAGATACTTAGTAAGGAAGACAAAATACTGTGATCAAGAAAGCAATTGTTGGGACACGAGGGAGAGGATGAGGCAAAAGGTAGGTCAATACATACCTCCAGAATCGGGCGACGATAAACCATCAGTAGAGGTGCTATCAGATCCTTCTTCCTCGGGGGCACTGTTGGCAGGTGGGCCTTCGATGGGTTTGTTGTTCTCCTGGTCCTTAGCCGGGGTCAGACCATCATCGGACGAGGTAGCAGCAACAGAATAATAATGAAATTGCATGGTTTGACGGTCGAAGGTCTGGTAATGACGCTCGAGTGTCTGATGGTATTCAAACTTGGGAAGCTCAGCATACTGGATCGGTGGTTGCTCCATTCTCAATCAATTCGGCCACCGTCTCCGGGGCGGGTTCAACTAGGGGAGCTTGCTCGTTGGAAATTGGATTGTCGTTTATCGGTAGCCGGTTCTTGTTATTGTTGTTGTTGTTGTTGTTGTTGTTGTTCTTCTTTTTGTTGTTGGTATTCTTCTTCCTACCCATTGCATCGGATCAGTGGCGAGTGTTACTGAACTATGTTAGACTTCAGCTGACTTGGTGAGGGAGGGAGAGGGGGGTATAAATTTTCATTGAAGAACTATGACATACTCCCGTCGGGTTCTAGATAGGGCGAAAATTGACAAGGGGGACAGAGACGAATGAACGAAGCACCAAAAATAGGGGCAATGCAAGAAGCACAGGATGTGAAACGGAGGGGGGGGAAGATGTAAAATGTCAGGTCAAAGGCTCAAAAGCAAACCCTGTTGAAATTAGGTTAGAAGGAAGGCCTGGAAAGGGCGAGTTGAGTGACCAAAGCGACAAAGGCCCGAATGTACCGGTACGCCAACGAGACGAGGGCTCCATTCTGGATTCAATGCGAGGCAACGTATCGTAGCGAATCCACTTCCCGGTGGTATAGAACATTGTTGAGCAATACTTTCGGGCTTGGGGTTGGGGACGTCATGAACGAACTGCCCAACGGCATCTCTTCTGATTGGACCACGTCTCACGGGCCCAATGGCCCTGGCGGACGGACATCGACAGAGGGTCTTTTTCCGGAAGCATTACTGGGGCAGGGGGATGCCGGAGGGCTGCCATCTGCAAAGCTCGCAGTAGTGGTGGCGGGGAGTGGGTGCGCCGTGCAGTCCGGATAGAACGCAGGCTGGACAATCGGGAGATGGGAGATGGGTGGTGCTTCGTTGAGAGTCCTTAGCGTGGTGGGGATGGTGCCACAGCTCCATCGGGACCCTCTGATTGTTGTTGTTCCCGGGCCTGATTTACTCTTTGCCTTGTTTCTCTTTGCCTTGTCTTCGCTCTCTCACCCTCTCGGTTGATGATCATTTGAGGTCGATCATAAAGATAGAGCTGCAAGTGGATGCAGTTGGAAGGGAGTTTCTCCGTGCGGAGAAGGGAAAAACAAAGCATAGGGTCAAACCGGCAGCTTAATTCAGGATGCAGGGTGAACACGGATTGATGCCAGGTCAAGTGATATGACCAGCCAATAAAGACGGCATACAGTCGTTGCAGGCAAGCAATCGAGAGCGAAGAATAGCTGAAGACCGGAATGACTCTGGTTACTCGGAAATTGATTGACTGCGACCACTGCCAAATATCGACTATCGTACTGGCATTAGCATTAGCGCGTGTGGGAGCAGTCGTGAATTCCTGCCCAACAATTGCGTGGACAGGGCAGTTAGATTGGATGCATTTCTTTGTGCGGCGAGGGGGTCTTTAGAGACTGGGCCCCATGTCAATCCGAGGCGACATGGGATGGGGAATTTGTGTGTACTGTAAGTTGTGACTGGGGGGTGAAGTGGGTGGGTGCGATATGGCCGGGCCCATTCTCTGATCAGTGCACTCCGTACAGTACATCTAACCATCTGGAGAGGGCGATCGATCATGAGCCAGACACATCAGTGCCATCATCTGAGATCATCATCGAGATTTCAGCTGTGAGGGATCTGTTGGGAGACAATGAGTGAAGGCCACATTGCACAGTGCTCTGGTACCTGATAGAGGCACGGCCAACACCTCAGGGGAGGCGGTTGTTGTGGCAGCTGCGAAAGAAGGGGAGAGAAAAGGAAGATCCGTTTGAATGCGAATCCCCACCGGCCAAGTCAGCAGTACTAGCCTGGTCGTACTGTACCTACTGTACCTACTGTACTTACTGTACTTAGTAGCGTGGTGGTTGGCCACGGTATAGTGTAGTTACAGCTTACAGCTTACTGCACCCGCCCGCAGATCACTGGACTGCCCGACCAGGAATAGCGGGCTTGCCTGGCCTCAGGCTGCTTCCATCCTGCTACACTACCATTACCACTACGGCACTACCACCACCACCACTACTACCACCACCAGGGCACCGCATCTAATGACACGGACCAGGGGTTCGATATTCCCTTTTTTTTCCAGCTGACAATTATTCTCCGAAATCTGCAGCAGTCTGGCACCCATTGATCCGAGGAGCACCCATGCCACGAGTAGGGACCAATTTCAGAATAATAATGCTCCAGAACTTCCCAGACCGTCATCGCACCCGCAGCGAAGTGAGGCGCGCCGGTCTGCTGTTTTGGCAGCCTGTGAGTGGCCCGCCATAACATCCACCACCACCACTAATCTTTCTCCTCCCGGGACCCATTGGTATTATTGAGGAGACAGGCGACGCTCAAAGATTGATTTTGATTATCTATGCTGAAGATGGCGGAAAAGGAAAAAAATCGCTAACTAATCTAACCTCAATTCAACCTCGCTCACGGAAAGTCCCCGAAACGAAACCAATCTCCCGGTAAAATCTGCGGGGGGGGGTTACGGAGTATTGCTGCCGACTTCGCTGCCCACCTTGCGTTGAGCACTGAGTAGTGACTGCACTTCGTACTGTCTATCACCAACTTGACAGCTTCTGCACACAACACTTCCTGCTTAGGACGCTTGGACGAAGCCGAAAGAGACGAGTATCATAATGCATACCAAAAACAATACATCAATCTCCCATTCCCCCTCTCTTGACACGTCCTCCACGTCACCGATCCAAGTGGTATATCGCCTCCGATCAGACAAGTCTATCGGGCCTTCCGATGGGCGATGAAGACCACAATCTCGAAAGGAACGAGGAAAGTCCCTCCCCCCCACTATCTAGATCTTCCTATGCATCTCATCGGAGGGAGGAGGGTTACGATCTCATTCTGCTTGCCAACAAGCGAGACTGAAAAAAAAAAAGCATTTTCCTCTCCGTCAGTCGTCAACCAGATTTGGTCCAGTTCTTTCCCCCTTCTTCTGCTGCAGTTGCGCGGGCGTCACCCAACGCACGGCCCAAAAGACCCCCCTCCCTTGCTGTAACACCATGCTATCATCGTGAAAGGTGAGCGCCTCCAGATCCCATGAGAAATTCGGCGGGTGGGGGTTAGGAGTGAGTAGGGTGGTCAAACGAGGAAGGAAAAAGGAAGGGTCGCTGCACCAGATAGCATTGCAAAACGTACGCCGTAATAGTGCCCTCTCTCTCCCCTACAAGCAAACAAAGTATATCGTTGTCCAGTAAGCCAGCATATCCATTGAGCCGCACCACAGGGTGGTCATCTCCCCACCACCACCGAAGGCAAACAAAGACGAAGAAGCAAGAGGGGGGAGGTCAGATGCAGCGGGCCGAAGAGTCCGGGTTTTGCCTCTTTCCATAGTCACTGTGTTCTTACTACTACCGGTAGACTGTACGGACTGTTACTTGGAGTCCAGGTGATGTATCGTCACGAGGTTAATCCTTGCCGATAATCCGATGGAATTATGAGTAAAAATGGGTTTCCAACTTATGCACGTTGCCGCTTTGGACCCGACAGATGATGGAAAATCAGTTCATGCTTCCCAACGCTTTAATTTCTCTTTTGCTTCTTGTCTACAAATGGTTCCAACCTCGAATTCCCTTTTCCCGCCGCTGCTTTGTCTTCATACTTGCTGCTGTCCTACCTGAGCTGGAATCTCGACCTTTGGGCTCACAAGAAGCAGAGCGGCTAGGGCAGACCGGTAAAATGTCCCCACCGTTATTGTACGTCAATGGTAAAAATAGTGCCGAGACGTTGGGAGGACTAGACAGAGTCTGACTGCGTTTACATCTCTACCGGTCATTTATGCAAGAAGTGTTAAATAAGGCCTCTTTTGGTCGCTGCACTCGGAAAGGCTATTAGGCTGTTCACATAGAACATGCACTGCACTGTGCATGAGGCTGTTGATGATCGCCGCCTACCTCCAGCAACCATTGACATCACAATCAGGTTCAGCTGCATGCTTGATACTGACGACATCGACTACTTCATTGACGAGCAGGCAATACAGTATACTTACAGTCTGACAGTATATATTTTTGAGTCACCTGTGTGCCGTCATCACTAACTCTAAAAATAACATGACCATCGTCGGGTATCATGAAGCTGTGCAAGTTTCCTGGAATATGCTGATGTGATCGGCCAGATTGATCACCATTCTTGTGACACTGTAGTTTGCGCCTAGACTCAGTTTCACGCAAGGACCCAACCGAGAATCCAAATGCACCTGCATTGAATCTTCACCTGGGAAAGCCTCCTGCTGACATCAGATACGGTCACGTCAGCGTGTTACTGACTCTCGTTGACGGAAGCCCGAGGATTTGATCTTGGTACCCAAAGCAACGCTGATGCTCTCTCTATCGAGTTTGAAGGATGAGCACAGCCTTCATATATAAGATGTCATTTCCTGAGTGCGTCCATGGATTTCCTCCATCGGGGTCCGTAGATCTTCATGACAAAGAGGACAGAACTGCTGGCGAAAGCGACTAGTCCAAGGATGGTGAAAAGCCATCCATTACCGATGGCATCTATGATCGGCGCGGTGACCACAGAGCCCACACAGGAAAAGATATTGCGCATGAAATTGTTGAGTGCAACGCCTGCAGATGACTTCTTGGGCATGAATTCAGTCAACATCGTCGTTGCCATACCAAAGATCAGCATGGAGCCGACACCGAAGAAAAAGTTCGCAATCATCTGCCCGGTACAGTCAGTGAGGCTTCAGTATGTGTATAGACAGGGACAATGGGAATTCTTCAATGGCATGTGACAGCCTTGAGGGCTTGGAACGTACCGGTGCCAACCAAAACACGCCCCGATCCGCGCACCAGCCATACCAGATCAGCCCAGCAGGGTAAAGAAAAGCCCCAAGCCAGGCGTTCTCGCGCATGCGGTCTTCAGGATGGTATATCAGCTTGCCATTTTCGTCGTACCGTCTGGCTTTCTTGGCCTCCCGTTGCATGATGCTATCCATCCACCGGCCCCCGAAGGTACTGGCCACCACGTAACCCATTGAGTTCGGGATATATAGCAAGCCGACGATGATTGTACTGAAGTTGTACGGGCTACCTCCGAATGTGTGTTCAACGCTAACGTTGAGTACATATAGAGAGCCGAACGTGATGCTGGCATAGTAGACCGTGAGCAGCACGGGGGGATACCGCAGATAGAGAATAATTTTCAGAGGATCCAAGAGTACCATCTTGAGGTACTTGAGCCATCTGGTTGTAAAGTGAATGACTTGCCGAGATGAGACACGACTCAATTGACGATCCATCGGTTCCGGCTGTTCATCCTTGAGTTGTCTTACCTGATCAGAGACGGCCAGGGTTTCCGGAAGTGCAAGAAAGATGAGTATGACAGTGATAGCTCCCCAGACTGCCAAAAACCACAATGTACTTCTCCACCCCCATCGCTCGGCTAGAGCACCACCAACTATGGGAGCTAACAATGGCCCGCACAGCGGCCCCAGATAGAAAATGTTCATAGCACGCCCTCTTTCCCTTGGCTCCCAAAGATCGGCAATAGTTCCTGCGCCAACTGCTTGAACCGATGCAGAAGCACCTCCACTCAGGAGTCGCAAGACAATGAGCATAGCGATTGAGCTAGAGATGGCACACAATGAGTTGAATATGACGAAAAGAGTGAAAGAGACAAGATATATTGTTCGACGTCCAAGCCTTTCGCTAAAAGAAGACCACCAGAGTGGAAAGATAGACATGCTAAGCATGTATAATGAGATTGACAGGTTCGTGACGGTAGTCGAGGTACCCAGTTCCTTTGACACCTGAGCCAAGGAGGCTTTTCCCAGCGGAGGCACGGGTTAGAATAGATTTGGCGTCAGGGGACATGAAAAGACTCACGGAAGAAGATCGAGCTGCCCATGGGAGCTGCAGCCCCTGCTACTGCAACTATGAATGTGATGAACCATTTCGTCTTTCGAGGATAGACTTTGGGGTCTACCACCTCCGCCAGCAGCGTGAGCTGCCCAAAGAGGCCCCTACGCTCCAGTCGGGGTACCACAACTGGCTCCTCTTGCTCTTCGTCAGAAGTGTGAATCGAAGAAGCACGGTCTTCTTCATCTTTACCTTCTATCACCGGCGAGCCGTTGGAATTCTGAGGCTGGGGCATATCGTCAACGCGTGTTTCGATTATATTCTTGGACGGTACGACGTCGCGGTGAGCCTTGCTGGTAGCCACAGGGGTTTCGACCTTGTCTTCATGAATTCTCTTGTCTGCCGCCATTATCCATAGAGATATTCAAAGCGAAGATGGGTGGTAAATTGACATCCGAGCACAGGCGATGTACGGCTTAGCGAGCACGAAAGTTATGTATACTGGCTTGTCGGACTCTTCCCTGAATCTTAATGAGAGGTAGGGCCGAAATTATGTTCTAATGCCAGGATGGAGGATAACAGAGGCGAAAAAGCCGAGCAAGCAACGGGGATCACGCATGCGTTCTTCAGTGGGGATAGTGCGACTAGTAGTTGAGTTGAAATGATGCCTGGCTAGTATGTTGAAGCTCGCTGGCCATTGTCGAGCTGCGTAAGAGGCAGATCTTGTTCTTAACTATGCATGGCCGATACGAGAGGACGACAAGAAGCAGAAGGAAGATTGGGCGGAAAGAGTTCTGGGGACAACGGGGAAAATCCTCAAAGACTTGGAGGAGGTGTTGGTCGGTTAGGTAGTGTGTTGTTGTGCACCCCATATCTCGCATGGGTCCCAAACAGGCAGGCGATAGCCTTTGCCGGGCGAGGGTCTCCCTCTCCCCCACTTTACTTTTCCTTCTTCTTGTCAGCGGGATCCATCGTTATCAATCTGCCGATTGTGTGCTTCACAACTGGAATGACTCCAACAAAGTCTACGATACGAGTAACGAGTATGTAAGCAGCAGTGAGCAAACCCTTCCAGTCTGCAAATCAAGTCCTAATCAAGTAGGCCCAGGCAAGCCAAGGCCGATGCCGTTCCATCCGAGAGCTCCAGTCGGAAGGCTTGATGAGCGGGCATTGCCGCCCTCCATCCAAAAACAAGAACTTACCGAGGTCAATGCCCGCTTGGAGTGTGGGGAGCTGGATTCTTATCCGAGTCACTCGGTAGAACTGCAATTACATACTTGTTTCCAGTTGCCGGTCTCGTGAGTGGCCACCATTGCTGCTTCAGGTCATTGTCGCCAGAAGAGATTTTTCTCATCATCATTGAGCATACGACGAACACTATGAGACTCTCAGCTGTGTCCACTTGAATCTAGGTGCGGCTCACTATAGGAGAAATTTCATGGGAGTTGCTAATCTCATGGAGTGAGCAAGCTCTCGAGCTCTATCAATGATGCAATGGTCCAACCTTGGAGTTTGAGCTCGGCTCCACACGTTTGCAATACATTTTAAGCTTAAAATCATTGACCAAAACGTCTGGAGTCGAGCGTGTCGATTGTTCAGACAATTCAGTGCGGTTGACTGTGGATACTTCAACCCGGATCCGCCGGTCCAAGTTGCCCCACGCCCACCAGCAGTTCGAACCGATACTTGATCGAACATCCTGCCTTCCTATGCTCTGGAGCATACATACACGCAACAGGCTAATAACACCATTAATCCTGAAGTGCCCCATTGAATCCACCACCTCCAAATCTCGAAAAGCAATTTTGTCGCGATACAATCTGTGAATCTGCAAGCAAGATGGCGACTCCAGACAGGGCCACCATGCAACGGAACGTCAGGGACACGTTGGCCAGGTATCAAGGAGATGACTATGTTGACGGCTGGGCTGAACTCTGGAATAAGAACGAAAATTTGCCTTGGGACAAGGGCATTCCTAATCCCGCGTTGGAAGATACCCTCACCCAGCAGCGCGCGACCCTCGGGGGTCCAATTGCCACGGATGCACAGGGAGCAACCTACCGAAAGAAAGCACTGGTTCCCGGCTGTGGCAGAGGAGTAGATGTGCTTCTTCTTGCCAGCTTTGGCTACGATGCTTATGGACTGGAGTATAGCGATGCTGCAGTCAAAAATTGTGAGAACGAGGCAGCTCAGAATGGGGACAAGTATCCTGTCAGAGATGCTGGAATAGGTCGAGGGAAGATCGCTTTCGTGCAAGGTGACTTTTTCAAGAATGACTGGATGGAGAGTCTACAAATACCGCCTAACTGCTTTGACTTGATATACGATTATACGGTAAGCCTACTTGGCTTGACCCCTGTTTTACGTTTCTCGTGTCTTCGTCCACGATAGCCAGAATCTGGGCTTACATGCGTCTACAGTTCTTCTGCGCACTAAACCCAATGATGCGGCCAAGTTGGGCTTTGCGACACACCCAACTTCTGGCGCCTTCGCCGCGCGGCAATCTGATTTGCTTAGAGTTTCCAAGGCACAAGGATCCGACGCAGCAAGGACCCCCTTGGGGAGTGTCATCGGAGGCCTACATGGAGCATTTGAGTCACCCGGGCGAACAAATCCCGTATGACGCTCAGAGCCGATGCAAGATGGATCCTCTTCGCGAGCCAAGCGAGCATGGTCTCGAGCGTGTGGCATACTTCCAGCCTGCTCGGACACACGAAGGTGGTAAGGACAGCAACGGGGTGGTTCAAGACCGAGTCTCCATATGGCGCCATCGGTAGTGCGCTTGTGCGGGTGGAAATCGACGGATACACATCACCATGAATCAGTCAATCCCTTGATGGATCCACCGGTCTGATTCGCTCAAATTGACTTCGCTTCTGCTGCTTTTCTCTCTCTCTAGGACTGCTTCGATAGTGCGTTGTAATGCTCCCCAAGCCCATATGTATGCCTGTAGTATGCCAGCCAGATGACCCGCTTACGCCTCTCTTCGTCATCAAGTCCATCCACATCACCCGGCTCTATCTTCTCGATCCTCCCATCGCCTTGTATTACATTGATCTCGACGCCGTATGCCCTCGCAAGCGCCTGCAGCTCGAGCTGTCCACCCCACTCGGCAGTCAGCTTGATCTTCCTGGTGTATTGATCCAGCGGCTCCTCCATGAATGCCTCAAAGTCATCTTTATGTTCAGCAATGAAGTCCGCGGCCACCGCCCGGACTGCTCGGTACCCGTCGTGCTTTGGGAAAGTGACCGTATCCACCCGCGACTGGGTGGGAGCCTGGAGAATCATCCTCTTGGGATCCGGTTTGAGACCCACACCCATCTCATCCAGTTGACTCGCAATCGCGGAATACAGACAATGCCCGTCCGGGTTAATCTCGATCTCCTTCAGCTGCAAGCGCTTGAACACGGCGTCCATAACCTCCTTCTCGTTGCCCCGATGGTCGGTCTGGTTCGCGGCCTCCTCCGCTGCTATGGCCGACTGGGCCGCTTGCTCGGCTGCACGACGCGCGAGACGGGCCTTTTGGCGGTTCGGCTTCTTGGGGCGCGCGCCGGAGGGCTGCGGGGTGTCGGTGGTGGTCGTGCTGTTGCTGTTGCTGGTTGGGGGCGTCGTCGTCGTCGTCGTCGTCGTCGTGGAGACCGAGGGATCATCTGTGGGAATGTTGACTTCGTCTTTGCTCGTCACGTCATTATCACCGTCATCGGACTTGCTGTCGTGGAGGCTGAGGTCCTCGAGACCGTCGACGGGCTCGCCGCTCAGCTCCGCCAGCTGTGCCTGTTGTCGCTCCGTGAGCTCCCGCTGCAGTCGGTCGCATTCATCGTTGATGCCCTTGCGGGTTTTCTTGGTGGCAGACTTCTTCTTCTGGGTGATCTTCGCTTGGAGGTCTTTCTGTTCCTTGCGGTGTTTGGCTTGCAGCTCCTCCATGGCTGCAGGGTGGGCTGTACTGGTTGTCGTGGTATACAATGATGATATAAGGATGAATCATAAAACTCCCCAAGTTGAATTTGTATGAGTCCAATGACTCCAAGGGAAATATTCAAGAGAATTGTAGATAAATGGAGGATTTAGGATCCAAAGGTGGGCTGCTGGACTTGCTGGATAACAAACACGCAGAGTGGTGGAATTGCCCCGCCACTGCAGGACTGCGCTCACTTTTTGCGGTCCTCCGTCCGCTCCGGTTTAATGTCGACGCCTCAGGCACACATATCACTAGACCGGGTCTTTACAACCTTAGGCACCAGGCATCGCTGTAGTTACGAAGAGCACCACAGAGTCTTGAAATGATTTTCTGAGAAGCCAGTGGACTTCCTCGACATAGGTGACCAGAAATGAAACAGACTGTGATCACCCTCTCAACTGTGCCCTTGTTCTTTCTCAGCCCGGATTGCCTCGGCATCTTGTGCCAAGCCGCTCAGTAATCGCTCGGCCGTCGGTTAGTGTACCCCGACATCGTCTCTCCGCATTGTATAAGGAGCTTCATCTGGCACCGCTCTCGAGTTTGTCGATGCTTTAACGTGAACTATTTATCTCAGCAGGTACTCTATCTTGATAGCTCTCTCATCTATAAATAGAGACCCGGAAGACTTGAAAGCAAGCACATCATGGATGTCCAGAAGCTCTTCGATGTGAAGGTTAGTCGCAATTATTACGCAAAATCGAGCGGCGCACACCCCCTTTTTTTCCAGTTGAGTATCATGAACACTGAGCAAGCTATCAGGGCAAAGTCGTGCTGGTTACTGGCGGAGCCAAAGGCATTGGCCGCATGATCTCCGAGGGTTATGTAGCGAACGGTGCCACCGTCTATATCTCCTCGCGTGATGCGAAGGCCTGCGAAAAGGCCGCCAGCGAGCTCAATGCGCTCGGCAAGGGCAATGCCTATGCCATTCCCGCCAACTTTTACCAGGAGGAAGATCTCAAGAAATTGGCAGACGAACTTACCAAGCGCGAGAGTAGTGAGTAGTGTGTCTTTCATTCGGTCCCCCCTCCACGATAGGCCTGGCGGTCGAAGTGGGTGGCAAGAATAATGAAGCGCTTACCTGATTGTCACCAGAACTTCACGTTCTCGTTAACAACTCGGGATCGAACTGGGGTGCCCCATACGATGAATACCCATCTTCCGCATGGACACGGGTCCTCACTCTCAACCTCCACAGAGTATTCGACCTTACCAAGCTTCTCACGCCCTTACTCGAGAAGGCCGCTGCGCCGGGCGACCCGGCTCGGGTCATTAACATTGGCAGTATCGATGGGTTGAGAGTCCCGGCGCTGGAGACCTTTGCTTACAGTGCTAGTAAAGCTGGTTTGCATCATCTGAGCCGTGTCTTGGCTAATCATCTTGGAAGGAGGAATATCACGTATGTTGTGGCCCTCGCTGTATGATTGCCGATGGGAGTTGAGCTAATCTGGTTGTCTTCTCTGGCAGGTCGAATACTCTGGCCTGTGGTCCTTTCCAGAGTAAGATGATGGCCGCCACCCTGGAGGCGCATCGTGAGACCATCGAGGGAAATATCCCATTGGGTCGTATCGGAAGTCCGGAAGATGTGGCAGGGGCTTGTCTGTTCCTGGGGAGCCGGGCTGGTGCATATGTGAACGGAGCTACTATCACTGTTGATGGTGGTAGCTCGGTTGCTGCTAGGTTGTAATTAGTACTGTCAACGAGTCAAAGCATGCGAGACATTAGCCTATGGTCAATTCAGAAAGAAATCAACATGGAGGTTAATCAAGGCTCCGACCCACCGGTGGGAAACACTCTGACTTCGTAGCTTGCGAGCCTGTACCACCTGATGAACAAGCATAGCCCATACCAGTACGGGGAGATGTGTCATTTTCGACAATAGTAGGTAATAGTGTGTGTTGAGGCGCCACTTTGTTGAGGCTAAAAACATTCAATAATCAGCTGACCAAGTTATTGATATGTCACTGCAGAACTTTCGAGCCATACGTATCACATTGATTATCTTGATCTTCTGTATGCATGTAATCTACCGGTACTTGGTTCTCCGTAGTATGGCAAAGTATGTTACTGATCGGCAACATATCATATTTCCTGTCATCGGTCGGAATGTTTACAGCGAGATGTACTCCGTACATGCGTACGATGTTTCGAGAATGATTCTAGGGGTTTATCGCGACTTACGGCCGGAAGGGACGATCCCACTCCGCTCTGCCTTCATCCTTCCATAAAGAGCAAGGAGCGAGTTTCAACCATAATGACATTGAGATATCTGATCCCTTGAAAACAGGACCTCATCGATGACAGAATCTCGACAAGCGAGAACGCTTTGGTCCAATATTCACCCAGGTTGAAAAAGTCCTGGGTAAGAGGCAGGTCTCCGGTTCGTGGCCGGTATATAAAGTCATCGACGGCTGATAGTAGGCGCGCCGAGCACGATAGTCTGAAAACTAACGACCCGAGACTCTGCAACAGAACTACTACCATGAATATTGGGTTGGAAACCCGGGTCAGAACAGCTCAACTTCGACAAGTAACACCATAATCCTGTCCTTGGCAGATTGTGACTCTTCACGCCGGCATTGCGAAGATTTTTGGGCGTTGCCGAGACCGCGCAGTCTTTCTCAACCTTATGCCGGGATTGAAGCCCTGCCATGGCATTCAATGATCCTTAACAATTGTCGCTGCATCGTGCAGGGCTTTCGATATTGCGTTAGGTATTCATCAAGGGCTGCCAGCCACTTGCTTAACAACAATGTTTGAGCTACCCAACCGACGTTCCGCTGCAGTTCGAGGACAGCAGGACTCAACCTCCGTGTGTAACGCAACGGAGTGATGATGATTCGACCGTGCTACCAGACCATGGATTGTCTTAGCATCTCGATCATGTCGATCTTACTTCCCCCGTGATCAATTCGATAGAGAAACGCTAAATCCAATGCTAAGTCGGATCTGGTACGACCGCAGCAATGTGCATGGACCAAATCGATAAACAAATTCAGTACATGATGCAGGAGGGAAAAAAGACAAGACAGGCAAGCAAGCACCGTACCCAAACGGTGGAATTGGTCTTCAACCTTGATTCAATTACTTCTTTTGGGCTTCCTTGCTTCTCTGTGGCTCTGTCATGTGCCTCTTTTCTGCTCTCTTTTTGTGTACAGGTGGTGGGTGAAACGCGTCCACCTCACCCTACTGTACTGTGCTTCCATTATCAGACACACAATTGTGGTTCCCCGCCGGCGATTGCTCTCTTATCGCACCGCTATCCAACGCCACGTCAAGGACGCAGAGAGTCAAGCATGAGCAGGCATCGTCTAGATAGTACCTTAACCATTTCTATCTCGAGGCTTCGGGAGATTTCGCACCGGTCGATACAAAGCTGGCTTATCATCATTGGAACCGAAATCAGCGGGCGAAATACCAACAAGAATTCGCTCTTGAGTGGAGCAGGCGACATCATCGGTTCGTGGCGTCATAGTCTCCAAGGGAACCTCATTCTCGCCTTTTCACATCTCGCCCGTCCACTTCTCTCTTAGGACATCTCATTGAAACCCTGTGGTTTAAAAAAGAAGATACGTTTTCAGACCAGCCCGAGAAAGTCTCTTCCACCCTCCCCCTTTTTTCTATTTTATTTTTTTTACAACAACATTCTGTTTGAGCTTTGTTGTTCGAGTGCACACCGCTCCTTTTTTCCCCCACGCGATAACCCTCAATTACTCTGAAAGAACCCACCCCCGAGTGTGACGTACCCCGAGATTCCGCGGACGCCAAACTTCGACTCGTGGCCAAAAATATTATTCCTCTTCTCCCGGGGACATCCATCCTCTTTGTTTAGCTGCACTTCAGCAGACCCTGGAAGTACATCTACCCACCTTTGGTCCTGCTTCTACTTTCCACTTATAGGAATCATTCCTTGTGATCGTGATCCCAGCTGGTATCTTTCAATACGAACCGGCTGTCGTTCCCAGCGCCACGAACGAGCCTAGCGTTCTCAATTATTGGCATCCTTGTGCTACCCCCTTTAGCCGGCAAACCAACAGCAACCCCTGCTCCGATCCTCTTTTGCCCTAGTATCTTCTTTCGCCTCACCTGCCACCGAGCAACTTTTTCTCCCCTCCATCTTACACCCCCCTCCGATGATGAGCTCTTCAAGCGCCCAACACCGCCGGAACCAGTCGCTTGACCCATTTTCGGATCCTGACGTCTACTACGGAGGCGAAGATGGCAAAGCGCGCATCAGGGATCGCAAACGAGCCTTCTCATCGGTATGTACAACGGACTGAGTCAGATAAGCCCACCACAAGCGTGGCTGACCATTTCTCGATTTTCAACCACAGACTTTGAAGTCCTTCAACCGGGAAGACATTCAAGAGTTCCTGGGAGGCGGTTTCCCAGCGAGGAGAGCCAGTCACGGTACGTACGAAAATGAAGCATTTCTTGGCTGCACCAAGGTACCTTTGACTGACGCATATGGACCACAGATGAGACCCCGTCAAACGACCGCAAATTCCTTATCGATGTCGAGAAAACACTACACGATCTCCTGAAACGGGAAGACACGGATCAGAACATGCAGATCACCATCGAAGATGTCGGCCCAAAGGTAGGAGCGGATCTGTTGTGGGCTACATTCGAATGACAGCTGACATGGATGAAGGTCTTCTCCGTAGGAACAGCTGCATCATCGGGATACAACAGATTCGACTTGCGAGGCACATACATGCTATCCAATCTCCTCCAGGAACTCACAATCGCCAAGGACTACGGTCGGAAGACTATTGTTCTGGACGAGGCTCGTCTGAGCGAGAACCCAGTCTCCCGTCTTTCCCGCCTTATCAAAAACTCGTTCTGGACCGCCTTGACCCGGCGAATTGACGGCTCGAACATCGCTGAAGCGGGTAGGGACCCCAAGGATTGGACCGATGACCCTAGGCCTCGGATCTACATTCCTGTGGGGGCTCCCGAGCAGTATGAGTACTACAAGAAGATCGCAGAAGATTACCCTGAGCTTCGCCTGGATGTCCAGATGCTGGATGCCAACATCACACCCGACTACGTGAAGGACCTTAACAGCAAACCTGGAATGCTGGCCTTGGCGATGGACAAGACGATTGACGAGGCTACCCAGAAGACCGAATACACCGGAGTCCCGTTCGTAGTGCCGGGCGGAAGATTCAACGAACTGTACGGCTGGGACAGTTATATGATCTCGCTCGGTTTACTTGTCAGCGACCGAGTTGACTTGGCCAAGGCCATGGTGATCAACTTCTGTTTCTGTATCAAGCACTACGCCAAGATTCTGAATGCTAACCGCTCCTACTACTTGATGCGCTCTCAGCCACCATTCTTGACTGATATGGCACTGCGTGTGTACGAGCGGATCAAGCTGGAGCCTGATGCTATGGACTTCCTTCGAAATGCGACTCTCGCTGCCATCAAGGAGTACTACAGCGTCTGGACTGCGGAGCCACGGTTTGACCCGGTCTCTGGCCTTTCGAGGTATCGTCCTCAAGGCAGTGGTGTCCCTCCGGAAACGGAGCCGACTCACTTCTATCATATCCTTACTCCTTATGCTGAAAAGCACGGGATGTCCTTCGACGAGTTTGTCCAGGCCTACAACGAACGCAAAGTCCTGGAGCCCGAGCTTGACGAGTATTTCTTGCATGATCGAGCCGTGCGAGAGTCTGGACACGATACCAGCTACCGTCTGGAGAAGGTATGCGCTAACCTGGCCACGGTCGATCTTAACTCGCTCTTGTACAAGTATGAAGTGGACATTGCGCGGGTAATTCGCACCTACTTCAAAGATAAGCTGGAAATTCCTCCTGAGTTCCGGACTGAGGCTACTAAGGACATCGCCTTCGAGTCCTCGTCTGTGTGGGACCGTCGCGCCCGACGCAGAAAGATGCGCATGGACACCTATCTCTGGGACGAGGAGAAAGGCATGTACTTCGATTATGACACTGCCAAGCAAGAACGAACGAACTACGAGAGTGCCACCACCTACTGGGCGATGTGGGCCGGTCTCGCGACACCGCAACAAGCGTCTCAAATGGTCAAGGCTCTCCACCGATTCGAAGCGTATGGTGGTCTGGTGTCAGGAACCGAAGAGTCGCGGGGCGTTGTCGGTTTGGATCGTCCCAACCGGCAGTGGGACTACCCCTATGGCTGGGCGCCTCAGCAGATGCTTGCTTGGACCGGACTGATCCGGTACGGTTACCAAGACGAAGCCGAACGACTGACCTACAAGTGGCTGTACATGATCACCAAGGCCTTTGTGGATTTCAACGGGGTGGTGGTCGAGAAATACGATGTCACTCGACCCATTGACCCACATCGGGTGGATGCCGAGTACGGCAACCAAGGCGTGGATTTCAAGGGGGCTCCCCGTGAAGGGTAAGAATTCTCGAGTTGGATGACACGAAGCTATTTTATCCCCTTGCGCGCAGGCCACTAATTTATTTGCTTTAGATTTGGTTGGGTGAATGCCAGCTACGTTTACGGATTGGAGATCCTCAACGCCCATCAACGGCGTGCTCTTGGAGCCATCACCCCTTACGAGACGTACAACAAGGCTGTCAGCGTGCAAGATGAAATCTTGTAAGCGCTTTTGGCTGGCATGTCTTGAGTGATTTGTCTCTGCCTCGTTACGAGAGTTTGCAATTCGTTCTATATTCCCCGACGATTTTGGGGTCGAGCTTAGGAAACGTTCTTTCGTTCTGCGGTCTCGGCTTTTTGAAGACTTCTTTAGATGGACTTGAAAAGCGGTGGAGATAGAGTATAATGGGTCTGCTATATTTCCTAAATAGTGAATGTTTCTTCGGATGTTGTGCGGTTAGGACGCAGCAGAAGGGAGCTTGTTAAGATTTGGAGGAAGACCTTGAGGGTTTGCTTGGTGCTCATTTCTTGCTTGTTTGAACGTCGGAGTTGATAGCCAGTCGTACTGCATGCGACGATGAGTGATGAGTTGAATTCAAGCCAGCGTTTTTCTATTTAATGTCTGTGAGTGATGAAAGGAGGGAGTGATGAGTGGGCCATGGCTGTGGTTGTCAGGTCCGTGCAACAGAGCGTAGGCTTTCTGTGTTTTTTTTAACCTTCCGTTTTAAGTTCTGACTTTCGTATCAGTATCTCTTCATTTCCGGACGTGTCTTTTTATAACTTCTCTAACAGCCCATGCAGGAACAGGGCCGATGCGACCCGCCAATGGCCATTGCTGAAGCTGTGCAAAAAAAAAAAAAAAAAAATAAGGAGGGGATAAAGCGTGGTCTCGGTCAGTGTGCGAACCAAGCTAAACCTTAGCCTAAACATTAGTGTAGTTAGACTGTTAGACTGTTACTTTGTTCGACTTTGGCCGAAGCTAAGCAGTTGACAGAATCCACCGAGGTGTTCACTTTGTTCGCTTTGGCAGTGAACATGATTGATCATTGCAGACGGGCTGCCGACCAGCCGCGGTCCGTTCAGAAGCGGGGGAGGAGAGGAGCCTAGGGAAATGCCCCGAACCCGGCTTGGGTTTGGCCGCATGTGCTTCACCACTAACCCTTCCACTAACACCACCACTAAACCACTGCTTGCTGTTCTATGGATCAGTCCCGGACTCTCTTGTCGGCGCAATTCCTCCATCCGGTCTCTTCCTCTTCCATGGTCTGCCACACCATGACGATCATTCTACTACTCCTACTCGTAATTTAATCCCGGGATGATCGCCTGGCTTTGTCGCTCATTCCCCCCTACTTCTACATCTACTTCTACTTCTTTTTCTTGGTTCACCTCCGCTCTCTTTCTTGCTGGCTGGCTTTTTATACCCCTCCGTCCCCTCCCCTCCCCTCCCCTCCCCTCCTCTCCTGCCAACTTTTCCATAACTTAGCTATTCAACAATCGCAACAATGGGCGCAATAGAGATCCCTCCTTTCGAAAATACTCCGATCGAGGAGATTCAGTCCCGCGTCTCGACCGTGCGCAAGACTTTCAATGCACACAAGACCCGCGATGTGGAGTACCGGCTGGTCCAACTCCGCAAGCTATACTGGGCGTGAGTTTTTGTCCCTTCTTCTTCCCCGGTGCGGAAAAGCAGAAGAGACATGGACGAAGGAGGGCATAATGCTAATCTTTCCCCGTTGGCAACAGTGTGAAGGACCATCTCGAGGAAATGCGCGAGGCGCTCCGACGGGACCTCAACCGACCGGATTTCGAGACCGAGCTCGGCGACACCAACTGGGTCCTGAACGACATCGTTTTCGTGTGCCGCAATCTGCAGAAATGGGTCAAGGATGAGAAGGCGGAGAATATCGATATCACTTTCAAGTTCGTGAGCCCGAAGATCCGGAAGGATCCGTTGGGTTGTGTTTTGGTTATTGGGTATGTGACCTGCCTGCCGCTCACTATCTTGGTCTGCGGGCGGAATAGTTCGGGAATAAGCTAATTGTGGATGAATCATAGTCCATTTAATTACCCGTTCCAGTTGACTCTGGGTCCAGTGATTGGTGCTATCGCCGCCGGTTGTACTGTGGTGGTCAAGCCTAGTGAAAAGTCCTCCCACAGCGCATCGGTGATCCAGCGGATTATCGAGGCGGCGCTCGATCCGGAGGCGTACACGGTGGTGCAGGGAGGAGTCCCCGAGACTCAGGCGCTCCTGGCGGAGCGGTGGGATAAGATCTTCTTCACCGGTAGTGCGAATGTCGGCCGCATCATCTGCAAGGCAGCTGCGCCCCATATGACTCCCGTCGTGCTGGAGCTGGGCGGTCGCAACCCTGCGATCATCTCTAAGAACGCTGATCCCAAGCTGGTCGCGCGTCGCATGCTGTGGGGAAAAGTCACGAATGCCGGACAAATCTGTACGTCGCAGAACTATATGCTCGTGGAGAGACCCATCCTGCCGGCGGTGGTGGATGAGTTCAAGAAGGCCTACGGCGAGTTCTTCCCGCAGGGAGCCAAGACCTCCCCCGACCTCAGTCGCATCATTGATGATGCTTCGTTCCAGCGAATCAAGAGGATGATCGATAACACTAAGGGCAAGATCCTTCTGGGAGGAACGATGGATGAGAAGGAGCGCTTCATCGAGCCAACACTCATTCAGATCGATTCGGTCGATGACTCCCTGGTCGCCGAGGAGAGTTTTGGTCCCTTGTTGACCATTCTCCCCGTCGACAGCATCGATGAGGCGATCGAGATCGCCAACGGCGTGCAGTCCACGCCTTTGGCTCTCTACCCATTCGGCACCAAGGCCGAAGCCGAGAAGAGTATGTGACCTTTTCCCTTTCCCTTTCTCTCCTGGGAATACCCAGTCACGCAAACTAACCTCTCTTTCGTATAGTTCTCTCCAAGACCCGCTCCGGAGGTGTCTCCATCAACGACGCCGCTCTGCACATCCCCACTCTCGAATTCGGCGGTGTGGGCGAGAGTGGCAGCGGCTCCTACCGTGGCAAGGCCAGTTTCGACGTCTTCGTGCACCGCCGCACCATCACCACCAGCCCGGGCTGGATCGAATCTGCGCTGGCCATCCGCTACCCACCCTTCGGCAAGAAGCAGGAATACTTCATCAAGGCTGGTAGCCTGACGCCGGATTTCGATCGCGACGGACAAAAGCTGCGACTTGGCTGGCTCCGCTACCTCTTCACTCTCGGCGGTGGATCCGTCAAGTCCGGGGTTACTCGTGCCACCATTGTTGCTGCGGGTGAGTGATATCTTCGGCTTTTTTTTTTTTTTTTTTTTTTTTATTGCTTCGCACTTATCAGTGTTATCATTTTGGATTTGTTACCCCATGCGCTATCTCGGTCGCACGCAGTCATCTTACTGTCCGAATCTCCATCGGCAGAATAAGGGCCGACTCGTACACTCCCAAGTTTGCGTCGGAATCGAACCAATGCTTTCGGCCTGCGTACATTGACCTGACGTGTTCGATCCCAACTTTCGCTCTGGTGGTTTTTCCGTCTGTGATGGCATGCCCTTTTTGCCCGGGGTCACATGATCTCATATCCTGTGCTCTGACATCTATTGTTTAATCTTTAATCCTCGACCCACAACTCTGGACATTCCAAAACCAAAGAAAATGAAACAAACGATATATACTTACCATATTCTATCTCCAGTGGCATACCTCGCACTCCAGCTCCTCGACCGCCGAGGTTCCAAGCTATGAATCAATTTCCTCCCCGGTGATTGTCAAAGTTACAGTCCAATGTTTATCTACTGATCTTTTCTTGGTATGGTTTTGGTGTCTTATCGGGGTGGATTCTTTTCTGATATTCGAAATTTCTTTGGATTTTCTGATCTGGCGCCGTTTTTCTTTTTGCTTTGGTTTGTGCTTTAGGGTGTGGTCCTATGTTTATGATTATGTATACTATAATTTGTAACCCGACGGAATGAGGGGTTGTGTTCTTTGCTGGAAAGGGGATTATATTCCATTTAGTGGTGGGAGTAGCTAGCAGGCTAGCTAGCCGGTGCGACAAATTTGAAGCATGATCATGATTACTATCAGCTAACCGGACTCCATTGTCTTGTTCAGAACTCAGCATCCACTCGGTAGAAGGTCTTCTTGTTCCATACGCATCTGCTTGGTCGGAGAAAATGGCCCGGTGTTTTTGCATCCGGTGGATTCATATATCTATTTATCATCATTGCATGTCACGTCACATCTCCACCCCGTGTCAAGATAGTTAGTGGTAGTAGTAGTAGTAGTGGGCGTCATCAAGGATAAAGCAAACCCATAGCGTTCCACAAACAATACCTAGGTTTTTTGAAGCAAATGGTCTATGAGCCAGAAATCTGAAAAGAAATGGCGGGAAAAGACTTGAGAAAATGTGAACAAGGGGTAAGCAAAACAAGAAGAAATCGTGGTGTGGGAATAGATAGGCGACCCGACCATATACAGTGAAGTGGTGGTGACAGGGTAGCTAGGTTGTTCCAATGTAGGCAAGGTTATGTTTCGAGATGTTCGGAGGGTGGAAGTGCGCAAAATGTGTGATATGCATCCCACAGGGGAGGAAGCGGGATGATCTGCCGGGTGTTCCTCGGATCCCGGGGCCTGGGGTCCGCTAACACCGTCTCTCCACGCCCTTTTGACTCACGCAGAGGTACTTCACCCCCTTGTATGGTTTGACGCCTTCGCCGAGGCCGCGGCTTTTCCGCGGGTCGATGTTGAGACTGTCGACTTTGAGGCCGGAGGGGAGCCAGCCGCGCACGGAGAAGGAGACGGAGGCGGAGGTGGGCATGAGGATGGCGTTGAGCTGGGTCTTGGTCTTGCGGGGGGCGGTGTGGAATATGTTGGCTGCCTGGCGGCCTTTGGGGGGTTTGGGGGAGGAGTTGGAGCGGAGCTTTTCTGGACGGGCGTTGTGGGATTCGGGTCTGGGTTCGGGTTCAGTACCCGTTTCTGGGGGAGCATGTTGTGTTTCGCCTTCAGCTTCAGGGAGGAGTGTTGATGATAGTGAGGGAGCCGGAGGAGCTGGAGTTGACGGCTGGGAGGGATCGGAGGGAGGGTAGGGTTGGGGCTGTTCGGCGTCCAGGAGGTTGTTGGGGTCGGCGGCAGGAGAAGCTGATGCTTCGGCCTCTGCTGCAGCCGCCGCGGCTGCGCGAGAGGATTTCTTGACAACCTTCTTCTTCTTCTTTTTCTTGGTCTTCCGTTTTGTGGTGCCCGTTTCCGGGTCCTGGTATGCCGTGGTTGGGTCATAGTAGCCCTGGAGAAGGTTGGCGTCTGCATCTTCCAACTCGTCTTCGGCATCGTCCTCATCGTAATGACCAACCACGCTACACCGCAAAGTCGCGGTGCCGGAGACAGTACCGGCGTCTTTGGTTGGGATTCGCCATTCGAGCACCTCGCTCCCCGGAGAGTACAAGGCCTCTCCGCGGCTGGCTTGCATCTCTGTGATATTCCGGACCGACTTGGGGATGGGGACCGTAACAACGACCTCTTCCAAGGCAGGTGCCGCGGAGTTCCCGCCTCCTCCCAGGAACGAGGGGGTCGATGACCCTGACCCACTGCGCCCGACTCCGGGCCGGTTGGCGGATGTGTAGCCCGGAAAGTTGGTGTTGAGGATTAGCCGCACTTCGAACTCCGCGCCTGTTGGGCCGAGAGACTTGCGAACATCCACGATAGCCGGCAGGAAAAGCTTCTCCATGTGGTTGGGAGGTTGGTCAAGGTTGGGGTCAAGCGGTAGGAGATCTACCTCATACCCGGCGAGGATGAATCGACCGTCCGGTGGAACAAAACTGAGCTCCCCCGGCCGTTCCCGCCATCGCGCTAATCTCACACAGGGGTGGAAAACAGGAAGCTCCAGCTTCCGCCCCAAGTCTTTCTGGCCGCCGGGCGCCGTTAAGGAGAGAAGGAGATCTGGGACACCAGAGACCTTCGCAGTAAAGGCGATGGTGCCGGAGGCCAAAGCAGATAGCAGACGACCGGACGGGGCGATAGTGACCGACAAAGACTCGATTATGTCAACATATATCTCGTTCGAGGTATGACGAACACTAGATTTCCGCCAAGGTATCGCGGGACCTTGTGCTGCAGCGGCAGACGACAAAGATTGCTTCAATGCGTTGGGCTGGCCCAGGATTGGCGTGGATGAACTATTTTGACGGGTCCACAATGGTTAGTATAATTGACTAAGAGCTCCGTATTCCAAGTTGCGGGGTCATCGACAAGGTATGATCACTCACCCAGCCAACCCAACCCCGCCTAGGAGTTTCCCCATCCATCCTGGCATTTCAACCACCTCCTGCAACATGTTGGGCTCGGTGTTGCACACGATGCCGCCATCGCACATCTCGTAAAGTAGCTGTGCGACCACATCGTAATTGGCCTGTAGCTTTGTTGAGAGCAATGGCGCCCCAACAAACTCCTCGAGGACATCGACGACTCGATGTAGAAACTCCAGCACCAGCAGCGCTTCCAAGTCAACCTCGGAGACTGCGATGAAGGTGAGATTCGACTGGACGATGGAGAAGACGGTCACCGGTGGAGTCGCACCGGGCAGGTACAGCACTGAGGGGCGAGGGGCCGCATGAGCGAGAAAGAGAGAGCGAATTACTGGTGCGGAGGGCGGACGGGAGCGGTAGACCTGTTCGACGATCGGATTGCTGAGGGACAGAACGTCAGTAGCTGGAGAGGTACGGAGGGGTAGGGAGACAGACGTCTGCTCATCGTAAATATAAAGCGCATCGACTTGGCCGCTCATGATGGCGACCTAACTCGACGGGGCTGGGGATCGGGGGGAGGGGGGAGTGGGTGGTCATGGTCCGCCCGGGCGTGATGGTCGGGGAAGGGAAATGAGGCCATCCGCCTCCAAATCGCCCGCGTTCTGCCGCTCACCTCCGCCTGGGCCATCGGATGAATCCGATTGATTTCCAGTCTCGGAGATTTCCATGCTCGATTGATTGAATTGTATGAAGTGATTTATTGTCCTCCATTCATAGATACTCACCCTATACTACCCTTCCCTCTTCTGTCATCGCCCAGCATGCCTTCCTCCTCCTCGAATGAAATTGAGCGCTGGGATGTTCAGCCCAAGGATGCGAAGCGCATGCTCGCCGAAGAATCCTACGATGACTGTCTATCTTGCCGCATTACAGGTTGGTTTTCTCTCCTTCTGCTCCAACTCGCTTAAAGCTCCGGTGGTTAAGCCTCAAGGAACACAGGATCTGCCGCATTCATCGGACTCGGTGTCTACAGCTACTGGACGGGCATGAGCAACCTCAGGAAGCAAGAAAATACAATTATGCAAAGCGCCACCAAGTACAAGATGGGATCTCGACGTCTCGGCATTGCGACTATCTCCGCAACCCTGGTTGGCATGGGCGTTTGGAGGGCTTTCAACTAATACCCAGGTTATCATTTTGTGATTTTTATTCCACTCAGGGCGTTATGTATATTAGCTCAAATGATTGCAACTACTCTATGATTGATAAGAGTCACTGGTGAATGAGTGCATGAAATGTTTATACGTTTAGCATTGACACGAGCTGCCTCGTCGGGTATCGCCAAAACCTGTTAACCTCTATAGATTCGATGATTATGAATCAAAAAGAAAGAGAAATGAAAGGTGTTTGAAGGTGGATGTGAAGAAAGGAAACACAGTGGAGGATAGGATGAGCGTGAAAACGGAAAGAAAGATAAAATGACCGTGGCCTGAAGACCGCATGCAATACTCCCACAAATGCACCAGGGTAAACAAAAAACAAAAGTATCAATGTACTAACAACCGCTGCGTAACCATAGGAATATGAACTTCGTCTGATCGTCGATACAATATTCTTTCAGGTGAAGCGGCCTCGCTTGCCGCCGCCGAACAAGTCTCGATTCCCGAGGCCGGACAGGTCGAAGAAATCCGGCACTGCGAGCTTGCGTTTCGAGCCAAGTCCGACGGAGGACTCGCGAGTGGATGATCGAGGGTTGGGTCGTGAGAAGTTGTTGTGACGGGTTTGCTGCCGGCCATTTCGAGGCAGTACTGAAACGCTGACGGGCGCGCCGTCTTGAGACAAGGGTGTCGAACTATCCGAGGCTTGCATATCCATATCTTGCTCTGGTGGGAAGGCTGGTCCGGCGGTGAAAGTAAAGATCGTAGGTCTGTCGAAGGTGCTAGGTTCGGACGACGGCGGGGAGGACGGTGGTGATGAAGCCTGGGGTGGCGGGGCGCTCGGCTCGTCGATTGATGGAGATGCTGACTTGGATGCCTGTCGTGTCGATTCAGATTCGGGCTGTGCCTTGCGAGTTGCAGTAGAAGTTGTGCCTCTGGTTTGTTTCTCAACCTCGTCGTCGTCGCTATGGGCACCGATGCCATCACTCCGTTCCGTGGCCCACTGGCGAACCTTCCACCCCTCTCCATCACCCAACCCGAGGTTTTCCCGATCTAAAAAGTGCAATAGGTCCTCAATGGCTTCTTGATAGCCTGCCTGCTTGGCTTGAGCTTGTTCGTAAACGGCATTCTTGTAGAGGTTGGTGACTGAGAGGGCAGCCGCCTTGAACGATTGAAGAAGCTGCTCAGGGGGCTGCGGTCGGGGTGTCGATTTCGGCAATGAAGTGTTCAAAGATCTCATTGAGTCCATAATGAAGTGGACTGCAGCGGAAGAAATAGCGTCGCAAGAAACTTGAGACAAAGTCTTAAGAGACGGCTACGTCGTCACAACCGCCACTAGGAGGGGTGACTTGAACCGTGCGTTGGCTGCCAACAGGGAGCGGGCAATTACTCCGAAGGGTCAGGAAGCGCGGTCAATATCGAGATATTCCAGAGATATGTTCACAAAGGTGACAGTACAAGTAAGGACGATGTAAATAAAGGGGGAAAGAAAGGGAGTGGGAGAGTGAAGTAGACACACGATGTTGACTCAAGGATGATTCGATCGGGAGAATGTTGGCGCAGCTGATCCTTCTTTGCTTCTGACCGGGTAACGTGACCCACAGCGGGGAAACTTGTTTTCCGCTCTGCTCTTCTGGGCAAGTGCCTTGTCCTACGGTGCGGTGCCAGCGTGCCCTGCAGTACGGAGTACGGTCGGGGTGAACTCCTCCTCCCGAGTCCCGAATTTCCCCCTCTTTCCTCCCCTGCTGACTCATTACTTACTCACCCTAAGCTTGCGCGTCTCCCCGGCCAATCAGCGCGTGAAGGGGCCGCGCTTCGCCGGCGAATTTCCATTTGCCATCCCGGCGCGACTGCGAGGCGGTACTTCTTTCGTCCTTTCATCATCCTCCGTCACTACAATTGTTTCTCACCCTACCTTTGTCCTCAATCTCACAGACAAATTGCGGGACCAGGCTTGTCCTCAATCGGCTCAAACTCAGAGGAGTGGCAATTCTCTCTCATCAGTCTTTCTCACTCGCTCCATATTTGTCCAATTGCATACTATCAGATCGCGTTTCTCCCGATATAGTTGAACTTGCCTGCGCAAGGTGCGCTTTGGAAAGTCATGGCTCCTTCGCACATTCCGACCTCCGACCCGCCTTCTCAGGCAGATACCCCAATGACAGATGCAACTGCAGAGCCCATCACGTCGGTGCCAGTTGATAGGCCAGACGCGCAAATGACGGTAAGTGCGCGCATTCATGCCATGAGCAATACCTGCACAACCATGTCATATATCTTATAAGGAAGCTTTTGCTAACCATCAGAGCGTTTTCTAAACTTTCAGGACACTCCCGACTACACGGTATTAACGCTCCGATGTTGAACACTGCTATCACGCATAGATAGGCTAATGGGCGCGCAATAGGATACTGATACGAACCCCAACACCACGGCGAGCAGTGTTGCAGGCGATGCACCGCCTTTGGATGGGCGAAGACGACGATCCGAAGCTTTTCACATGAGAAAAAGTATCCTGGGTAAAAAGCACGGTCGCTTAGACGAGTCAATGGTAGGTCGATATGCCATATATGAATGTACTAGCAGCCACTCACTGTGTGTTACTCTAGGAAGATGATTCTATCCGTCGTTTTCGCTACCTCCTCGGCCTCACTGATCTATTCCGTCATTTCATTGAAACAAATCCGAATCCGCGAATTAAAGAGATCATGGCTGAGATCGACCGGCAAAATGAAGAGGAGGAAGCAAAAGCTAAAAAAAAGGGATCAGCTCGCTCAGGTGGTGCGAGCGCCGACAGACGTCGCAGAACAGAACAAGAGGAAGATGCTGAGCTTCTCAAAGACGAAAGGAGCGGCGGCGAAACAGGCACCGTTTTCCGGGAATCCCCGCCCTTCATCAAGGGAGAGATGCGCGACTATCAGATTGCCGGCCTGAACTGGCTTGTTTCCCTCCATGAAAATGGTATCTCTGGTATTCTGGCGGATGAGATGGGTTTGGGCAAAACGTTGCAGACCATCTCTTTCCTTGGCTACCTCCGACATGTCTGCGGAATCACAGGACCACACCTTGTCGCAGTCCCGAAATCAACACTTGACAATTGGAGGCGAGAGTTTGGAAAGTGGACTCCTGAGGTGAACGTCCTGGTATTGCAGGGTGACAAGGAAGAGCGGCACCGCTTGATCAACGAGCGCCTTCTGGACGAGAACTTCGATGTTTGTATCACCAGTTACGAAATGGTCCTTCGCGAGAAGAGTCACTTGAAGAAGTTTGCTTGGGAGTACATCATCATCGATGAGGCTCATCGTATCAAGAACGAAGAGTCTTCGCTGGCACAAATCATTCGTGTCTTCCATTCTAGGAATCGACTGTTGATTACTGGTACTCCTCTGCAGAACAACCTGCATGAACTTTGGGCACTCTTGAACTTCTTGCTACCGGATGTCTTTGGTGATTCGGAGGCTTTCGATCAGTGGTTCTCCAGTCAAGATGCTGACCAGGACACTGTGGTGCAACAACTCCACCGCGTTTTGCGGCCTTTCCTGCTGCGCCGTGTCAAGAACGACGTGGAGAAGAGCCTGCTTCCTAAGAAGGAAATCAACCTATACGTACCCATGTCAGAGATGCAGATTAAATGGTACCAGAAAATCTTGGAGAAGGACATCGACGCAGTAAATGGTGCTGCAGGCAAGCGCGAATCGAAGACTCGTTTGCTGAACATTGTCATGCAATTGCGCAAGTGTTGCAATCACCCATACCTTTTCGAAGGCGCCGAGCCAGGTCCTCCGTACACAACCGATGAACATCTTGTGGACAATGCGGGAAAGATGGTTATCCTTGATAAGGTTCTGGCGCGCATGAAGAAGCAGGGCAGTCGCGTGCTCATTTTCTCCCAGATGAGTCGTGTTCTCGACATTCTGGAAGATTACTGCGTCTTCCGAGAGTACAAGTATTGCCGCATTGACGGTACGACCGCTCATGAGGATCGAATCGCCGCCATTGATGAGTACAACAAGCCTGACTCGGAGAAATTCATTTTTCTTCTCACAACAAGAGCAGGCGGATTGGGGATCAACCTGACTACCGCCGACATTGTTGTTCTTTATGATAGTGATTGGAATCCCCAGGCGGATCTACAAGCCATGGATCGTGCTCACCGGATTGGTCAGACCAAGCAGGTTGTTGTATTCCGATTTATTACAGAAAACGCTATTGAGGAAAAGGTTTTAGAACGTGCGGCGCAGAAATTGCGGTTGGACCAGCTCGTTATCCAACAAGGGCGTGCCCAGCAGCAAACCAAGAATGCTGCATCGAAAGACGAGCTCCTTGGCATGATTCAGCATGGAGCTGCCAACGTCTTCACCCAAAAGGGCGCAACGGGGTCTTTGTCTACGGAGAACAAATTGTCTGACGATGACATCGATGCTATCCTGCGCAAGGGCGAAGAGAGAACCGCGGAGTTAAACAAGAAGTACGAAAAGCTTGGAATCGATGACCTTCAGAAGTTTAGTTCGGAGAGTGCGTACGAGTGGAATGGTCAAGACTTCGCCGATCGCAAGAAGGACATTGGAATTAACTGGATCAACCCAGCCAAGCGCGAGCGAAAGGAGCAGTTCTACTCTATCGACAAGTACTATCGTCAGGCTTTGGCCACCGGCGGCAGAACAGCTGATCCTAAACCGAAGGTTCCGCGAGCCCCCAAGCAAATCGCCGTCCATGATTGGCAATTCTTCCCCCCTGGGCTTCAAGAACTTCAAGAGAAGGAAACTGCGTACTTCCACAAAGAGATCGGCTACAAGGTTCCTCTATCGGACGGTCCTGATGAAGAGCTCAGTGAGCGTGAAGCCGAGCGTGATCTGGAGCAACAAGAGATAGACAATGCTGTGCCGTTGACGGAAGAGGAGCAGGCACAAAAGGCAAAGATGTCCGAAGAGGGCTTCTCTACCTGGAACCGCCGTGATTTCCAGCAGTTTGTCAATGGCTCGGCCAAATTCGGTCGCACTGATTATGCCGGCATTGCTACCGAGGTGGATAGCAAGGAGCCGGATGAAATTGAGGAGTACGCTCAAGTGTTCTGGGAACGTTACACCGAGATCCAAGACTATCCTAAGTATCTTCGCGTCATTGATCAAGGCGAGGAAAAGCTGCGCAAGATGAACCATCAGCGCAAGATGCTGCGCAAGAAGATGGAGATGTACCGCGTGCCTCTTCAACAGCTCAAAATCAACTACACGGTGTCGACTACTAATAAGAAAGTCTATACGGAAGAAGAAGATCGATTCTTGTTGGTCATGCTAGACAAGTATGGGGTCGATGGCGAGGGTCTTTATGAGAAAATACGTGACGAGATTCGCGAGTCTCCCCTCTTCCGCTTCGACTGGTTCTTTCTCAGCCGGACACCTGTCGAAATCGGGCGTCGGTGCACCACACTATTGAATACTGTCGCTAAGGAATTTGAGACCACCGAAGACGGAAAGGCGAATGGGGAAGGTGGCAAAGGTCGCGGGCGTGACCGGGAGGAAGAGGAGGTTGAGAATGAAGAAGAGGCCCCTGCAAAGAAGAAAACCAAGGGTGGTGCAGTTGTAAGTCATAACATCTCATTGAGACTTCCGCATAGTTCTCACTGACACCTTTCGCAGAACAAGCAGGTGAAGGCAGTCAAGGGTGGCAGCAAAGCAAACTCCGCCTCCACGTCGCGAGCTGCTAGTGTCTCGTCCAACGCAGCCTCGAAATCGAAGAGCCGGAAGAAGTGATGTCTCTTACCTTGTGCGGTCTCGGTTTCAAAGGACTAAGATTTTATGACTTTTCTGTAGACTGTTTGGGAAGTCTTGACAGAGGATGGGACTTGTTGGTGCATCATGTTTCATATATGCTGGGTTGGGCGTTGGCAAATAGATGCCACTTGTGGTCTATAATGTTACCTTTTCATCTTCCCACCTCGAGTTTCGGTGGCATAGAGATCAAGGCGGGTCAGAGTGGATTTTTCAAGTTCATACCGGCTTCTTCCTTTATTTATCGTTCACTTAAACCTGATCATCATCCAAAATGAGCAGCAGTAGAGCACAGCTGAGGAGAGAGATATAGTTAACGTCTACCGCAGAAAGCAATCTAACCTGTTTCGCCGTTTTCCACCGCCCGCGACTTCTAGGTTACCGTAACCAAGTCCCTGATAAGATAGGCGCATTATCTTTATTCCTTTCTAAATCGCGTCGATAGAACGCGTCCGCATGATTTAATTAATATCACCGTCTCGGAAACACAATGCTGGTATACATTTTCTCGACCATGAAGCGGCACATTTCCCTTCCTTCCTTTGTGCACAACAGCCAACCGTCTTGACTCGCTTTCTAGAGCCTTCAGCCTCAGTGTTACCTTGACCGGTGTCAAATCATCCTCAATTTTTGATTTCAACGAATAACTCAACCTCTCTTCGTCCGACTATACAGGCTCACATAGGACTTCCATTGCCATCGCCAGCTGATGCTTCAATCCTGAAGTATCGTTCCCTGAATGGAACAAAAATTCATAA